AGGGCTGGGAAAACGGTTGCGGTTTCGCGGTTAAACCGATAACCGCACCGAAACCGCGCGGTTATTGGTTAACCGCAAACCGCATATTTTGCCTATTTTGCGGTCGCGGTTGGAGATATGGGTTGTTTTGCGGTTTGCGGTTTAACCGCAACCGAAACCGCAAATACATATAACCGCAAGGATAACCGCGACCCCAGACCCAGCCCATAGTTTACCCCAGACCAGCCCAAAGCTGACCCCAGCCCATAAACCCAACCCGGCCCCTCCCCCACTTCTCCTGGAGAAACAAAAAATCGAAAGACCAAAGTCCAAAACCTTAATCCCTTGACCCCTTCGAAGACCCTTCGTTTCGTCGTTTCGTCCCTTGACTGTTGACTCCCTTCCCACCTTCCCAACTTTCGGGCTTCGACCGAGCTTCCCATCTTCCCGGCTCCCGCTGCGCCGCTGCCATTCCGACCGCCACCGTCCCTGGATGTCCCCGACGTCACCCGTCCACGGCGTCCCTCTGTTCTGTTCAGGCGTGTCTGCTCCAGTCGCCTCGTGGCCCTCACCCGTCCCCGGCGTCCCGCTGCCATCCGACCCGACGTCACCTCGTGGCCGGTGGCCCTCTTCCAGCCAGGTCGAGGTCTGCTCCATAGACCACATCTCCAGTCAAGGTCGAGGTCCTCTGGCTCTTCCTGTCGACTTCCAGAGTTCCAGTGCTGCCCTGCCCCGCTGCCGCCCATCAATGTAAGTTCCATTCACATTTCCTTTTCCTCTGTTATGTACATATGCTCGAATTCAATGGAAAACAGTCCATTCACATTTCCTTTTCCTCTGTTATGTACATATATACATATGCTCGAACAACCTCCTAATTGTAGTTGGCATTTTCTGAAATTTTGATAGGGAGAAGCAAGGAGAAGGAGCAAAAACAATGAAAAACAAAGGAAAGGCAATTTCAGCTCCTGCCCCTGCCGCCAAGACCAAGAGTAAGAAGAGACGCAGGATTGATGAATCAAGTGGAAGTGGAGGACTTGCAGATGTTGCCGGTTCTGTGGCAGCACCTAATCCCGAGGTTGTGGCTCCTGAGCAGCCTGTTGCTGCTACTGGTGAAGCTGTTGCATCAGCTCCAGCAACAAAACAACCTGCAAAAAAGAGTAAGAGGAAGCTGTCCAAGATAAAGTCAACAACATATGAAGAGTACGAACTGTATTATGTACCAAATCCCAATGCCAAGAAACAAGCGGCGGAGGGGAAGGTTGTGAAGAAGGAGTTGAGGAAGGCAAGATGCTTGTTTTGCAAAACAGAGCTAGCTGCCGATCCACGCGATAATGGTACTTCTTCTCTCCGTACTCATACTAGATCTTGTAGAAAAAAAAGGGCAGAGCAAGGTGGTCAAATGCAATTAAGCCTACAACCAATTGATGAAAGAGTGAAAACTTTAGCCAATTGGAAATTTGAGCAGGGAAAAGTGAGGTATGCATTAGCTCAAATGATAATCATGGATGAGTTGCCCTTTAGATTTGTTGAGAGGGCAGGGTTTAAACAGTTTTGTCTTGCTGCATGTCCTATGTTTAAGATCCCATGTAGAAAGACCATTAGAGAAGATTGCTTCAGATTGTTTGTTGATGGGAGGAAGCAATTGAAGAATTATTTCCATGACAAGTGTGCTGGCAGGGTGTCTCTTACAACAGATTGTTGGACTTCTGTTCAGAACTTTAATTATTTGAGTTTGACTGCTCACTTTGTTGGTAATGATTGGAAGTTACACAAGAAGATCATTGGGTTTCGTCACATTACTAGTCACAAGGGTGTTGATATTGCTGACTCTATTGGGAGCATTTTGGAAGAATGGGGCTTGAAGGATGTGTTTACCATCACAGTTGACAATGCATCTGCAATTGATACAGCAATTGGTTGTTTGAAGGATAAATTGATGACTTGGGGTAGCAGTGTTAAAGATGGTGCATATTTGCATATCCGTTGTGTGGCTCATATAGTTAATCTCATTGTCAGTGACGGATTGGAGGAAATTGGGGTGGCTGTAATTCGAATTAGGGAGGCTTTGAAATGGGTTCGTGCTTCACCTGCAAGGTTGGAAAATTTTAAGAAATGTGTTAGATTTCATCACATTGACTGCAAGAAGATGTTGTGTTTGGATGTTCCCACTAGGTGGAATTTCACATATTTAATGTTGGAGTCAGCTGAGGTGTATGAGAAGGCATTTAAACTTCTTGAGACTGAGGATGGGGAGTTTCGGGTTGATCTCTTGAAGTTAAAGAAGTACAAGAGTGAGGAAATTGGTCCTCCAACTGCAGCAGATTGGGAGAGTGCAAGAAACTTGTGCAAACACTTGAGTTACTTTCATGAGCTTACCTTACTTGTTTCAGGTACGAAGTATGTGACTTCTCATCTATTCTTGAGAGCGCTTCTTCATATATTCCACCAGCTCAAAGAAATGGAGGCTAGTGAGGAAGAGGAGGTAAGAAATATGGCAGTTAGGATGCATGCAAAGGTCGGAAAGTATTGGTATGAGGCGGAGAATACTAATTCAAGAATGAACAAGCTTTTCTACATGGCAGTGGTGTTTGATCCTAGGCACAAAATGAAGTATCCCATTTATGTTTTGAGGAAGTTATATGGACAAGCTAGAGGGGATGAGTTGGATGAAGATCTTCAGAGTGAGCTTACTTCCTTGTTTAAGCATTACCAAAGCAAATGCAAACCTGCTACTCAAAGTCAAGGCCAAGGGTCACAATCTGGGATTGGGAGTGCAGAAACGACTACTCCTGGTGAGGTGGGCAGCCTTGTGCCCAATGTGGGAGGCGTGTTTGTGATGATGATTATGAAGCGTGTGAGGAAATTGCTCAATCCTCCGAGTTGGACAGATATTTGGTAGAGATTCGTGAAGGAGATGCGAAGAATATGAAGTATGATGTGTTGAGTTGGTGGAAAAACAATGCACATCGCTATCCCATTTTGAGCGAGATGGCCAAAGACATATTTGCTGTCCCCATTTCCACAGTAGCTTCCGAGAGTGCTTTTAGTACCGGAGGTCGTGTGTTGGATTCTTGTAGGAGTTCTTTGACTCCTCAAATTGTGGAAGCTCTCATTTGCAGTGAAGATTGGTTAGCAAACTCAACATTGCCAATTGAAGATGAGGATTTGGAGGAGTTGGAAGATCTTGACAATGGTATTTATTTTATTTTAGTTGCTTTAGTTTGTTGAGCTATTGTTACTTTGCTTTCTAACTTAATTTCATTCTAATATTTGTTTTATTGTTTTAGCATTCAAAACTTTAGTGTGGGATGTGAATACTTCTGCCACAGCTAGACTTGGAAGTGCAATAAATGCAATGCCCATTGATCGTGAAGCTCCTTCTGCTTCCGTCGGAGTGGGACCTAGTGCTACGGGCGGAGTGGGACCTAGTGGTGGAGGAGCTATTAGCGACAGTGATGGCGAGGATGACAGTTCTAGTGATGGGGAGGATACCGATCAAGAATGATTGAAGAATTTATGTTTAAGTTCTAGCTATGTCTATGTTTATTTGGTATGTTGGTTAAAATTTCTTATGAAGTTCAAACTTGGGATTGTGGAAAATGGTTTGTGCATTTGTGGATTGTGTTATTGGATATGCAGACAGATGCAGGGGCTTGATGGAAGTGAAAATAGACAAAATAGTAGCTGCTGTGTTTTTTTTCCATGAATTTGCGGTTAGTTCGCGGTTAATTGTCGGTTAGATTGCTTAACCGCGGTTCCGTATAGTGTTGCGGTTTTGACAACCATAAACCGCGGTTCACCGCTAACCGCGTTTTGCGGTTTTTGGTTAACCGCTAACCGTGAGAGACGCGGTCGCGGTTGGCTAATATGGGTGTTTTGCGGTTGCGGTTAACCGCAAATTGCGGTGCAGTTAACCGCAACCGCACCATTTCCCACCCCTAAAAGGATCCCAAAGAGCAGGCCGTGTTGTTGATCACTAGTGAATTTCAGAATCCAATCCTGAGTCGTGCTGATGAAGAAGCTATATTGATAAGAAAGCTGAGGGAGCTTGCTCCAAGTTAACCGGGAAAAGGGACAGTCCCGTAACACATGCAGGCATGTCTCCAGGCCCTCCGTACAGAGGGTACAGATTGAGGAGCTGGTGAGATGTCTCCGCGTCCGCTCCTGGTTGGTGAGTAGTCGTGCTTGTACCACCTGCCAAAGGAACAAGTTGACACTAGCCAGGCCACGCCATCGCCACACTCACCGCCAATCCACTCCCGTTGGTATCTCCCATCAATCAGTCGCAATGGCGTAAGCCGATTTCACCCTGAACCTCCCGTTTGGCTCCGGGCCCCACGTCGCTATATCTTCCCCTGAGTCCGGTAGGGGAGGCTAGATCCCTTGCACCTGCAAAACCATGTCCTCAGGCAAAACAGAACGGAGTAATGGGAGATTCCACTCAACGGTAGGTGTGCCAAAATCCGCCAAACTCATGGTAGGGTCCACTGGCAGCCCATCCTCTCGCGCATAATCCAGGAGCAACTCTCCAGAACTAACCCAACGATCCATCCAGAAATGAGTGTCACACCCATCTTTAGTGCTCATACGGATACCATCAGCCATGATGGGCCATGCACGTCTCATACCTCTCCAGACGTTGGAAAGACGGTTGGAAGTCTTCGCCACCATACCTGCTGCTATATGCTTGAAATATTTAGCCTGCAAGACACGCACCCAGAGCTCATCCGACTCTTTAATAAAAAACCAGGCTAATTTAGTTAAGAAAGCAAGATTCAGCTCGTGGGCACTACATAACCCCAAACCTCCTTCAACTTTAGGACGACAAAGAGTCTCCCAATGAACCAAATGCATTTTTCGGGCTCCCTCCGTCGAACCCCATATAAAGCTGCGGTTTTCAATCAAATTGATCGAAGATCATCTGGGGTAGGAGGGTGGTTTGCATTTCATAAGTTGGCAAGGAATTCAGAACCGATACCGCCAAAGTGACCCTCCCCGCTAAGCTTAAGGAGCGAGCTTACCAACCTGAAAGTTTATTATCCAGTGGATCCATAATATAACTATACGTTACCTTTGTGACCCTACATTGAAGAACGGGTACGCCAACGTAGCGACCGAGGTCCTGAGTCATCGGAATGCCGAGCACGCCAACAATAGTGGCGCTATCAGATCGCCTGGTGTTACCTGAGAAGTAAGCCACAAAATTCTCTTTGCTGACTTCTGACCAGAGGCATAGCAAAAGCGGTCTAAGCAATCCAAAATGACTTCCCCTTGCTCCTCACTAGCCTATGGGAACAATATAAGATCGTCATGGAAATATAGGTGTGAGAGCAAGGGACCACCTGGGGATGTACGGATCAGTCTCCACTTCTTCCGCTGAACTTCCATATCAATGGTGTGAATCAATAGTTCCATGCACAGGGTAAATAGATATGGCGAGAGGGAGCAGCCTTGACGCATTCCTCGAGATGGCTGAAAAGGATCTGTCATACTCCCATTCCAAAGAAACTGCATCGTGGGAGTCGTGACACAGTGCATAATCAGGTCCACCAACTTCTATGGAAACCCGCATGCTCCAAAGTCTCCTTGATGAAGTTCCAACTGAGCCGGTCATAAGCTTTAGCCAGATCGATCTTAAGCACCATTTGCCACTTCTTCCCCTTCCTCATCCCCATGGAATGCACCACTTCTTGTAGGATGATGATGTTTTCCGTGTTGATAGCTGCCGACAAGGCTCCAAATTGTCCGTAAATAAATCCACATAGTAAGCCCGGGCAAGATCTTCTAGGGCCTTTGGGTCAAAGATCCATTCCCCATCTGAATTCTTCAAGCCTTGCACTCTATTGAACTTACGCCTCTACAAAGTAGATAGGTGGTAGTAACGTGTGTTCCGATCCCCTTCCACTATCCAAGTCTCCCTAGACTTTTGCAACCATAGCAGATTTTCTTGCCACTAGGTAAACTCTAATTCCGCACGGAGCTTCATTTCAAGCTGGAGGGAATCCGAGGATGGGCTATCCTCATTCTGTTCCTCCACCTTGTGCAATCTCGAATAGAGGGACCTCTTTCATTTCATGATGTTGCGAAGGACCTCACTATTCCACTTCTTTACCACCTCCGCTAGAGCAACCAGCTGCCCTGGTAAAGCGGCGTCGCCAGCCCAAGCACTTGTCACAGTGCTCATGAAATTATCGTGCCCCAGCAATGCAGCCCAAAACCAGAAAAGCCGATCACCCCGTTTCGAGTCTCCACGTGACCGTTGAACTAGAATTGGTCGATGATCAGAGCCCAATCTCTCAAGATGGCGCATAGCTGTAGAGGAAAATTTTAGAAACCATGCTTGGTTGTAGAGGGTCCGGTCAAGGAGTTGAAAGAGATTCCCCTGGTTCCACGTGAAGCATGGTCCCAACAAATCAACGTCAATCAGAACACAGTCTTGAATGCATTGCCGGAATGGTCGCGCCCGGTTGGCGTGGAAACCTGCACCTCCCATCCGATTCGCTGGGCTGAGAATCGAATTAAATCCCCCCCCCCCAAACCCAAGGGATAGAGGTTCGACTAGATATACATCTAATATCATTCCAGATAACCATACGCTTGTCTATGTTAGGGCTCCCATAGACCGCCGAAATCAAAACTTTCGATCCCGGGGAGCTACGACGTGAGCATCGCATGTGGATCAACTGCTCCCATTCATATTGAGGAGTAACCAGAAGATCTTGTTCCTGCCAGAGCACCCAGATGCCACCTGAAAAGCCGATAGCAACCATCATAACCAGTCTTGGCAATAACACTTCTTGCATTGTCCCCGCTGATACGCGGGTCCATAATAAACACCATATCGGGTCAAGTCGACCCACAAAACGACCACAAATAGGAAACAAAAAGATCATGACCTGCCCCTTGTGAGTTCCAAGAAAGAATGTTTAAAATACTAAAAATGATAAAAGATTGGAAGCAAATACTTCCCAGGAGAGACGGGCCACGCCGGTACTATGTCGAGGACGCGGAGGAAGCATGATGCTCCCTCTGATTTTTCTTCACCTCTACAGGGGGCCAAAGTCCTCACCGTTGTATTCTTCAACACTTGAGTAGTCGACGTCTTACCCTGGGTTGGCTACGGCTTGCCTATGGCCGCCTTCCCTCCCGTAATAGCATGCACTGGATGGTCTTTATGTGACATTGTGGTCCTCAATTCTGTCAGGCTCGCCAACTGAACCGAAATCTCAAATAACCGCGACGGAGCTGACTTCACTGCCTACTCAGCCTGGTCTGGTTGGCTTCCGCTCTGCAAGGTGTGGTCGTCCGAACTAACTACCGGTTGCTTTGGCCTCCCAAGTCCGTTTCCATGGGGGACGTGGGTATATGGATATCCTTCCCCAAGTCAATCTCAATAGTTGGTGTTTCACCCACATCTATCTCCTCTCGCTCAATAGCCTCATCGACAAGAGCATCAAAACAAGACCCAAACTGAGCCTTCCCGCCACATGGGAGCTCCTTGGACTTAGACTTGTTCCGACCTTGTGACTGCTTCTTCCTACCCTTCGGCTTGGCTACCATCCATTTGCCATACACTTGCTTCTCTCCAGCCGAAGTATTCTCACTCTATTCTGTTGAGTGAGTATTCACTGCTGGTTCCGGAACTCTAGCTGCAGGGACGAAGAGGGATGTGTGAGTCGTTTTAGCATGGCCGTATTTGCCACATTCCGAGCAGATGTTGTGGAGACCTTCATATTCAATAAAGTCTGTTCGCCCCTCAATCTTATACTGAGAGAGTAGAGGATTTGTAAGGTTGATCTCAACACATACTCAAGCCTATTGAGTCCTTTCACCTGTTAAAGTAGCTCTATCAACCATCACCACCCGACCGATTCTCTGGCCAATTCTCTCGACCGCCTCATGATCAAAGAACTCAAGGGGCAGTTTGGACGGTCGTGCCCACTCCATTGTGGAGGCTACCTTAGCAAATTGTGGATCAAAACCCTTCCTCCATGGCCGAACCGTGACGTAATGCCCTCCAATCATCCACGGACCACCCACTGCCGCTTGTTCATAGTCCATTTAACTAATGAAGCGAACCACATAGAACCCAAACGAGAGGCTAGAGATCTGGAGGCCGCCATGCTTCCCCCAAAGTGTTTCCAGCCTCTTTGACAAGACTGGGAAGGGGAAAGTGTGCCCCAAAACTTTCACGATTAGGGATGAACATCACTTCCAACGGTATCGGATCTTTTCCATTGCTTTGAATGGGATTGTGGGACACACAGGATCATCATCATCAGGGACCACGTCATTGAGTTCGTCATCCTTCATAGCTTCAGCTACATCCTCCGAATCCGATTCAGCCACATACCAAGCATTATCCGCGATCGAATCACTAAAGAGTCGTCGTCCTGACCAGGCTGAGGGAGGGGGTTCCATTCCCTTCGCTTGCAGACTACCTGGCGACGAGTTCAGGTTAGGGAAGTCTTCCACCATAGCTTCTACCTCGAAGAGTTTGGCGGCACAGGATTGCTTCGGGCGCTTTCTCAATTGTTGTGTTTCTTTCTCCACCGTGGTTTTGGGTGAAGACGTAACAGAAGGGGGTCTCCGGGTTCCTGCGGTGGGATCAGGCGACCGCCGGCCATCAGAAGGCCCCCCGTTGCCGGGGAAGCCATGGCGATCACGGTGATAGCGGCAACCCTAGCTCCGAAGAAACAAGAGCTCTATTAATCTACACTATATTAATATATATAAAAGTGAAGTAAGGTTACTGTTACCTAAATTATTACATTTTGATACCCAAAATTTAATTTAATTTCAACTTAGTTATTATAATATATATTTTACATTTTGATACCTCAAATTTAATTTTAATGTAAAACGATTGAACAATTATATTTTGGTATCTAAATTTTATGAGATTTTCATAATCCTTTTGAACCAATCCATGAATCTACCATAACATAAAAGTATAAATTTAGGTTGTACCAAACAAGATGTTGTATCACTCAACTGCAGGAGAAGATTCGATCATTTTATATTTGATCAATACGGGAAACATTAAATAAATGATAAAAGCGAGATGACTCTAAACTATTGCAAGAACGAATTTATAAATTCATTTAGTACATTTACGGGGGACTAAACAAACGTCTACTAACTACAAATAACAACATATGCGACATCTACATAGGCAAGTGTCAATAAATTGCTACGGTGATTGTTGTATTGACGGCCAACTAAAAGAATTGGTCAAAATCTTTCCATCATCTACTTACTCTTCGTTTCATTTTTTACTCACCTTCCCAACCCTTTCTTTATTTCCTTCTTTGCTTTCTTCGTCTAACCCTAATTAGTATACTCTTTTTATATTCTAATCAAAAGTTTGAACAGGTCCATACACAAATGACCAACAGTCTAGAGAATTAATAATTGAACCATGAACCATTATTTTTTCAGCTCAATGTTGAGTCCAATTAAAAATAAATATATATGGTTATTACTTACTAGAAAGTTGTCATTTGTCATTATGAGATTTGAAGGCGTGAAATTTTAAGCGAGTTCCAATTTGTATTCCTCTACTTCTCTCTAGAGTTTTTCTTTTTCACCCGGGCTAGAATTTTAAACAACACATGGAATTTTCGACAATTATACACATCAAATAAATAGTTTTCTATTTTCTAACAAAAATAAATAATTATCATCTTAAATACATCACCATAAAAGGAGTGAAGCCTAAACTATGCAAATTACAGTTGGATACCTAAACTTAATAGATCTTTAGATTTATGTCCTAAATTTATTTTTTTGGCATATAAGTCCTCATAGTATTGATGGAACATTACGTTTTAGTATCTAAAATTTTGGTGTAATACATTTTAGTACATAAACTTTTGAAGTTCTACACATAGGTCTAATTTTTGTATGTGTAATTGAAACGCACTCGAATAAATGGGTATCAATAACTAACTCATACACATTTAGATTATGAAAGTAAATATCCATACACTACCCAAACTCATCTACAAAATTTCAAACTCATATATATGTCACCCATACCCTACCCATAATCAATGGGTCTACTTGGATTTAGGTAAATATCATTTATTAGCCAAAATTTTCAAGATCTTTTAAAATTGATGTTGACCGCCATATATCTCTTTTCAATCAATATTACTAACAAAAGTGCTAATAAAAAATTAATTTTAGAATGATAATACTAACAAAATACCATAACAGGTTACATAATACATGCCCGTAGACAATCTCCACCTGCGACAAAGCGCGGAATCGCCGCCTAGTTTCTTATTAAACAGTAATAGAAAGCACCCAATCCTAACGCAATCTATCTATCTATCTATCTATACATAATATTATAGCAATTCAAAAGTAGTTTGTTGCCACATAAGCATTTGGAGAATTTACAAGGTGCCATGGTGGACAATTTTTCCAAACAAAAAAGTTAGTTAATGATCAATTAATGTAGAGCTATCTATCTTTTTTTAATATTTTCTTTTTATTTTAATGATCATTTATGTAGCTATCTCTATCTTCTTTTAATGTTTTCTTTTTTTATTCAATAATTGTATTTTCCAATATATATGTGTAGTAGTAGTATATTTATGTTTCGAGAGTGACATATATTGTAATGCTTCAAAAAATATATTTGATTTAATCTGATCAATTAATTTTTCTTTTTATTTTTATTAGAACTTAATATATGTTATATTTCGAAAAAAAAATTAAACACACAGATAAGTAATACAAAATTTTAAAAAAATATAATGAAGGAAGTTTAGATAATCAACATTTAATAATCAATTGAATTTGAAAAACCAACTATATAATTTTATGTTTTGGTTATCAAACGCTATCTTTTTCTAATGTTTGTATCTATCAACGAAAACAAGTATTAAATAGCAACATGCTTCAAAAGTTGTTTTTTCATTTTGATAGAAACTTGACGAAGCCATAATATAGTACCTGATTGTACAAATGAAGACGATAAAGAAAGACAATGTTTCTTCTCTCTTATAATGTATGCTTCCATACCTTATTTTATCTTACATTTGTTCATACTTCACCTTATTTTTCTTAACAGTTTACATATTTCGGTCAAACAAAGGTGTTAATTACACTTAAAAATACATTAAACTCTATATATATATATATATAAAGAGTTTAATTATAAACAAAAATCAATGGTCATGATTCGTTAAAATCTATGCAACAAATTACATGCACAATCATAGGGGTTAAGCTCTATGATTAAGATAACTAAGACCTAGGGTTCACTCATCAAGTGTTAGGGTATAGTATCATGCCCACAAATCCGGTTAATTCGTGGTCCAGATAGCATTTTCTTACTTAGAGTATAAGATCATGCTATGATATTGACAATAGATGTGGCATTACACCAACAAAATGAAGATATTAGTATAAGTAGTGGATTTTTTATCTCAAAACAAGCACCAAAGATAAATAAATTTTAGCAAATGCATATTTGATAAGTTAGAAAATTATACAACAATGGACCATGTTAAGATTAGAACCCTCGACAGTGTGTGAGTATCTTGGACCGAGATTCTAAACCAACATTTAAACAACGACCATGAGTTGAGGGTGAGTCTATATTAAACTTCAGGAATTAACAATCGGTACATATTGTATAAGATATTGAATTGAGTGTCTTGATAGACAAATATGATCTTACACTAACACAGTAAAATTTGAATTGGGATGACCAAATCTATGTAATATTGAGAGTCTTGGTACATATTAAGTTGTCGTCATCTGAGCAACATCATTGGTTGAGAGTTCCTCCAAACTCGACATTCATTGAATGGCATATATTGTATAAGACAAAAAAAATTGAGTATCGTTATTGACAAATCTTGACATAAGATTCTATATGGGACGTGATATATCTTTGTGACATGATTTATGATCAGTGAATCGAAGCATTATAAGTGAATGTGTTAAGTATTGAGAATTTTTAATTTATAGACGCACTGCATACTCACCAAGGAATGCAAATGTAAAAAATTTAGAAGATCCAAAATAGTTTAAACATATAGATAAATTGATTAATGTAAATGGTAAAACTAAACTCACCGGCCAACAGGCCGGGTAAAAAGCTAGTTGTGATATAAAATACAAGAGGACGATTAGTTCACCAGTAATCGCCATTAAATGATAGTTCTAAGTTATAACCATTTTTTAACAACGAAATATTTAACCAAATATTATTTATTCTCAAAAGTAATGGTGATGTTAATTTTGTTTAATGAATAACCGAAGATATTGAAGGGAGTTAGTTATACTATAATTGATGATTTCATTCCACAAATACCACGCTTTGTTAACATGGTTTAATTTTCGTAGAAGAGTAAAAATGGTGCGGTGATGGACCTAAAACAGTAAGGCTTTCGAATAGACATGAATAATCAAATGAAAAAGGACTGCTCGATAAGATCTCATACCTAAAGCTAGCATCATATAACCCAATTGAGACATTGTAGAATAGGCTAAACTTCTCTTAATATGAGCAAGCAATAAAGTAGCTCCTAAAAGTACTGTCATTATACATATCAAAGTAATCATATTCATTATGTAAGGTATAACGGAGAAAAGGGGAAGAAGGCGGACTACAAGAAAAATTCCGCTTATTTATTTCATAATATTTTAATCTAAAAAAAATGTAGGGTTAATACCTTATTTTGGCCTGAACTATGACTATATAATCAACTTTGGCCTGTGATTTCAGAAATTAACATCTTGGCATCAACTATGCAACATATAGATTTAATTGGCCCCACACATGGTTTGACTGTCAGTCAACACACCATGTCATTGCCTCGTTAGCCTAAAAATTATTAAAAATTTTAAATTTAAATTATTTTCCTAATTTCTATTATTTATCATTATCAAATTAACCAAAAAACAAAATTATAAAAATATATAATAAATGTTATTTTTTATTTTTTGGGTACTTTGAAAAGGATAAATTAAGTTAACCAAAAATTATCCAATTATTTTAATTATTTAATTTTAGGTTGATTTGAAAATGATAAATAATAGAAATTAGAAAAATAATTTAAATTTGAATTTCTTAATAATTTTTAGACTGACATGGCGTGTTGACTAACGGTTGACGGTCAAACCATGTGTCAGGCCAATTGAGACTAAATGCTGCATAGTTGAGGTCAGGATGTTAATTTATGAAACCACGGGCCAAAGTTAATATATGATGATAGTTCGAGTTAAAATAAGGTATTAACCAAAAAAATGTAAGTGATAACTTGGGTGTTAGAAATCAAGTGTTGGCCTAAATAGACAAAAAAAAAATTATAACGTCCCAAATTAGAGAGGGGCGCAAGAGCGGGACTGCCCGTTTGCCAGGTTAACTTGGATGCAACTAATCCCTTCTTCTGAATACCACCGATTTTTCGGAACCAGTTTACAGGAATGAATCATGTGCAATATAAAAAAGGAGCAATTTAGCCTTGAGTTTGGCCTTCTCTGCTGGTCTCTTTGGAAGACCAGGATTGATCGAATCTTTGCTGGGAAGATCGTCTCCCCTGAAGCCTTTCTACAACGTGTCCAGGCTTGGATAACTGTAGTGCGAGATGCCTTGGACAAGGATAGGCTCATCCATCAGCCTAATCCACCCATAAGAACGGAGGTGGAGATCTCTTGGAAGCCGCCACCTCCAGAGTGGGTTACCCTCAACACTGACGGCTCCGTCATTGGTGCAACAGGCCAAGCTGCAGCTGGTGGCCTGTTGCGAGATCATTTAGGACGCTGCTTGTTGGCGTTCACTTTTAAACCTGGGGATTTGCTCTATCACCCAGGCAGAGTTGAGGGGTGCTGTTGAAGGTCTTCAGAGGGCTTGGGAGGCTGGTGCTAGACGCGTGAAGCTAGAGTTGGATTCGGAATGTGTTTGCCAGCTGCTGCAGGATCCAGACTCTAGTGAGCACCAACATGCAGCGATTTTACACCGAGAATCAGAGCTGCTTCACAGACAGTGGGGCGTCTCTATAACCCACATTTACAGGGAAGGCAATAAGTGTGCGTATCTCCTTGCGCACCAAGGCCATTGTGTTCCGTTAGGTGACCATTCTTTTCCTTTGAGTGATCCTTTATTTTGTAACTGGTTAAATTACGATATTCAGGGGCTTTTCGAATCCCGGGTGGTTTTGAATGAAAGATAGGGTGCTTTTGCATCCATTTGATTAAAAAAAAAAAAAAAAGAGGGGCGCAAGAAAAAAAGTGGATGGTGGAATTACTGAAATGGGTACCGAAATGTGCTCTTCTTTTAGGAAATTCAAAACACTAAAAAAACTGTTAAAACTCTATTATTATTATATACTAGCTTGTAACCCGGCTCCTTGACCGAAATGTCTGTATTTGAGTATTTATATTTTATGTTATGTTTAAATTTATAATCCATTTAATTTTATTGTCAATTCTTTGTTTTTTTTTTTTGTAAAATTATTGTCAATTCTTCGATCGAGATGATACATAAACAATGAATGTATAGGTTGAATATTTGAAGAAATACCATAAGAATTTAAGTATATAAAATATATAAATGTATCCTTAACCCAATTTCATAATTATAATTAAGCTCCTGTTATAATGATATTAGTTAATTAATTGTCAGGACATATAGAGTATAAAAGCCCGCTGGAATTCTCACACGACCCATATGTAATTGAAAACTAAAACTAAAATCTCATAATCCTACATAAATGGTTCAATGCTCTCCTTTTCAGAACCACATGCCACTAATTAAAAAGAAATGAAGAGTTGTTGATTTAAGTCAACCATATACTAACAACTCAACTAAAAGGGAATCATCAAAAGTTGAGCGCAAATGACAAAATTAAGGATACCTCCAATATACTAATGACTCGATCAAACAAATAAGACACAAAATGAGACACTACTTATCTCCCATTAGTTTGAATAGAGAATCAACCTTAATTTTAATAAATCAATAAATGATTCCTCATTTTAAGATAGACATAGGTTGTGGTAGCTGCACAACCATAAACCTAAAGACCAATAGCCACAACTATTCCTTGTACAACCAACTTTTTATCCCCTCTATCTCCAATCTCAAGAGGCATTTGTTTCAACCCAAAATTCACTTTCTAATCCTTCTCCTGCAATTCTATTTCTGCTATTTTGATGGCCTTCTCTATGTGGCCCTCAACTTCTCTTCCAATTGGGATTCTTGTCAACTCGCTCTTCAACTCCTCAACCTTTTCTTGTATTTGGCCAACTCATCTTCCTTAGGGGCATTTGTAATAAGCTCGGTAAAGCCACTCCTCATCTCCAATTCCATCAGTATGCTCATATCCTCCTTGACTTCCTTCAACTACTCCGGATCACTTCCATGCCACCCTCTCCATTTTCATAAATATCCTCATCATCTCTCACTTCTCTCTCTTAAACTACTCCAGTTTTTCTTTCATGTCTTTCAATACCCTCCTCAATTTTATCACTACCCTCGCCAACTTCCTCTTCTCTGTCTTCACCTGATGTAGTTGAACTTTACTTGCTACCAAATCCGAACATAATTTCTTCCCCCACTACTTCTATTCTCAAACATAATCTCAACTCTTCTACTCCAAGTTCAACACCACCACCTCCCAGAGTATTGTTGCGTGGAGGCTAAATTTTACCAATCACTATGGCTTGCAATTATATTGATTGACACTAAACACATCGACAAAATCAACAGTGTCTAAGTAATCCTAAAACAATATCAAAATTTGATCGGTGAGCTGGACCACAAGAATCGAGATAAATGAAGAAAAATATGTTTCTGGAGAACATTAGCTATGACAAAATAATCCCGAGCGGAAATATTATACTGGAAAAATAAAATGGTGATATTGTTTTATTATTTCAATAGCTAACCAAAGAACAAAAAAAAACAGCAAACAAACATTAAAAAGGTAAATAGGGAGATAGAAAAGTACAACTGCTCGTGTTCTACTCAAATATCTATTTGATTTCAAACAAATCAAGCACCCAAACCACCGTTCAAATTCTTTTTCTATATTTTATAAATCAATCACAAACAACTTAGATAAATTGTGAATGGAATAATAGCCTACCAGTTCAACTCAATAAACCTTCTATGAAGATAAAAGTCTCACTGAAGTTGAAACCTAAGAAAAGAAAGAGGAGCAACGACGCAAGAGATCCACCGAGCTTCAAACATCGTTTACACAATAGGATCAAAATAAAAAGATCTTTTGCATGTTCTTCTCATGATACAACCTGAAAATAAAAGTCGTTTTTGTTATTAATAAGTAAGATAAAACCATGGGACAAAGAGAAAAAAAAATGAATGACTTACATATGTGGAGCGATGAACCTTGCACGAAGACTAAAAACCCATTCAAGTTCAAAGTCAGGTATAGGAAGAGAAGTGACGGAGGACTATATAACTGATCAAACATCGTCTTCAACAATAGAAGCATCAAAATAGTTATTGTAATAATTTATAGATATAGGAGAGATAGAATCATTGGGCGAAATACAACAACACCTTTCATTTTAATTAACTATATACCTAGACCAAGAATAAAATAATAAAGTTTAATAACTCAATCGAATGATTTTTGGCCGATTTTATGCATCAAACTACCTAAATTCGCTTTGTGTTGTAAACTTTATTTATAGAAGGAAAAAAGTATTAATATCCCCGTAATTGCAATCACCAAGTTTTCTCCAATTTGCACCCCAGTACCCACCCCATGGTATTATTGTTTCTCATAATCTTCCAATTTTTTCTAGTTATCGATCGTCAACCTTTCATTCCATTTCTTCAAAAAACATATCTTCTCCAAAATTTTAAGATTCTAATATCTAAAAGGGTAATGTCTATTTTTTATAAAAATCTTTTTCAGATTCTTTTATATTATCCAAACCTATTAAAATTCTATTAATTATAAAAATCTTTCATAATGCATTAATATATTAGCCATTTTTATGTTATCGTTAATAATTTTGTAGCTCTTTCCTTAGTTAAAAAATTAAAATTTTGAAAATGTTGACCTTCATGAGTCTATTCCAAGTCAGTTGCAAGTTATCAAGTCAATATTACTAACAAAATTACTAACTGAAAGTTAACATTTGGCTAATTGTTAGTATTTCGATAGGTTTGGATAATATAAAAGAATATAAAAAAAGTTTGGATAAAAAATATATATTACCCTATAAAAAGTTCTTGTACCAGTTCAAACAATATGTAGAACAGTGGTCACTTGAATCATCTGAGCGAATTTTTATCTTCCAATCTAGTCATGACTTCTTAAAATAGCTGAGATCACAATTCCTACAGAGAGCCCACATGCAAATGAGCAACTTGGCATTTATTAGTCACACAAAATCTCAATCCAAATGCATGTTCTTCTAAACTTTTTAGCTTCTTCTTTGTATGAGATGAGATCAGTTGACACTATGATAGTGTTGCTGGAACGCAAATGGAATTGACTACCGATGAATTAGGATGGTTTATGAGATGGTTGAACCTTATATTGTCGCTTGTCGAACCTAAAGGAAGAAGAGACGGTGAGATAGTCGAACATGAGATTTTTTTTATGTTTGTTGCTGTAGGGTTTGTGATTAGGAAAAGGAAGCCACGAAAATGGAGCTACGAATACGATTTATTGAAAACGATGTCGTTTTGAAGTGGCCCGGTGCTCGGATTAATTGGTTGAATCAGACGAATTTCTTGATTTGATTGGGTTTTACAGGGTTTGGTCGGCCCAAGTAGATAACCGATTGGCCTACTGCACTTAGTGCGATACTCGGGTTTGTGAATAATTGGTTTGATCGGCCAAGTCAAACTCGGGTTGACAATCATGGTTATGAGTCTTGTCTTTTTTTGAAGATACATTGGTTCAAATCCCATTTTTTTTTCTATTTTTCTATAAATAATACAGATAAATAATTTTGAAGACAAAAATATTATTCATACTTTCAGTCTCGATATAGAAAATTTGAAATGGGGAAACAATTTTCTCATTCCAGTATTATATATTGTGTAGAGTGTATATGTAGACGTGTCTTTGCCCAACATATTCATTAACACATAAAAATGGTGAAATTAACAAACATGTTAAACTTAACCTCGTCTAATGATTGTTGGATCTAGTCATGCCGGGTTAGAAAGGTGTTTAAAACTTAGCAGTTACCAGGCTAAAACGTTTAAAGGACCAGTGTCATTGAGATCGCACAAAGATATGAATATGATTGCTTCATAGTAGTTCTAAAAATTAATATGAATCATGCATATTCATTACTGGATTTTATTATGCAATATTTGAACCATTGATATTTGAGTTGTGATTTTAAAGTTATCCTTATTTGGCCATGTTGTTCTTTGTTGGTTTGTTTATGTTTGTGTCTTCGTTTGGGAAAGAGGTTGTTTATCTTGTTGTCCCTGCTGCACGAGTGTACCTTCGTTGTGTAACTTGTTTAACTCTTAACTCCTTATTTAATTAATGAATTTCACCTTTACAAACAAAATTATCAAAATAATCACAATATAAAAATTGAAGTATCGAACATCAATAAGTACTTATCGGAGTTTTACTTGGCTAGCTAACCATTGAAAAGTTCTGTGATTTTCCGATTTTAGCTTCATGTATGTTTTTAATTTAAAGAGATACAACAAATTAATATAGTGTGATTGGTTACAACTTTTGTCTCTGTTTAAAACAACAAAAGTTCAAATCTTGCAAACAGTAAAATTATTATCATTTCTTACTTATTAGAAAGTAAGATAACATTTACTATTATAACCCTAGCTACAATTAAGGAGGACGCATAGAATTCAAAATGGAGAAAATCACAAAGTACTTCCATATTATGATGGAGGATCTTCCAATTTTTTTTAGTTATCAATCGTCAACCTTTCATTCTTTTCCTTCAAAAAAACATATCTTGTCCAAAATTTTAAGATTCTAATATATATTAAAAGGGTAATGTCTATTTTTTATTCAAATATTTATTAGATTCTTTTATATTATCCAAACCTATTAAAATTCTATTAATTATTCAAATCTTTCATAATGCATCAATATATTAGCCATTTTTATGTTATCGTTAATTATTTTGTAACTCTTTCCTTAGTTAAAATATTAAAATTTGGAAAATGTTGACCTTCACGAGTCTATTCCAAGTCAGTATCAAGTTGTCAAGTCAATATTACAAACAAAATTACTAACCGAAAGTTAACATTTGGCTAATTGTTAGTATTTTGATAGGTTTGGATAATATAAAAGAATCTGAAAAATGTTTGGATAAAAAATAGACATTACACTATAAAAAATTCTTTTACCAGTTCAAACAATATGTAGATTAGTGGTCACCTGAATAATCTAATCGAATTTTTATCTTCCAATCTAGTCATGACTTCTTAAACCAGCCGAGATCACAATTCCTACAAAGAGCCCACATGCAAGTGAGCAACTTGGCATTTATTAGTCACACAAAATCTCAATGCAAATGCATGTTCTTCTAAACTTTTTTGCTTCTTCTTTGTATGAGATGAGATCAGTTGACGCTATGATAGTGTTGCTGGAACGCAAATGGAATTGACTACCGATGAATTGGGATGGTTAATGAGAAGGTTGAGCCTTGTATTGCCGCATGTCGAACCTAAAGGAAGAAGAGACGGTGAGATAGTCGAACATGAGATTTTTTTTATGTTTGTTGTTGTAGGGTTTGTGATTAGGAAAAGGATGCCACGAAAATGGAGCTACGAATTGGATTTGTCGAAAACGATGTCGTTTTGAAGTGGCCCGGTGCTCAGATTAATTGGTTGAATCATACAAATTTCTTGGTTTGATTGGGTTTTTCAGGGTTTGGTCGGCCCAAGTAGATAACCGATTGGGCCTTCCACGCTTAGTGCGATACTCGGGTTTGTGAATAATTGGTTCGATCGGCCGATTCAAACTCGGGTTGACAATCATGGTTATGAGACTTCTCTTTGTTTGAAGATACATTGGTTCAAATCCCAATTTTTTATATTTTTCTATAAATAATACAGATAAATAATTTTGAAAACAAAAATATCATTCATACTTTTAGTCTCGAAATCAAAAATTTGAAATGGGGAAACAATTTTCTCATTCCAGTATTATATATTGTGTAGAGTGTATATGTAGACGTGTCTTTGCCCAACATATTCATTAACACATAAAAAGGGTGAAATTAACAAACATATTAAACTTAACCTCGTCTAATGATTGTTGGATCCAGTCATGCCGGGTTAGAAAGGGGTTTAAAACTTAGCAGTTACCAGGCTAAAACGTTCAAAGGACCAGTGTCATTGAGATCACACAAAGATATGAATATGATTGCTTCATAGTAGTTCTAAAAATTAATAAGAATTATGCATATTCAATACCAGATTTTGATATGCAATATTTGAACCATTGATATTAGATTTGTAATTTTAAAGTTATCCTTATTTGGCCCTGTTGTTCTTTGTTGGTTTGTTTCTGTTTGTGTTTTCGTTTGGGATAGGGGTTGTTTATCTTGTTGTCTCTGGTGCGTGAGTGTGCCTCCGTTGTGTAACTTATTTAACTATTAACTCCTTAAAGGGATACAACAAATTAATGTAGTGTGATTAATTACAACTCTTGTCTCTCTTTAAAACAATCAAGGTTCAAATCTTACAGGCAGTAAAATTATTATTATTTTCTACTTATTAGAAAGTAAGATGACATTTACTATTATAACCCTACCTACAATTCAAATCTTACAGGCAGTAAAATTATTATTATTTTCTACTTATTAGAAAGTAAGATGACATTTACTATTATAACCCTACCTACAATTAAGAAGGACGCAGAGGATTCAAAATGGAGAAAATCTCACAAAGTACTGTGATATTATAATAGAGGAGGATTTGGAGATCAATGTTAACACTGTACTAAGATATTAGTATTTAACAAATTAACAAATGCTCATATACGACCTTTTTGGATCCAATTCTCTTTATAATGCAAAATTTTATAGGATACTCTTTTTTAATTTTTAACTTTGTCATGGTGTCATGATGATATCAACGTTTCAAAAACTAAATTTATTAGGAGAAAAAGGCAAGCAAACAAGTAAAAAAACAACTTTCCCTCCCTCCTCTTCCATTTCTCATCTTATCTTCCCCATTAGTGTTCCTCGTCACCTTTGCAACCATCCAAAATGCTGCCAGCGAACTCCATAACAAACACCATTCTCATTTTCCCTTATTCACTCCACTTCGACCAGCTGACGATTGACTTTTTCTGGCGAAATTCTGGAATCAGACTCGCTTCGGCCATCTGCAAAAAATTACCACTCCGTGAATGCGCTAGTGGTACACTACTACCACCACGGGTACCACTACTAATACAGCGCTACCACTACCATCTGGTAGTTGATAGTGACAACGTACTACGGGACGGGATACGGTGACAACCCCCTTAGGGGTTGTCAGATTAACAACCAAGGGTATTTTGGGTATGAAAAAAGGAATATATTAATTACCTTTTTTGTATTAATCAGATTGGGAATTAAAAACTCATATTAAATACCTTTTTTTTAATTTAAATCCTATACATTAATATCTCTATCTCTCTCTCTCTCTTCCTTTCTCCTGCGGTCACTCCGCTTCGATGGACAGACTTTTTCTCTGGCGAATTCTCTCCGGCAGACTCCCTCCGGCAACCTGAAAAATGTACCAGTGCGTTAAAAAGTGTACCAATCTATTTGTCTATTGGTAATTAATATATCAGTGCTAGTGGTACGCTACTAGTGCGTTAAAAATGTACCAGTACTAGTGGTACGCTACCAATACTAGTGGTACGCTACCAGTGCTAGTGGTACGGTACCATTACCACTTGTAGCGGTACCATTAGCAGTACCAGTACCACCGGTAGCGGTACCATTGCCACTGGTAGCGGTACCATTGCCACTGGTAGCGTACCACTAGAGACTAGCACACAAAAAATCAGATCTGAAATATGAAAAATCACAGATCTGGAAAAAAATAGGGATGACGAAAGGGGGAGGCAGGGGAGAGGCGGTGACCTCGTGGCGACGGTGCTGGTGGGAGACAGAGGGCTGCCGGAGGGTTGCGACGACGGTGGTGGTGGGAGGCCATCGCGGCGATGGTGGGAGGAGGAGGCCGCGATGGCTGTGGGGCGAGGGACGTGACAGTGCTGGGAGGCGGAGGGCGCGACGACGGGAGGGCTGCAGCAGTGATGAGAGGCGGAGGGCGTGGCGGGTCGGCTGCGACGACGGTGGTGGCAGCCGATAGAGAGAGAGGGAAGAGATGGGAGGAAGAAGAAGAAGAATAGGAAGAAGAAAGATGGCGTGAGAGAGAGAGAGAGAGAGAGCGAGAGAGAGAGAGAGAGAGAGAGAGAGGAAATAGAGAGTGTAGGGTTTTAGATATTAATAGGGGTAATAATCTAGTGTGGTCAATTTTTTCGTCCAAAAATACCCTTAATCCAATCTGTACCATTGATTTGAAAAAAGAAGAAAGAGACAAGAGAGAGAATGGATCCTATGGTTATAAAATGGGTTGTCAATCTCACAACTCCTAATGGGGTTGTCACCGTATCTCATCCCACGTACTACTAATCCAATATCATTTGGTACCTGGTAGTGGTGGCGTACCACTACCAAGTACCAAATGATACCACTACTAGAATAAAATCACTACCACTAGAAAAAAAATCATATATGAAAATCCAAAAATCACATATCTGAAAAATGAAGGGGAGGAGAGGAAGATTATAGTGACAGAGGGACTCACATCGGAAGAGGCCAGGAGAGGAGGCACGACGGCGGCGACAGAGGAGGGCGACGACAGAGAGTTGGTAACGGCAGGGGTGGAGGGAGGCCGAGGATTGCGGAGGCGGCAATGGTGGAGTGATCAGCAATGGTGGAGGGATGCAGAGGGCGATGGTGGCAGTGCCATCTGTTGGAGAGAGGGAGGAGGGAGGAATTATGTTTTTTTTTATATATATGGGAGGGAGAATGATTGAGTGTGATAATATTTTTCCCATCCAAAAATATCCTTCTTTTAATCCTAATCAATAATCATTAATTTGAAAAAGAATGAAAAGACAGAAGAGAGAAGATATCCATTGGCTAGGAAGTGAGTTGTCAATTCAGGGGCTGTGACCGTATTCCATCCTTTTACGTGCGATTTTAGTCTACTGGTTCATGCATGTATGGCTAATTTGATCGGCTCAATCAACCTAATAAAATTATCCGTTACCAAAATCAATTTTATGTTGCACTGATATACGAAGACACATTCCGGTCGAACCCTTCCACCGTTCGGTTCAACCCCAAATAATAACCGCGGTATATCGTTGGATTGATTTGAGTTATGTTGAGGGTTGACGCGGCTCTTTGGAGTAGGGTTGTTTATAATGGAGGCAGGGTGTGCCCAACTTTTGGTGATCATTCTGCCAATATATACATTCCCTCCCTCTTCATCATCATCCTCAAAGCATCTTCACGACAAAGCAAAGCCCCCACACTCCCCACTACTTGCTACCACCACCACCCACGCTCACAACTTCTTTTTTCTTGATTAGCTTTCTTCCATGATTTTTGGCAGCTAAGCAAAGAAAAAGGGCTACCACCTTTTTCGTCCTCCACCGAAAAAAAGATCCCCTCCCCGACTTTAATTTTCCCTCTTCTTCTCCCTCATCATTCTCCTCCTCCTCTGCTCCTAATGTGGAAAATAATGGACGATTCCTGGCAGATGCGGATGGGGACGGCGCCGGGGCCGCCCCTCCTCCACCACCGTCGTTCCACCGAAACATCCTCCTCCTCCCCCGCCGTCGCCGGACCCACCAGGCGATCCGTCGACAACCACCGTCTCGACCCCAACAATTTCGCCGACGTGTTCGGCGGCCCGCCCAGGAGCCTTCTCGCCAGGAAATTATCCGGCGACCTCAACAGGCCGTCCGGCTCGTTCTACGAGGAGGTTTTCCTACCGCCGAGCTTCGCGTGCCCACCCGCCGCCGCGAGCAAGAACGGCGGCAGGTGCCTGCCGGCGTTCCGGATCCCGGCGAAAGGGGAGGGGTTCTACAGCGACGTGTTCGGGGCAGAGGAGGACGGCCGGGCATCGAGAGAGCGGTCCAGGCCCAACTCCAAGGGGAAATCCAAGTCGAATTCTTCGTCCGTTCTCAGCTCCGAGGAGCTAAGCCCTCGCCGGCCGAATGTGTCCGGCGGTCACGACCCCGCGTTGTCGTCTTTCGCTTCGAAGCTGAGGTCAGCACAACAACTTTACTGTTTCACTTGATTAGTTTGGTTTGCCTGTATTAATATTTATTTGTCCTTATCAAATGTTTTTTTTATGAAGACAGATCAGAAAATTAATTAATTTAGTAGTCTATGCTTGAATATATGAAGAAAAAAATTACTGGTTTTTTTAATAAATTACTGTACTAAGGAATTGAATGGCGGAATTAGATGTTAAATTTCAGCCACTACGAGAACTTACAAGATTTCATGATTTGATGAACAAAATGTACAATTTCTCGGGTCCTTTTTCACCTCAATTCCACTATGCACGGCGGGCATCAGTTGATTCGGTACATAACTGGATAGAATTGACTTAAGACTGGACTAAAAACAAAGGAAAAACTGATGATCAAAATTTAATGTCGACCCATTTCTTCTTCATATATAAAATACTTTATAAGACAAAAATCGAATCAAAATATATTCCATCCGATTCGATATGGTTGTGATCTAGATCGCTACTCACCCCTACCACTAAGGCAAGAATTGCAAATTCAGTCATTAGAAATGGGGAGAAAATAATACTATTTTGTGTCTATATTTTTTTCAACATACAGAGAAGGCCGTTTTCTTTTTCCTAATATTTGGATTTACTGTCTGTTAATTTATTTATCTATCTTGCAACTGGTAGCCCCAATTCCAAATCTCCTAGCTAGTGTATAACAACAAAAATCAAACCAATGTCGCTCTCATTAAGGTAAATGTCATATTTGGTTACTGAAATTACTAACTAAATCGTGTCATGTTTAGTCACAAAAAAAATTTAATATCAATTTAGGTCACTCGAATTACCGAAACATGTCACGTTTAGTCACTCTCCTGTTAGCCTCCGTCCAACTCCGCTCACTCGAATTACTGAAACGTGTCACATTTAGTCACTCGAATTACTATAACATGTCACATTTAGTCACTCTCCCGTTAGCCTCCGTCCAACTCCGCTAACTCGAATTACTGAAACGTGTCACATTTAGTCACTCGAATTACTGAAACATGTCACATTTAGTCACTCTCCCGTTAGTTTCCGTTCAACTCCATTAATAATTGGGTTGGACGGAAACTAATGGAGTTGGACGGAAACTAACGGGGGAGGGTGACTAAATATGACTTATTTCAGTAATTCGAGTGACCAAAATTGATATTAAATTTTTCTAGTGACTAAACATTAGACGATTTAGTAATCTCAGTGATCAAATGTGGTATTTTCCCTATTATCAAATCAACTAAATATCTGTGTCCTTCCGTCCATTTTTCATGTGCTCTAGTACCTTTTAACTATCAAATCAGATCAATGATGAATTTTGAAGATAACAATCAGTCAAAATCAAAATTTTGTATGGATACATGTCAAATATATCAATTTTGACGCTGACGTGGCTGAACCCTGTTGGCTGGTGGGTTTGTGTGGACTAGCAGGTCGATCAACGTGCCAGCCCGGTGGAATTCGACAACAATGAAGCCGGCCGGAGAAGAACGACAACAGAACAACAAACAAGAGGCACCATCTTTCCCGTACAACCGTCCTTCCTACCCTGTCGCCGCCGCCGCCGATGACAGCTTCATGGAGAAGCAACATCTCCACGAGAATCTGAAAGCCTGCGTGGAGAACTATTTCAAAGCGCAGCAGCAGCAGCAGCAGTTTAATTCTTCGCCGGAGACGACGACGGTGGAGCCCAATGCTTCCTACTGGAGCACAACCTGCAGAGGTTCCGGGGATGATAATGACGATGATGATGATGACGTGGAGTTGGAGGAGATGAACAACAACTCCCCTGTTTCCCCTGCTGCCTCCTCTGTTCTCTGCCAGCTCGATCCAGAGCCCGTACGCAGCAGTACTCCCGGTGATGAACAGTACCACAATGATGTAATGCGAGAAATTGATGATGACGAAGAGGAAGAGGAGGAGGAAGAGGTTATGAGTAACTCTTATGTGATCGAGATCAATAATTGCGATTATAACAACAGGGATGGCGAAGCGGTGTCGATTGATGAAGCCATTGCTTGGGCTAAGGAGAAGTTCCGGGCTCACACTGAGAAAGAAGCACTCAAAGATGCTGAATTCCACCAGTCTTCTTCGATGGTGAGTTCTCCATTAGAGAAACAATGGAAGAGCTGCAACGTTCGTTTCAAATGGTCATACCAATTGTCACACTAGTGATGTCATATCTTCTTGCTGATCATTTTTGTAGGAAGAAGCTGATGGGGGTGACAAATGGGTAACCACAACAGAAGAGGAGAAATCAGAGTCGGAAAGAGATGTAAGTACTCTATGTAAACCCCCATTCGTTTGTTTCAGTAACAAGATACAACAGTTTTCACCGAATTCGGATTTTAGTCCTTCCGCTCTGAGTGTTGGTTGTTGTTGCAGAGGGAGATAGAGGAGTTGAAGGAAGAGATAAGACTGTGGTCGTCAGGAAAGCAAAACAACATCCGTCTACTGCTATCTTCGCTGCATCATGTACTTCCACTATAAACTCTCTGAATTCAAATCATTGCTATTTACAGAATGAATGAATAAATGAATGAAAGTTGCTTGATGGGGGTGTGGGAATGCAGATACTAGAACCAGGGAGCGGGTGGAGTGCGATCCCATTGACGAGCATAATCACGAGCTCGCAGGTGAAGAAGGCTTATCAGAGAGCAAGGCTGTGTCTTCACCCTGACAAGCTCCAACAGAGAGGAGCCACGCATCATCACAAGTATGTCGCCGAGCAAGCCTTCGCAATCCTCCAGGTACTTTAATTACTACAGACACTAACAAAGCTTACTGCATCAGTTTCCATGTTAAATTTCGAATATTGGTGAAATACTCCAGAAACTGATGGAATTCATGGTGGGATGGATGGTTGTCTGCAACAGGATGCGTGGGCTGCATTCATTTCCCAGGATCTGCTTTTCAACCACCCAGTGAAGTGAGAAGTGAGAAGCAACCATGTTTATGACGAGTATATTGTGTTGCTTGGATTACTGCTAGAAGCAAGCAGCCGCCAAGGGCTTTTGTCTTGGATTCAAATTCATATATAGGTGGTGGGGCTTGCAGGTTGGCTGTCTGGTTTTTGGAGGCGATGAGAAGCTAGCTAGGCAAGTGTGTATAGAGACGAGAACTGTAAGTGATATGTAATGTTTAGAATAATGATACGATATTCGTTTGGTAGATAGAGTAGAACAACAATTTCCGATCACAAAATCGATCAAAAGGCAACGCTACAACGAGTTGAACAAATCTATATGGACAGGGCTGCATGAGCATAATTGTAGGGACATTCGCCTAGTGGAAACTGATTTACTCGCTATACACGTTTCAACTTTGAAATCCGTATGTGGTTTTCAGAACCGGACCGGAAGCTGAACCGGAAAAGTTAGTGGTTTAGGATTCAACGGTTAATCGTTATAAAACTTTGGCGAACCGTCGATAGAACCGTTCATGATATATAACATATAAGAATTTTATATTACACTAATTTCATAATGCATTTATTATTAAACATAAACCATTTTAAATTCATATTATCACTAAAATATATAATAAATCATTCAAACCATCTCACATGAGAAATCATTTTTTTTTAATTCAAATTTAAAATTACGGTCTCAGTCGGTAGTTGACAATGTAAAGTTAGACAACAAAGTTGGAATGAGAAGAGTAAGCACATGTAACTTAATAATTATGGTTTGATGGCATTAATTTATATTAAAGTATTACATTTTTTTATTTAAAATAGTGAACCGATGAACCAGTTAAATCGTGATGGTTCATCTAATTTTATGTTGAACCATGAAAAATCGTTTGGTCTATCAATAACCGTCCAAACAATGAACCGAACCGCTATTATAACTGGTTTGACGGTTTTACAGGCCCGGCTATTGATCCGATTCGGCATTTATTTCTTCAACGAGAAATTTCCCTCCCCAAGCGACCAACAGACCGGGCCGGGCCGAGCCAGCCCATTCTTCAGCCCGTGAAAGTATTGGACTAATGGCCCTGAGCCCAAGTTCGTATCAACCGGTCCTAACTCCCAATCAGATTCAATAATTACGATTTTCTTCTCTGGTCTTCCGCTTTCTCTTTGCTCTCTCCTTCTTGTCTATCTGTCCGAGTGTCTGTGAACCTCCGATCTCGCTCTCTTTCGTAGTGCCACCCATCACGATCTTCACCGGCGATCACACTCCACCCTTCATCTATCTTGTCCTCAGGTTGGCAACTCTCTCTCCCTATCGTTCTTTTGATTCTCCTGAGATCGTCTGCTTCTCAGTTTCTGATTTCTGTTCCCTCCCCAAGCTAAATGATTTCAACAAGAATGCCGTAATGGATCCTGGAGTCCTAGGATCACTCTCAATATGTCTCCTGATTACTTATTGTAGCAGAATTTTGGTTCGCTTAAGTCCAATTATCTTAAACTTTCTGCTTTTCTGGCTCTGGTTTTCATATATGACGAAGAATGTCGACGATTTAGGTCTTTCTTCTTTGTTAGGGATGGATTCTTTTTGAGGGCTGAGGTAGCACGTTCTTAGAAAGAGGTGGAAGCGTTAAATGGACTCGATTGGAATAAGCAATATTCTGAGTGCTGGGATTCTCTGTACCATGCCACTGTAATTTCAACCACATAACACCTTCAGATGGTGAAAGATCGAATTGCTGAGTTTGGTAGCTACTACTTTAATTTCAACTGAGTTTAGCCTCCCTGGTCAGAAGGGATTCATTGTTTACAAAGCATATTGTTTGTTGCAACTTCATTGAGCGGAAATATATGTTGTATAGGCTTCCATTTCTCTGTGGGATCTGCTACCAGAACACATTGTTTGCCTGCTGAGTGACCTGGGTGATTCAGTAAAGCCTCACATATCATTTAGATATCTCCATGGAAGTGGATAATTGTCTGTAAATGAGATACCAGTCCTTTGGTCATTTCTACTTCGAGTTAGGACCTGTTATGAAGCAGGGATAAATGGCACCTTAAACTACATGGGCAAAAATATGAGATGCATTCAGGTTCTTTATATGCCATGCCATCCCTAAAAGGGGCATATAAGCATTGTTCAATTTATTTGTTTTTATTTTTTCTCAGTTTCCTTCTTTCTTAAGTTTTATGCTGAGACCGTTTTCTACATTCTAGTTTCAGATTTTACTGAAAGATGGCAGGCCAAGGCCAGCGCTTGACTGTGGTCCCTACAGTAACCATGCTTGCAGTGATGAAAGCTCGCCTCGTCGGTGCCACAAGAGGCCATGCTCTTCTCAAGAAGAAGAGTGATGCTCTAACTGTGCAGTTCCGGGCAATACTCAAGAATATTGTATCGACCAAAGAGGCCATGGGAGACATCATGAAGAATTCCTCCTTTGCCCTAACTGAGGCAAAATATGTTGCAGGGGAGAATATCAAACACGTCGTCCTGGAAAGCGTCCAAACTGCATCTGTTAAAGTCCGATCTCGCCAAGACAATGTCGCTGGAGTTAAGCTTCCCAAGTTTGAGTATTTCTCTGAAGGAGATACCAAGAGTAATGACCTAACTGGTTTGGCCAGAGGAGGGCAGCAGGTACAGAAGTGCCGTGTTGCTTATGTGAAAGCAATTGAGGTTCTTGTCGAGCTGGCTTCGCTTCAGACTTCGTTCTTGACGCTTGATGAGGCAATCAAGACGACAAATCGAAGGGTTAATGCATTGGAGAATGTTGTGAAGCCAAGAATTGAGAACACAATCACTTACATCAAGGGGGAGTTGGACGAGCTCGAGAGAGAAGATTTCTTCAGGCTGAAGAAGATTCAAGGTTATAAGAAGAGGGAGATCGAGAGGCAGAGAGCTTCTGCAATTGGGTTTGCTGAGGATCAAATTGCTGAGAAGCTGTCCTTGAGTAAAGGCATTTCGATGGCTTCGGCTCAGAACATGTTGGCTGCTGGCGCAAAGGACGAGGATATAATCTTTTGAGCTGGGATGCAAGTTAGTTTTAATTTATTGCTTCTTTCCTTAGGATTCGGGGCTGCTGCCACGGACATGCTGCTTCGTTTTGGTGGTGACTGCGCCGAGATCATTCAGAGCGGAAGAGATACATATATATTTTGCTGAATAAAGCTTACGTGTATGTTTGTTTGTTTAATCTGATTATTTGCTCCTCCTGTTTGTTACTTTCGACTGTAAGATGCATTTGATAAACATAAGTTTCGCTGGTTGCTTTGAGCATATTCTATCAGATTACTAGTGTTGCATGTTGAGAATTGCAGCTTTCTTCGAAATCATGGATAAACTAGACTCGCCAGGACTACTTGAACTGCACAAGCTGAATATGCAGGTGAATGCTATGAACTCTCAGACCTCTTCCCTTTCGTGACCGCAGTGTTTGCCCACTCAATACCTCCGCTCTCAAGTTCGAGGTTCACTGGAAATAAATCGAGCTACCATGTAGTATATAGAAGAAAAATCATTGACCAGGCCGATAGGCAACTTGATTATAACAACACAAAATCTAGAGACCAATAAACTTCACTGCAGCTAATCTGGGATTGATTTGGAGCAGAATTTATACTGATCTAGACAGCATTGGTCCATCCCACCCTTACAGTGTGTATTATTTGTGACAAAATCTAAAAAATCAATTAGATTAATGAGGGGGAACTAATTTGCCCTCGAATTATAGGAACACTGGAACAAAATTACTGCAAAAATATTGTGCAGTTCATTATGCCAAGCAAGGACTCAGGTGTGGGCCTTTCTTGTTACTTGTTCCTGGTGATTACTCGTTGTGTGATGTCTATCAAAGCTCGCTTCGACCTCTGCATATCCTCATCAATAGTTTCCGGTAAAGAATCAATAGCTTCTGCAGCAAGGCTAGCATGTTGTGCAGCAAGCTCTCTTGTCCTTTGTATTCCACGGCTCTTTCCAAGGTATTCAAGTGCCTGTAATATTTCAAGGACCAATGCAGAACACAATGGATCAGAATGCCCTGAAAGAAACAACGCGAAGAAAAGAATACTGAAATCTCATCCATGCCGGACTTACAAGGTTCACATTCTTGGGATCCTTGAATCCTTGATCAATAATTGCACGCAGCTGGGGAAACTCCTCCATGGCAAATAGTATCGGAGCAGTTACTATTCCCTACAAAAGGTGTTTGAGCAAAGTGAATAGAAAATTTGCAACACCAGGCCATTGGAACTGGCTGCAGTGTATATCAGTGGAAGCAGCATTCAAATATTCACACCAAGGTTTTTTGGATAAATTACATGGTGTATGTCTGACAGTGATCCTTTTCCAAGTGAAGCAGACGTGCCAGTGAAATCAAGAACATCGTCTATCAACTGAAACGCCATGCCCTGGCAAAAAGAAGGAACTGTTATCAGCATAAATTCAGAGAACAGAAAATAAGTTCTAAAAGAACCAGTGGCATTGGAAGCACACAACGTACAGAAAGATCCATATACAATGAATTCATGTAGTCAGAAGGCATTTTACTCATTGACAGCATTAAAACCTTTTTGGATTATAAACCATTACTCTTGCACCAACAATTTAACAGCAGAATCACATTCCAAAGGCATTGAAATGTCAGATCCTACAGGAAATGAACTTTCGAAAGCCATCACCATACAGCAGCTCTTCATCAGATTATGCAACATACTACAAACCAGATTTCTTCCATACTCAAAAGCCAGTGTTGCCACTTCACCAGTTTGCCCAGCAAGAAGAGCAACTGCCTTGCAGCTACTGGAAATGAGAGACGCAGTCTTGTAGTACGTCTTTTGCATATAATATTCCATGCTGCACAGAGAACATGTTCTTAGAAACCCCAACTCAAGGCATCATAAAAAATAACAGTAACCAACAAAGTAAAACTATATACATAAAGGAAGCACAATCATACAACTAAGGGTTCTCCTGACTGTACAAAATGCAACTTATTTGTTGAAAAAGGCCTGGTAACATACCTACAACGTTGCTCAGTGGTAGTAGTAATCTGCATGGTTTCACCAGTTACAAGATGCTCCAAAGCTTTCGCCACTAGCGAAACGACCTATAGTTATGCATTTGCCAGAGAGTGAGAAAACGGTAACAGGCCAGGCAAAGTGATAAGCAGCTCTTCAAAGGTAGCAATCTAGACTTGCTTTGGACTGGAATGTCAGCAAAATTACAGCATATATATACCTCCGGGTTCCCCAAAGAAGCTAGTGCTACACAAGCTCTTGAAAGTAGGAAATCTCCAGCTAGGACTGATACCTGCAGAATGCAATGGAAGACAGTAGTAGGACGCAGCCATGGTTTTCCTACTCTCAATTGAAACTGCCTCTAGTTGTTAGATTGGCAGATCAGACTGTATCTTACATGGGTACAAGAAGGAAAGTACCTTGTTGCCCATCACAAAGTTTAACGAATCGATACCACGTCTCGTGTCTGCATCATCCAAAACATCGTCATGGAGAAGACTTGCTACCTAATACGTGAAACTAGTTTAGTCATCCTCGTAGCGTGGCAAGTCCACCAAAAATTAACTGATGGTAACTGCTAAAGCAAGAAAGCACACATGAATCATCTCAGTGATCTCTGCTAAAAGTTGCTGTCTTGCACGTAGCTCTGCAGCCATGGGAGCACCAGCATTAGGTATAGGTTCAGGTAGGTGCACATTTAGAGCTGTTGCCATCAGCAACAACACCTGCATTAGAATTTAAACCCTCCTATCAGTAAACACAAACTGGGATAACAGAATGGCATAGGCCTACTCAGTATAATCTGAAAGAGATACAAAACTAACTGTGGAACAATATTTTAGTTTACCGTTGGGCGGAACCTCTTCCCTTCCACTCCAGTTTTAAAGAAGTATTCAGCAGCTGATGCGAGCTTGGGAACCTGGAAAGAAGGAGATCAATCATCAGGCCCGAACTGGAATTCTGCATCGCACAACTTGAGTCTAAAAGCAAAGTAAGATTTAAGAGCAAAGACAATTTTAAGTACCTCAGCAACTACCATTTCCCGCAACTTTTTGGCAAGAAGCGATAACTCATCAGCAACGAGTGAAAAAGGATCATGTTGTTCCTGCAAGAAAATCATTCACGTTGCAAGAACTGCAAATTGTTAAGAGCTCAATTGTGGTTAGTTTGTGGCTTTGTGCCAATTTTAACTAAGCATGAACCAAAATCAATTCAGGAGCTGGTCCGAATCAACGGGCCGACTAACTCAGCCGCAGATGACCAGCAGTGCTGTGATTGTTCTAGGTTGGATCTTGGCCCAAATGGAATTAGGCTTTGGGCCGTTGGCCCTTTCCTTTTGGCAAGCAGTACACGGAAGCAAGAAGAAAGGAATTAGACCGGACTCCTTTTCTTTGGAAGGCGACTTTGAAGGCGGCGCAACAGAATAAGTGGAATTGAGATTTGAGAGTCATTTGCAATTTGCATGAGTCATTTATCATTTGCTAAAAAATGAGGATGCTTCAGCTACAAAAACGAGAATGCTTTCTATAAAAAAATATATATATACATATGAGAATGCTTCAACTCACCTCAACCAAGGACGTGCTCTGGTGATACATTTGATGAAGCGCGGCAGGACGAATAATGTTCTCTGCAACTTATAACCTACTAATCACCACGAAATGAAAGGAGACTAAGAATTAGCATAAACAAATCAACCTTAATTAACAAAGACATAGTACTTTGGGTGCATCCAGTGGAAGTTTCAAGATTTTTGAATAAATGTGTCGAGGGGTAAAAATAAGCAACAACCAAAACAAATTTAATTATAATTAAACAGAAAATTTGTATTCATAAATTTCCCAATTTCAGAAGTCTAAAAGCAGCTCATTAAATACACCAGAAATAGCAGATCATGCATGACACAGCAAGCTCGCCAATACAAAGTTAAACAACTTCAGACGCAGAAACCGTGGAGAGTTCCTAGTCGCCGTCAGTCAACCGAACAGAACCCATGAAAGAGTCAGTGGAAATGTTCGACGGGAATGGGATTACCTTTTGATCGAGCAGAGTCGTCGACAGTGTTGGAGCTGTCGTCGGAGAGAGGGAGCAGATCCAGTCAGCGAGAAAGGAGCAAGCTAAGCGGCAACTTATTTATTAGAGCATTGCTCGTCCTGGTAATTCTTGAAATCGACGACAAGCCTCGTGACAAGAAGGGGGAGAAGTATACAACGAGGTATGCCGACTTGAATTGGGTTCTGCGACGTTCCTTCCTCCACCAAAACAAATTTATAGTCCGTATGCATCAACTCGATTTTTGGTGAAAGAGTCTGTTTAGTCACTAGGTGGACAGTTTTGTAAAAACTCTCAATAATAATAATAATAAATGAAATAGCACGAAGGACAAAAAAAAGAGCTTTCCCTGAAAGTGGTTTCGACTCTGAGATGGGAAGACTTACTCGATATAGGATCGTTAATGATAATTGAGGATCCACACAAAATGTAACAATCAATACATTATGAGTAAGACACCATCTTATAGCATCGCAAAAAACAAGTAATTCAGATATGCAACCATCAATGATATCACACTAGAATTTACCAAAAGCAAATGAAATAGTTGCTCATGCTTGAGGGTTCTTTGTTATGATTAAACAAAGCATTTAAGAGTTATACTATAATATGCTAAATTCCAAAAGTGTGAAGCATATAGTCGAATGTCAAGGCAACATAGCAATCCTAGACCATAAGAATTCTTCGATTGAGAAATCATCCTTGAAAATGACCGACACCAAAATCCTTGTTACAAGAACCGTACTGGATTAATGCTTGATCCAGTAGAATCGTCAAGCCAGTTACGATAGTGATCTGGTTCATTACTTGGACGGTTATTGATGGACCAAATGAATTTTCATGGTTCAACATAAAATCAAATGAACCACCACGATTTAACTGGTCCACTATTTTGATCATAAATTTTTTTTAAATAAAATTCTTTAACCTAAACTAAGACCATCAAACCAGAAGTGTTAATTTTATATCGGCTTTCTCTTCTCATTTTCCAACCTCGTTGTCGACTTTATTTGGTTCACTACCGACTTGTACTGTAATTTTGAACTTGAATTTTAAAAAATATGATATCTTTTGTGAGACAGTCTGAATGATTTATTAAATTTTTTGTGATGATATGAATTTGAAATTGTTTATGGTCAATGATAACTTCATTCTTAAATTAGTGTATTATACAAGTCTTGTGTTTTATATATCAAGAATAGTTCTATAAACAGTTAACCAAATTTTTTGTAACAGTCAACCACTAATTTTTTCGGTTAACATCCCGTTCAATTATGAAAACAGAGACCAAAACAAATAAACAAGTCTATGAAAAAAACAATATATTGTACGAATACGACAAATTTGTTGTACGTAATATGTCACTGAGTGAATGAGAAATTTTACAATGCTATATAGTATTGATGCTATAGGTTTTTGCCTTTATGGTACAACTTAAAATTGTACATTTATATTATGGTACAACTTCAGATTGTACCTATACTTTTTGTACAAATTCTTTTATGGTACAACTTGAACTTGTACCTTTATGTGATGGTACAACTCCAAGTTGTAAAGTTGTACAATAACATAATGATACAAATTGCTTTATGGTACGACCTAAACTTATACATTTAATGTTATGGTACAACTTTAAGTTGTACATTAAAGCACTAATACTATATAGCATAATAGAAATCAGAAAGAATATAATTGACACCCTTAAAAAACAATAAACCTGCGTTAATTCTATCAGAATTGAAAAAACAATGGCCCAAATCAAACCCGCATAATTAGCAAACCTCACCTAAAAGCTAAAACTTGTGTCAGGGCACATGTGCAAGAAATCAGAAAGAATATAATTGATTAAAGCATCCACGTTTCTAACAATACGACAAAACAAGTGTAGGAAAAGAGAATTTTGGTGGGGAAAGCTTTTTGGGGGAAGGGAAGAAAAGAGAAGATGGGTTTGGGTGGGCCTCTTGGCTTACTATGCGTTGGGCCCGGCCGTGTAAACCGAGAAACGTTTTAAGTTTGCAGAGCATGTGTGTGGACGAATGGACGCCCATTCTAAGCTAAGCTACTGCAATTTTACCTGATTTGTATTTGTGGATAGGCATGTTAATGAGTCGAGTCGAGTTTTGCCTTGTTCATGTTCGATTCATTTATAAACGAGCCGAGTCGAACACGAGCCGACTTATTTATTAAATTTTGACACATCATTAAGATCGAAAGTTTGGCTCGAGCTCAACTCTAAGATAATTTATAATATAAATACCCTAATATTTATATGTCATATGTGATACATGTGATTACCTAATGTTATGTCATATATGAGACGTATTTGCCTACATATACTCAATGTATTAAACACCATATGAGGTGTCTGGTGATATATACAATTTAATCATTATATGCATCATTAACAAACCAACTCATAAAATATAGATTGATTTTCTCATAAGTTGTTGTCGAGTTGGCTCTCTAGTCATAATGTTGGGACATCTCATAAGCTCAAAACGAGACAATTCATGAGTTGTATTAACGAGCCACCTAATCGAGCTAGTTCACGAGCTTCACGAGCCGAACAAGGTAGAGCTCAAGCTCGGCTCGTTTATTAACGAGTCGAGCTTTTTTTTAATCGAACGAGCTTTTATCGAGTTCGAGACCGAGCCGCTCACGAATAGTTCGACTCATTAACAACCTAGTTGTGCACACTTAAATTTGTCAAGACCAATATTTATGTAAATAAGTTTTCAAAATATTTTTTATGATAATTTATTTTATTTTAAAGTAAGTTTGGTAAGTCTTCCAATTATTTTATTTATGAACTTTTTCCAAAATTTGTCCTGATATTAAATAATATTTGAATTAAAATAAGACACTATGGACACTCTATCGACGCTCTAAATATATAATTGTTTGAGAATAGGCACTTCTGCGCTCTCGCTCCTGCTTCATGAATTGGTAACCGCAGCTCAATTGTTACCGACACCCTTGTAGTTGAATATTTGTCAAATGTAATATAATAGGATGAAAATTCAATTGTTACGATATATTCATTTATGACTAACTTTTATTGGAAGAATGCTAATGTTGTAATTTTAGTGGCTTCTTTGAATACACTAAAATGAGGAAAGAATGTTAAAAATAAAGTATATCCAAATTGGTTAATATAAGGGTTAATACCACTAGGCAACCGAACTATTCAGAATATGCCATTTGTGTCATAAAGTTAAGTATCCAATATGACATTTGTTAATTTTAATTTAAAAAAATAACAACACGATGTGACAGCTGATCTGGCACATACATGGCTGCCACATATGTGTCATGTAACCAACGGTCAACATTTTATAGTTGACCGTTTGGTCAACCGTTATCTATAACGGTCAACAAAATTGTCAGGACGTAAATGACACACAACAACCATACGTCAGGACACAAATGTCATATTGGATAGTTTAGAACACAAATGACACATTCTTGATTGTTTGGGTTTCCTAGTAAGCGAGCCCCGTCATCCGCATAAAAAAAGAATAGCCCTGCTTCCAAGGGTCGGGTCAGCCAAGTGGTGGCGGCTTTTGAAGTGGGTTTGAATATTGCTCAGGAGGTGGAGGAGCCGTCCAAGGCTCGAGAAGTAGGGCTCGTGGTTGACTTTGTGGAGAGTAGTCAACTCGAGAAGGGTGCTGGGGTGCTTGATGAATACGGGTCCAATATGGTCAACCCTTCTTCTGGGTTCAATAAACGACCTTTGGAGGACATTGAGGGTGAGGTGGGTTCCCCACCCACGCCGAAGAAACAATTTGTGGAATTTGCTGAAGTTCATGAGAAGGTGGAGGAAGCCAACCTGGAGTGGCCCCAACCTGATAAATGAGGCTTATTGCCTGGAATGTGAGAGGCATTGGACCTTCCCTCACATTCCAAACTGCTGTTGGTTTATTCCATTCGAATAAACCAGATCTCGTGTTTTTCTCTGAAACACGATCGAGCCAGCGTGTTGTCTCCCGTCATATGCGGGGTTTAGGTTTTGATATTTCTCGTTGTTTTTTTTTGTGGATGTGCGAATGATGCGTCTGGTGGTTTAGTGGTCACCCGGTCCCCCGAAGTTGATGCTTCAGTAATTTATTATTCCAACTTCTGTATTTGCTCCCAAATTAATGAAGTGAATCTTTCTTATATTGTAGTTTGTGTTTACATTAGTTGTTCTGCTGCAATTAGAGCCACCCAGTTGGCTGTTCTCTAGGAAATCTGTTTTGCCTTCCATCTTCCCTATGTGGTTATAGGAGATTTTAACACTACCCTTCATGAGAGTGAAAAAGATGGTGGTAATCCGTGGAATGCTAATAATTCGGTTAGCATGTGAGAATTTATTCATGATTTGGGTCTCCATAATCCTGGCTACCAAGGTGACCAATTCACTTGGACGAATAAGAGGATGGGTACGGCATGTATTCGTGAAAGATTGGATAGGGCCCTTTGTTCCCAGACCTGGATTGACTGGTTTCCTGAAACCTTGGTCAGACATTTTACGGATCAAAGCTCTAATCATAGAGCTCTCCTCCTCTCTGATACGCCGTATGCTCGGCATAACCGCCCTCTTTTCCGATTTGATGCCTGCTGGGCGGATAATCCAGAAGTCAAAGCTATGGTTAATTATGTCTGGCAGGAGGACATCCAGGGAACCCCTATGTTCCGTCTATGGGAGCTCCTTAAGAGACTCCGTCATTTGTTGTATGACTGTAGTAGAGCAGGTACTACTAACTCCTTGCGGAATATTCGAACCCTTCAGAGCGAAATTGATAGGGTGGAACTAATCCATCCTATTGACTGGGATGTGGTCCAGGGACTGGAACTAGAGTTAAACCGGCAATGGGAGGCGGAGGAAATTTACTGTCAACAAAAGTCCAGGGTCCACTAGCTGAAGAAAGGGGTTAAAAATACGTCCTATTTTCATACAGTGGCTAGGGCTCCTCGTAAAAAGAACTTTGTTGACGGCCTCCGTAATGATAATGGGGAGTGGATCACTGATGAAATTGGGAAAGCTGGTATTGCGAAATCCTTTTACCAACACCTCTTCACCACCGAAAATCAGGTGGTTAACATGACTGATAGGGTGGTTGCTTTGCCTATCGCTCATAGTGTTACGCCTAAGATGACTGCCAGCCTAACGGCTGAAGTACTCCCCAGCGAAGTTCGTAAAACGGTGTTTTCAATGGGGTCGAAGCAGGATCCTGAGTCGGATGGATTCACTGGAAAAATTTTCAAGGCCTTCTGGGATATTGTGGGTGACTCAGTAATTGAAGCGGTGTGTTCGTTCTTTGCTACAAGTCGAATGCTTCGTAGTTTCAACCATACTTGGCTCACGTTGATACCCAAGGTTGATAATGTGGAATCTATGCGACAATTGCGTCCAATCAGCTTATGCCAGTTTGTTTATAAAATTATTACTAAGATCATGGCGGAACGACTTGCCTGCCTCTTGCCTCAAATTATCTCACAGGGTCAGAATGCGTTTATCCGCGAACGTCAAATTGTTGAGAATATCCTCCTTGGGCATGAGTTAATGCATTATTTGAAAATCAAAATGCGAGGAAAGAAAGGGTACATGGCTCTTAAGGTTGACATGGAAAAGGTCTATGATAGAGTTGAATGGCCTTTTCTTCTTGCGGTTTTGGATAAGATGGGCTTTAATTCCGTTTGGCAAGGATGGATTCATGAGTATCTCAGGTCATCGTCTTTTTCTGTCCTCATGAATGCTTCGTAGTTTCAACCATACTTGGCTCACGTTGATACCCAAGGTTGATAATGTGGAATCTATGCGACAATTGCGTCCAATCAGCTTATGCCAGTTTGTTTATAAAATTATTACTAAGATCATGGCGGAACGACTTGCCTGCCTCTTGCCTCAAATTATCTCACAGGGTCAGAATGCGTTTATCCGCGAACGTCAAATTGTTGAGAATATCCTCCTTGGGCATGAGTTAATGCATTATTTGAAAATCAAAATGCGAGGAAAGAAAGGGTACATGGCTCTTAAGGTTGACATGGAAAAGGTCTATGATAGAGTTGAATGGCCTTTTCTTCTTGCGGTTTTGGATAAGATGGGCTTTAATTCCGTTTGGCAAGGATGGATTCATGAGTATCTCAGGTCATCGTCTTTTTCTGTCCTCATGAATGGTACCCTCTTGGGATATTTCACTCCTTCCAGGGGGCTACGGCAAGGGGATCCTCTCTCCCCTCTCTTGTTTGTGCTTTGCACTGAGGGCTTTGCGGCGCTCCTTCACAAGGCTATTTCGGAGAAAAGGCTGGAGGGGGTAAAGGTGGCTCCTCGTGCTATTTTGTATTTATTTTTGCCAGGCTCTCTCCGAGAATGTGAGAATTTGATTGAGGTCTTGAACGGATATGAGGAACTGAGTAGCCAGCGGGTGAATTTGGCAAAGTCGGTCGTTTGCTTTAGCAAGAATATTGTCCAGGCAGACCAAGAGTTCTTAGCGTCGATTTTGGGCATCGGGATGGTAGGGGTCCATGATAAGTATCTAGGACTACCTACGGTGATTGATTGTTCAAAAATGGCTACGTTCAGATATTTGGAGGAGAAATTATTAGAGCGACTACAGGGGTAAAAGCAGAGAACCTTGTCTTGGGCGGCTAAAGAAACTTTGATAAAGTCAGTTGCTTTGGCGTTGCCGCTGCATGTGATGTTCTGTTTCAAGCTTTTTGTCTCTCTGTGTCGTCTTTTGGATAAGCATGTGGCCAGGTTCTGGTGGGGTGATACTGATGGCCATTTTCGGATTCAGTGGATGTCCTGGCGCAATATGTGCTGCTCTAAACATGATGGGGGGATGGGATTTCGCCGTTTTGAGCAATTTAATCAGGCTTTGTTAGCCAAATTGGGAATGGTCAAGTTGCTTCCTTACTTCACTCTAACTGGATCCCTCTGCTCCAGCTTGATCCCTTAGCTATAACCCTCAGGTCTTACCGGGGGGGGCCCGCCTGTTGCGGAGGTTATTTGTCAAGGTGAGGGGTGTTGGAGCGATCGCAAGCTTAGCCAATGGTTTGAGTCGCCGACCTGTCGGGCCATTAAAACTATCCTCTTTTGTGCCAGAATGTGGAGGATAGGCTAATCTGGCATGCCACGCCGGATGGGGTCTTCTCGGTCAAATCTGCCTACCATTTAGTTGTTTCAATTGATCAGAGGAGGGGAGGTTAGAGGTCCACGGTTAGTTGGATGGATAAGGCCAGCTGGATTCGTTTGTGGGAAGCGAATATCCCGCCTAAGCTGAAACTCTTTGTCTTGCATATTCTAAATCGGATCTTGCCCACTACTGAAGCCCTTATTGATTAACGAGTCTCGGTGCTCCCCAGATGCCCGGTTTGTTGGGAGAGTTCTAAAACGATGGAAAACTTGTTTCTCGATTGCCCGGTGGCTCGTGCCATTTGGGACTATTCAGGCCTGGCGTATCTAGGGGAGGGGTTGCCTCGTCATACTTTCCCTTTGTTTATGAAACAACTAATGGCTTTGGTTCACCAACCGACGATATTTATGGCGATGGTCGCTGTCCTTTGGCGGATCTGGCGGTCTCACAACTGGATTGTCTTTGAGGGCAAACAGTTTGGGTTCCCCGCCTTGATGCGCCAGTTTCATCAGCAATACGAGGAGCGGGTCCGTTTGCCGGTGGATAGGGCTCCTCCGGTGGCTCTCCCTACGACTCGCAACCTGGGTCCTGTGGGGGATGACAGGGTTGTTTGTATGTGGGATGGGGCCACTAGGAGTGGATCGCACTCGGCAGGTGGGATGGTTCTTTTGACCCCGACTAGGGATATTTTGATGGCGAAGGGGTTTCAATTTCCTTTGATTGATGACCTTATGGTGGTGGAATTGATTGCCCTCCGTGAGGCTGTGTTTGTGGTGCGTGGCGCATGGCTTCTCAGACATTATCATTGAAGGTGATGCCAAAGTAATCATCGATAAAATCAATCAGGCGGACACCAGAGATAACCGAGTTGTGCTATTTTGGAAGAGCTTCTGCAGCATTTTGCCAGCCATCCGGGGGTTTAGTGTTCGATTTGTAGGTCGGCGTAGTAATAGGGTAGCCCATACGATGGCTCGAAAAGCCCTCTCATTGTACTCGACTATGAGTCGTTTCTTTGATTTTCGGACCTGGTTAAATTCCGGGATGCAACTATCTATTCTTCGAATCAATATATGATTATCTTTTGTTGAAAAAAAAAATTGCCCTTTAAATAAAGGAGCAGAGGTTAGTAAGCAACCTCATTGCTAGACTAAAGGAACAGAGGTTCATAAGGAATTAGCCAATATTCCATTACTTTTGAATTATTCGATGTTCTGTCAATTAATTTTTCAATATGATACATTTGTTTAATTTGACCGTTTGGATTTTGAAGTGGAGTAATGTTTTATGTTGAGACAACTCGTCCTTCCAACTCCATTTGCATTCATTAATGAAATTAAACTAAATCAACTTATGGAGACAACCTTAACTTACCGAATGAAAGCTTGTGATCTTTAAAAGTTGGGGTTAATTGTATAGTTGATTACTGAGATTATAAAAATGGTTAAAATTTGATCACTTGAAATATTTAAATTAATTGGTGGTACTTCCGTTTACTGAAGCCGTTCACGTTTGGTCACTCTCCGTTTAATTCCGTTAACTTTGGTTGATGTGACAGTCAACTCTCAAAGTTGACCGTTAACTTATTTATTTATTTTATGGTAAAAATGAGTTGGACATTAAAATAGATTAAATAAAATTAATTTATTATTTCTTAATTGCCAAGTCACTAAGTTAACGGTCAAGTTTGAGAGTTGACTGCCAGATCAGTCAAAGTTAACGGCGTTGGACGGAGAGTGACCAAATGTGAACGCTTTCAGTAAACAGAAGTACCACCAATGGATTTAAATATTTTGAGTGACCAAACTTGAACGTTTTTTGTAATCTCAATGAGCAACCTTGCAATTAACCCTTAAAAGTTGTTATTCGTGCATTATAAACCCAGGGGCTTGGTTGATGACAAGAGAGACAAGAAAATCATCCATTATTCTTCTTTCCATAAGTTTTTGGTGATTTAGTGTTCTTAACCCTATAATCTAAAGTAGTGATAGTTTTATTATACGAAGAAATTTCATGTAACTCAAAGCTTTGTAGAGGATGAAAAAATTCTTTACGAATAGTGAAATAGTTTCCTACTCTATCATAATCCTAATCACCCGATTCCTAATTCTCTCCAAGTATTCCATTCTTAGGTGTTATCTGTTGGTTTATTTCCTCTGCTTATGGTACCAGGTCAATGTATTTTATTGATAATACCAGTTATTGAACTTCATATGTTGTCGTTCTTTTATTGATGTTGTGTTGGATTATGTAATTTGACTCTATTGCGTACTCGTAGTGGAATGTGTTTCGTCTAGTTTGTTTCTATATTGTGGTTCTTTTATTGGACTTCAGAGTCAGTCATTTGTTTATGGAATGTGTTTCGTCTGGTTTGTTTATAAAAAGTATGTGATGGATTATGTAATTTGACTCTATTGCGGACCTGTATCTTGCTTATGTACTCTTTTGATTCAGCAACACTCATTTTGTCCAGGCATGGGAGCAGTTCAGGTTAATGGTTTGGTGTGCATACATATAGCGTACCACTTCCTTATGCTAGGTTCCCTTAACACCGTTGTCTGCTTTTCTCCACCATTCTACTCTCCATTTTCTCGCATGTTCCAAAATTTCTAGGTTAATGTCTGCTCTGTAAACTTACAATGTTCGATCTTGACCAAAAAACCACCCTGACCCTGACAACAAAGATACCCACTCCAAAATCTGTAGATCAGGATTACATCCTCTGCTTTAAAATACTACTCCTGTCACTTTTAAATTTATCAATAATTGGATTTCCGTCTTGCGCATTTCGGTCACAAGAATGAGACGACAAAGAGAAGCCTTGCCAAGAGGTATGTATTAATTTTGGCTCGCCAATGTACACTTCATCATTGTCGTCCTCAAACAAAAACTGGACCTGAACTTCTCTTCGCCACCAATTTATCAAAAGTCGAATTCAAATGGACCAGAAAGTGCCCGCCGCCCAAACAGGGCCGATAAAAGGCTTGTCACCCTCTAAACGAAAATGGGTCCATAATATCTAACTATTGCATTGCTTGGAAGACCGTTCCCTTCATATCCGTACAACAACCCTCGCCTCCTTCAACAGCCTTGCACGCCATGGCCTTCCCTACCCTCACCCTACGAGTGTACCGGTTCACGTTGCTTCCATCACTTCCAACCCCCCTTAAACCAATTCACAGGGATCCATTCTAGCTGGCAGTACTACCTCCACCATCGCCCCTTGCCTTGATGACCATCCGTCCCATTATCCTACAAACCTCATTTTATACTGCATCGCTTCAATCTCACCCATCCTCTGAACCCTAATTAGCGTTTCTCTGCTGCATTGTTAGATAGTGCCACTACTGTACCAATCTACGACGGGCCAAAGGCCATGCCTCGGACAATGCTAGTCCTTTCTACCTAAGGGAGATGGGAACCCTATATTTATAGATTATACTGTTACCTTCATCTCATTGATAGTTTATTTATATATGCTTCCTTAACCACCTCTGTCATAAAATAGGGTTAATGTCTGCTTATTAATTTTCTTATTTTATAGTCTGCTTCCTTAAGTCTAAGAGCTTATTTGTTTAATTACTATCACAAGCGATACACTGTCATACGATCGAGCTTTTGAGTTTTGGTTTTCAACAATAGACAGGATCAAGGGGACAATGGACAAGAAATCGTGAATTGTGGAATTCATTTGTTTGTAAGATATTGAAGCAGTCTTTGCAGATCTTCATTATGCATATCTTATTGTGGTTTGCATATCGCTATTTTGCTGTAAGTTTAATGAATTTTTGGAGTTTAGTGAATTCTAGCTAGAGAGTCTTCTTGCCCCTTCCCCAATCCCTTGCGCTAATGAATAATGGTGAAAAGAAAACACCCCACCCATAGCCTGTCAAAAGCAAAAGAAAAGAGAGAGACTTTCACAAGTACTAATGAACTGCCCTTCACGTTACCTGTCACTACTGACCATGAAAGTAGAAAACTTCACCTTCCCTCTCTTTTCCTCACAAATCATTCTCCATACTCCATCGTGTCACCCTCTCCGGTCACATCCCTCCTTCTCCAATAGCTTTTCTTTTCAATCACCCAACCTTCCATTGTGCTAGACTCCCAGCCATGCTAATCCCTTTTATTCTTCCTCTCATTCACATCTGACAAAGAATAGTAGAAGACAGACAGCAGGGGGAGCAGAAGTGGTGGTGGTAATCCTAGATGGAGTGGAAACAGAAGGCAAGATTATGCAATCCAAGGAGGTTAGTAGGAAGGTGAAGATTGCAGATAGAAGGGCAAACCAAATAAAGAATAGGTGAAGAAATTCAAGGTTGAACTTGGAGTTTATGTCATTGTAAATTTAGAGACAAAAATATGAGGACATGCTAAAATAAGAGATGCAAGTGCAGAATTTGTCCGGTCGGTAGGAAATTTTAAGACATAATCTTGAATTTGTATTTTTCTTAGTAGAACTATATTAATAAATTGGATTCGGTAGGAAACGCTTATAGTATGAGTTTTATTTGACTATTCATTGGAAATAAGAAGATTGTTATTTAATGTTGTATATGTCTTTGCAACATTTAATCATGAGTCCATTAGAACTATGGTACACAACATTTTTTGTGGGATTAAATTTCTACAGCTCTACCATCACCTGTGAATATTGTACCGCATGCTACATTTCTATGTTGATGAACTATGAAACTCGAGATACAAAAATCTCATGCACACACTTTCATACCTTTTAACCACACTTTGTTGCCAGTAACACAACGAACTCTAACTTGGTGTCACCTAGACTGACTACCATACAATTATGCCATGGCAACTTAGTTCCTGTGGTGTTGCGTAGCCGCCGCTCGTATTGATTCTAGCGATTATAACACCCAAAAACTGGTGACCAATAAACGTCACTTCCACTAATCTGAGATTCATTTGGAGCAGAATCTATACCTATCTGGCTATCTGTGTTGTACACACAGTAACATGGGAGCACAATTTACAAGTATCAGGTCCCCTTAGTGCATATTATTTGTGACAAAAAATCTGAAAAGCAATTAAATTAATGGGAGAGGGGGAACTAATTTGCCCTCAAATTACAGGAACAATGAAAGGAAATGAGTGCAAAAATATTGTGCAGTACATTGTGCCAAGGAAGGATTGAGGTATGTGTGGCTTCTTGTTACTTGTTCCTGGTGATTACTCTCTGTGTGATGTCTATCAAAGCACGCCTCGACCTACGCACATCCTCGTCATCAGTTTCCGGTAAAGAATCGATAGCTTCTGCAGCAAGGTTAGCATGTTGTGCAGCAAGTTCTCTTGTCCTCTGTATTCCACGGCTCTTTCCAAGGTACTCAAGTGCCTATAAATTTTACAAGTCCAATCCAGAACACAATGGATCAGAATGCCATGAAAGAAACAACGCAAGGAAAGTAGTGCTGAAATGCCATCCAGGCCTGACTTACAAGGTTCACGTTTTTGGGATCCTCGAATCCTTCATCAATAATTGCACGCAGCTGGGGAAACTCCTCCATGGCAAACAGTATGGGAGCAGTTACTATTCCCTACAAAAGGTGTTCGAGCAAAGTGAATATAAACACTTCATACAACAGGCCGTGTAGCTGGTTACAGCTTTAATCAATGAAAACAGTATTCATATAATCACACTAAGGTGTTTGGATAAATTACATGGCGTATGTCTGACAATGATCCTTTTCCAAGTGAAGCAGACGTGCCAGTGAAATCAAGAACGTCATCTATCAATTGAAAGGCCAAACCCTGGTAAAAAGATGGAACTGTTAGTTATCAGCATTAGTTCAGAGAACAGGAAAGAAGTTTGAAAAGAACCAGTGGCACTGGAAGCACACCATGTACACTGTTAATTACAAGATCTTTTGTTGATGAGTCAATGCATATGGATGCTAGAAGGAAACCCTTGTGTGTCTTAAAACCAACATAGTGGGAAATACTTTCCCAAATAAGCATGCAGCATATGAAAGGTTGGGAATTATCAGTCTTCTTTCAAATAATACGACATCTTTATGGACTTAAATGGAGACCGGAAATGAGATCCATAGACATGATTTCATGTAGTCAACGACTCAACTGGCATTTTACTCATTGACTTTGACAGTCATAAAACCTTTTTGGATTATAGACCATTACCCTTGCACCAACAATTTAATCGCATTCAAAGACATTGAATCTCTTTAACAGATTATTCACAAAGACACATTATGGAGGGGACTACGAACCAGATTTCTTCCATACTCAAAAGCCAGTGTTGCCACTTCAGCAGTTTGCCCAGCAAGAAGTGCAACTGCCTTACAGCTATTGGAAATGAGAGACGCAGTCTTGTAATACGTCTTTTGCAAATAGTACTCCATGCTGCACAAAGAACATGGTTTTTGAAAAATTTAAACACAACATATATCCCGGCAGGAAACCCCAACTCAAGGGACCATCAAATGGACAGTACCAACAATGTAACTATGTACATAAAAGAGGCACAATCGTACAACTAGGTAGATGCAATTGTTCTCACAAGAACAAGAGTTCTCAAGATTTGACTTTGACCAATGGTACAAGTTATAAAGGGACACACCTGCCTAATACATTACCAATGTCGAAAATACAATTCTGCACTTCATAACACAGGCCAGATAACATACCTACAACGTTGCTCAGTGGTAGTAGTCATTTGCATGGTTTCGCCAGTTACAAGATGCTCCACAACTGTTGCCAGTAGTGAAACGACCTATAGTTACCGCATTTGCCACAGAGTGAGAAAATGGTAAAAGACCAGCCAAACATATTAAAAATATAGCCAACCCTTCAAGCAACACCTAGCGAGTATAAATAAAGAGAAATGACACCAAGTGAATGATAGTGAACATTTCTCTTGCTGGCTGCTGCACCTAGCAATGACTTTTTAAGTCTTTTTGCACCATGTATTAACGGTTTTGGCATACTTTTTCAAGAACTTCTCCAACAAACAAAAGAGATAAGCAGCTCTACAAAGGTTGCAATCTAGACTTGCTTACCTCAGTGTTCCGCAAGGAAGCTAGTGCTACACAAGCTCTTGAAAGTAGAAAATCCCCAGCTAAAACTGATACCTGCATTAACAAAGGACAAAAATCAATGAGACATTATGACCCAGTCATGGTTTTCTCCAGTTCGAAGCATCATTTCTACTTCCAATTGAACTGCCTCTAGTTGTTTACATTGGCTGATCAGACTGTATTTTCCATGCCATAAGAAACCTAGGAGACAAATCGAAAAAATCTATAAAAAGCTACAAGGGGATGTTCACATGGCATCCCAAAAGTACTGTCTTAGAACAGCAAATAGGATATGATAAGCATTAAAAGAAATCCCAATGAAAGCAAATTGTATATTCTGGAAAATACAGAAGTACCTTGTTGCCCATAACAAAGTTTAATGATTTAATACCACGTCTTGTGTCCGCGTCATCCAAAACATCATCATGGAGAAGACTTGCTACCTAATATGCCAAACCAGTTAAGTCGCCATTAAGTGGGAAATCCACAAGTTGATACCATCAAATTAACTGATGTAACTGCTAAAGCAAGAAACTCACATGAATCATCTCTGTGATCTCTGCTATACGTTGTTGTCTTGCACGTAGCTCTGTAGCCATGGGACCGCCATTAGGTATAGGTTCAGGTATGTGCACATTTAGAGCTGTTGCCATCAGCAACAAGACCTGAATTAAAATTTAGCCCCTCGTTCAGTATCACATTAGTACCATTAAACACAAACTGACATGAATAAAAATAGTGTATATTTAAGTTACCGTTGGACGGAACCTCTTCCCCTCCACTCCAATTTTAAAGAAGTATTCAGCTGCTGAGGCAAGCTTCGGAACCTGGAAAGAATGAGATCCGTCACCACCCAAATAGACGCAACACTCAGATGGGGCCACAAAATAACAAGGAATTCAAAAAAAAAAAAAAGACATCGAGTATTCTGCATCACACACTTAAGTACCTCAGCAACTACCATTTGCCGCAATTTATTAGCAAGAACCAATAACTCATCAGCAACAAGTGAAAAAGGATCAAGTTGTTCCTGCAAGAAAATTAATCATGCACATCAATTGCTGTGACTAAGCTATAAAACTGCAAATTGTTAAAAAGCTAAAGGTTGCTAATGGAGGCCACGAGTCATTGACATGCAGTTAAAATACAGAGATTTAGCACTTTCTTTTTAACTGCGACTACCTAAAGAAAAAAACACAAGAGGACTGCCTAACAGGACATTGTGGCCCCAGAACAGCTCCCTCACCAAATATTTGGGCACAAAATGTAAAGTGATTGTTATACAATAACACCCCTCTTGCTTCCCTATCTTTTCACCCTCACAGTCCACCACAATCCATAGATAGACAGTCATGAATTTTTCCCTTCGAAAAAAGGGCCTAGAAACCTTCTAAAATCTTGAGGGGATTTAGATTGTGCATAGAGGAACAGATTAAGGCAGTCCAGCAGTAACCTCGAAGGAAATACTTAAGCTCTATAAATTCTATATCAGATACTCAGGTACGTATTTGTAATCTCAACTATCAAAATAGGCCATCTTAGGATTTCAAGGAGAACAGGTACAACTCTCATATCAGTTAGCAGGTAGCAATGTGATAACCTAGAGGCCAGGAATCTCCCCATCATCACAAATTTAGTTTAACCTTGTGAACCAAAAGTTGTAAAATTTAAGAAGCTAGCAAACAATATCAAATGAAAAATGACGATGCTTCACCTAACCTCAACCAAGGAAGTGCTCTGGTGATGTATTTGATGCGTAAAGCCAAGCCGTGCAGGAGTACTTGACGAATAATGTTCTCTGCAACTGTAAACCTACTAATCGCCACGAAATGAAAGGAGACTAAGAAATAGTAGCATAAACCGATCAACCTTCCTTAACAAAGACAAAGAACCCTTCGGGGACATCCAATAACATTATCAAAGACAAAGCAATGCAAAATATCTAGGCTTCATTCCGTTAAAACCAGTTCCAAAATAACTCAGCTTTCCAAAGTGCCAAGATTAATTCAAACAATACCAACTCGGCTCATTCTACGAAATGCTTGCCTGGAATTCAAACTAACAGTGGGACGGAAATTTCTATGGCCATGCTTACATTCATTGATAAAATCAACCACTTCATCATACATTCTCCTAGAAATCTCATGACGTTAACACACAGTAAAACCCCAACACGCAATACCTCTCCAGAAAACTTCGGTCAACAAAGAAAGAAACTTGTACCTCCATATCGAACTGTATACTTATCGGGTAATTTTCTCAAAAACACAATCATTACAAAATATTCAGAAGTCCAAAAGCAGCTCATTCGAGACACCAGAAATACCCATCATGACACCGCAATCTCGCTATACAAACTTGCACAACTTCAGACGCAAAACCGTCATTAAACAGAGAGCTCCAAGTCGCCGTCAGTCAACCGAACAAAATCCAGAAAGGGATTATTAGAGCAGCAAGAGAAGCAAGCACCAGGAACTCGAGTCGCCAGATAACTATTCCAAATCGCCGACGGGAATGGGAAGTAGGGATTGGAAGAGTCAGTGGTGATGCACGACGGGATTACCTTTTGAGTAGAGTCGCCAAGGGTGCTGGAGCTGCCGTCGGAGATAGGCAGCGGATCCAGTCGGTGCGAAAGAAGCGAGCGGCAGCCTAGAGCGTTCTTCGTCCTGGTAATTCTTAAAATCCGCGACAAGGCTCGTGACAACATCATGGAATGTTCGATTGCGATGCTGTTTTCCTTGATGAATCTGAGAAAATGAGCACAGGGTGGCTGCCGGCGGGGGAGTTCGTCGGGCGAAAGCGAAGCAGAGGAGGAGCAGAACACAACGACGTACACCGACTTGAATTGATTTTCCGCCCTTACTCCAGGAAACAAAACAAAACAAAAAAATTCTTTTTCTTTTTCGGTGGAAATTTCGTCGTTCTGTTAACGGAGAAGAAGAAACATGTTTTGATGACGACGGCGAATCTCAGCCACTCGCCACGTTTCCCCTTCCCTTCTACCGTTTCTTCCTAAATCCCTTTCTCTTCTCTGTTAGTTATTACGGATATTTGCCGTTTGCCTGCTTGACTTATTTCCCACGTCTAGTACCCTTATTATTGTCCAATGCCATATTAAATCTTCAATATTTACTTTTCCTAGTACGAGTCTTGTAATAGTTGTTGTGACTTGTGACTTGTGACTTGTGACTTGTGATTTATATAGGCAAATATTAGGGTTGGATATCTCAATAATCGAGTTGATACTACGTTAGATAGAGTCAATTTACTTCAATATTGATTCTTGATAATTAGATAGTAGAGCAGATGGACATTTTTTTTTCCTGCCGATGACTCTTCGTATGTTTCTCATTCTTTAAAATTGTATAAAGAAAGCTCAAGTTCGATTCATGGAAAAGAAAATCAGAAGAGTAGAAAAAATATACTATCCACAGGTTGTATAAAATTCATAACTTATAACTCAAACATGATTTTCTAGTTGTACTAGCAAAAGTCCGCTCGTTATCGTTTCGCATATCAAAAAATAAATATTTTAAAGAGTAATAGTTTTCATGTTGACCCAAAAGTGAAAGTAATTTTATTTATTCTTAATCAATCTTTTCATAGGTATGTTATTTACAATAGCATATGGTCGATGAACTTGCATAAGGTAGAAGGGTCGTCGAGTTGATTATTTATTTTTGAACTTCTTTCATGACGCCAATGTTTCAATTGTATGACTAGTAGTTGATCATGCAGTAATTTTTGCAGAATGAAGCAGTTTATGTTAATCTTTTCAAAAAGTATTAAAAAATTGTCAAGTGTTTAGCTGAAAAAAAATTGTCAAGTGTTTAGCTGAAAAACTATCATATTCTGAAAAATAATATAAAATATACTCGACGTCTTCACTGCTCAACAAATCTATATATCATACTAGACAATAATTCACGAACTGATCGCATATTCAATTTCTAACCTTGTTCTTTGTGTAACTCAAAGTTGAAAGACTCTTTTAACTCTTTGCCGTGTAACTATAAAATCAATTCAAATTAAGGATAGCCCGTAATTACTTTAGTTGTTAGGTTTTGAAAATAGTTGGGGATAAGAAATAATGTTTTTACTATTTCATAGTGTTTAAATAGAACAAGAAATGAGTTGCAACCTAGAGAATATGTTTAATAATAGTAGTGTCCTTGGTTTGAATAACACAAACTACCATTTATATTTTATTAAATCTTACACACATTAGTATCGAGAGTAGTATAATCATTTTTTCAAATTTTAAGAGTATCTCGGATTACTAATAATAATTTTTTTCCATACGAAGCTACAACTGGGTTGGATAATTGTTCTTCCAAATTTTAGGGGTGTCCTAAATGTCCACCACTGATCATAATTACTTTCTAATATAAGAGGTGATGAAAATGCCTAAAAAATATTTCTAACATAAAATATGAATACAAAATTCTAAAAATATATAAGTATTTAAAATGGATCATGTTAGATTTATTTAATATAAAATAATATTGTTTTTCAATTTTTTTTATGAATCGGTGGGTTTGTATTTCATAAAAAAAAAAAGAGCTGCTAGCAACAGCCTTGCTAGCTAGTCCTACATCACTTTCAAAATAACACTACCAAAACAGCAAACCAACAACCAAACCAAAACGTTGACACCAGCAAACATTCGACAGCATCTTTCACGCCATACATGACTCATCCAGAACTGCCAAATCAGCCTCATCACTTCAACAGTCTCAGTAGCAGCAGAAAATTTAGCAGTCCAGAGGTTCATTGCATCGTCCCAACCAGGCCTAAGAGTACTCTTCAGTGAGCTACTTAGAAGACCATCATACAATGTTTTCGAAAAAAGACATTTTGTAAATAAGAGCTATCTGTCCTCATGTTCTGTATCACAAAGACAACAACTCGTAGGTCCCAAATAGCCCCATTTTAGCATCCTTCTCCTTGTGTTTATACAACCTTTAACAACCAACCATGAGATCACTGACACGCTATGACACAACTCCTAACAAAGGCCAAGTGTAACCAATGAAAGGGACTGCAGTATAGTGGCTCAAGTGATAAATATCGAATCCACGGGTCTCTAGAGTTACTATTACTCAGCTTCAGTTTATTATTTAGCAAACCAGATTAAGATGAAAGAACTAAAACTACTCTAGCAAACTATAGTTAAAGTTAATCTAATTACAGGTTGGGAACTCACTTAGGTATGATTCCCCCTAGCCACTAGCCAGATTAATGATTGATGATCTCTAACCTGTTTCACTTTCATTCACAATGCAGAGAATCCTTGACTAGACCTTGAGTCTTGACTAAAGGAACAAGGCCCTCTTGAGTCAATTGCCTAGAGGGACGTATCCTTCTCTAGAACAATCGATCAAGGCGTTCTGAACTAGACTCCCTCTATCGAAAGAGGTTCTCAATCGATACAAAACAGTGAATCAACCCTCGACTAAAGCAATCGATCCAATACTATCAATCTATGGGGCTCTATTGACCTAATCAGGTATTCGCTCTCATAGGATCAAAAAAGAATCAATAATCTCGACTAAAGCAGAATTGAATCATGAAAACATGCATAGATTGAATATGAACTCAAGGTTATCAAGTCAGAGTACTCATACAATCATCCAATCAAACAAACATAGCTAGGGTTCCTCAAAACCTAAGTGAAGGGAAGTTACTCCATAGAGAAGAGAGAGACTGCAGTAAGAATCCTCAGATGATCAGTCTTCAAGTCCGGGCTCGTTCCTCGAGCTTCCAAGGCGAAGAAATCCTCCAATTCCACTCTTAGAATGCCCTCAAATCGCCCTCTCTCTCTTTGGTTCGTCCCTTGGGTGTTTGGGATCCAAAACCCAGCTCTCCCCCATTTCGTTTGGCTTCAATCTGCCTAAAAAACCCGATTCTGGGCAAAACATGGTCGAGGGCACGGCCGTGCTTTGGTTTTGCCCGCCCGTGTTTTGCCCCGTGTTAAAAACACGCTCGTGCGCGTCGGCCAAAACACGGTCGTGCCTAAATATGGGCACGGCCGTGTTTGATTTAGGCGCGCCCGTGTTTTTACTGCCGAACATGTTCCCCTATATTCAATGCTTCGTTTCTCCCTCGTCCGGAATCTGAATCAGTCATTGTTTGATCCCATACGCTCGTAGTCTCGTCCTCTTTATTTTCATGACAAGTTTGAATGATTCTTTGTCCATAAAGTGAGGTAGAAATCCATTCTTCTTCAGGTCATGCCCGAGTTTCTTCTCCCTAATCGCCAATTGATCTCTGATTGACTTGAAACTTGCGCCTATGCTTCACTTTATGTGCTAGGACCTGTAATGTGATAAAGGAACACAACCTAGCGTAAAATAGGCCAAAGACGCGATAATTAAAGCTCAAACGATCAAGAAACAAAGGGGAAAACATGTGCACATATCAAGTCATCAATCACCATGTTCCTTGGGATAGCCTGCCTTTACCATACAAGTTTTCATCGGGGAACTATCTGCTGAGTAGGCTTAATAAATTCTCAAACCTTCCAGATCGAGAACGAATTCAGTGGGACACCTTTAAACAGAACTGTGTCATTATCTAGTGAAAGCAAGTGACTAACTCTAGTTTTGATTTTAATGATCTTCTTCCAGTTCCATGATCCAGTTCTACATGTATAAGTCCAGAAGTTATGCTCTTTTATCTTATAATTAAGCATGGATCCAAGCTACCCACAAAGAGCCTTCTTTCAATAGAATAAGCCATATATGCCTTACCATGCAAGCTACATTCCAACTGCTCATATCCCTAAGTCCCAGACCATCCTCTTTCTTTGGGAAAGTCAGTTTCTGCCAGACCATATTTTCTCTAAGCTTTTTCAAGTCCCAACTCCCCATATGAATCAACTACAAATCTGTTCAACCTCTTTAATAACAACCCATGGGAGTAAAAACACCGACATCCAAAATTGTGTCAAACTATACAAATCAGTTCCTACTAGCTCAATTCCTGCATAAGACAAGGTCTTAGCTTGCCAGCTTCTTACTTTAGTCACCAATTTGTCAATAAGAGGCTTGCAAGCAGCAAGACTGAGTTTACCTGAAATGAGGGGAACCCCCAAGTATCTCACAGGAAACTCTCAAAGCTGAGCCATATCTGGAAGCCCTTCTACCTTTTTCCTCTTGATCTAACCCAGTAAAAACGACCTCACATTATTAGGGTTTGATTTCAGACCTGAGATCCTTCTAAACTGACTGAGAACCCTTTGAAGTTCCAGAATTCCACAATTTGATGCATCAGAGAAGACCAGAAGGTCATCCGCAAAACAAAGATGTTTAAGTTTAATTTTCTTACACGGTGGGTGAAAAGAGAAGTACCCATCAGTGGCAGATTTGTCAAGAAGAGACGTGAAAATTTCCATAGCTACAGAGAACAGGTAGGGGAGAGAGGATCACATTGCCTGAACCCTTTATTAGCTTGAAAATAACCAACAAGCCCCCCATTAAAACTAACACTAATCATAGGAGTGCCCACATGTTAGACCAAGCGAGGTCAATAATGAATACTTTTGACGTGGTCGGTGCACAAATTAATTCTGATTTCAATAGTGAGAGATTAGCACTAGCTTGATTGAGCAATCCAAAAGGACTTGCCAAGAATCTCTCTTGAAGTGATTAATTAGTTGGCACTGATAAAGAGAACAAGGTTAGAGAAGGTATAGAGAGAGAGAGAGAGATGAGTCAGGACACGCAATTTTAACGTGGTTCGGCCAATATGGCTTTACATCCACGTCCCGGAGATAGTTACCACTATCTCACGAGAGACTCTAACTTTTATTAAAATAAAAGACTCTCTAACCTATGAAATTGAAACAATCTTGACACTTCGTGTCAAGAACCAAATAGGTGCAACTCCACACCTATTCAACCCTTAGCCAAATCCAAGCTAAGCTACCCACTCAATCACTCAAGCCAACACTCTTAGTTTGACTTGATTGAAGACTAATCCATCTAATGCAACTCCCAAGCAAGAATCACATCTTGCTCTTGCTCTAGTCCCAATTACAAATACCATTTCTACCCTAAAACCCGACCTAGCTTGAATATCTCAACCTCCGAGATATCAAGCTATTCACACCACGAAATATGATCACACAATTTCGCTATTACAAGGGAGAAGAGATCTTTGCAAAAGGTGTCCTGGTCTACAAATGACTCTACTATTTATAGTGGATGTGAGCCTTCATTTTCTTTCATTTGTATTCCTTTATGTGGCAAGTATCTCCTTGATTTGATACCCTTTTTGCTTGATATGGTAACTCCTTTGAGGGCAAGCAATCACTTTGATATGGTAACTCCTTTCATTTTCTTTCATTTGTAGTCCTTTATGTGGCAAGTATCTCCTTGATTTGATACCCTTTTTGCTTGATATGGTAACTCCTTTGAGGGCAAGAAATCACTTTGAATTGTTTCCTTTTTCCTCATCATTGATTGTGATATTTCTGCAGAGATTGTTAGTTCACAATAATAGCATATATTCAAAACAAAATATCCTATGATATTCAATTTGCTAAATCAAGCTTGTTGACTCAACATTCTCCCCCTAAGCTTGATTTAGCATCCTGTTACTGCATATGCTTCATTCATCATAAAGCTCAATATTAAAGAATGACAATCATTATATCTCTCATTCATCATACGCCACAGATTATTAAGAACACAAATTACTTCATTCATCCTGAGTATAGCTCAGGGCATTATTCAATCAAACACTCAACATCGCAAATAAGAGACATGATTTAATACTCCCCCTGACCCAATCTAGAGCTTAAAAGCAACAATTCAAATAAGTCATTTAAAACAGCAGCAGCAACAACTAACAACTCGAAACTTGCTCCCCCTAAATTAAGGCTTTTAATTGTTTTGCTCAAGATCATGATTCTCATAGAGAACCACTCCTTCAGAATGTTTTTGATTATTGAGACGCTTGAGAACTCTGCTAGAATGGAGAGGCCCTTTCGCCTGTCGCCTGAGCTTGAAGGGACGGACAGAGGCTGAAACAGATGCACCACCATCCGCGGACGCCTCGTCTTTGGCAAGCTCTTCGCCTCTTTCTCCAATAGTTGCGTGCGTGGCCACAACATCTCCCCCTGATGATAAATCAACAATGGGGGGAAGTCCCACGACAGTCAATACTTCATCAATGGAGGGATGAACAAAATTGTCAGAAATAGTGACAAAGTCAGCCAGAGGCACACCGAGACACTGCAGCAGCAGCGTAATCAGCGCAGCAAAGGGAAGACCAACACTGGGAGAGTCATTGGCAGCGGCATCCACGATTGCCCCAAACAGCAGGTGAGGATAGCTCAACGGCATATCAGAGATGGCGTGAGACATGACCCAGCAATCAAGAGGAAAAATGACATCCAAGCGGTCACCCCGCGGAAAGTACACTCGGGTGGTGTAGTAGTGGAGAAGCTTGAGTGAATCATCCAGCGAGTCCAAGGAGCGATTTGTAACCTCCCGACGCAAGTCAAACTTGTATGACCAGAACTCCAAAGGACTAATGAGTTGCTTGCCTCTAGTAGGCAGAATAAGAAATGCATCAAGGTCATCAACCGAAAGGGTAAGCAAGTGACCATATACCAGGGTGGAGAATTTGCCCGTTGCGAGCCCATCTATCCGGAGATTGGAATAGAAGGCACGAACGGCAGCTGGGCAGTAGCTGGGAGGAGGTGAGTCACCCATAGGAAGCCAACCTAGACTGTCGATGAGGGAGATAGGATCCATAGTGTCAACAAAGGCGAAAGCATAAGGATCCAGAGTGCAGATCGGCAGAATGGGCTTCACTGCAAAAATCTGTTGATGACAGTCACGATTCTCACCAACCGGATGAGGGTAGAGCGCCCCGGTAAAGGAAACGATCCTCTGCTGGCAACGAAAGAGAGCTGGAATCATGAGGAACGAGTCACCGGAGAGGAAGCTCATGATGTCGTTTCAGCCAGAAAACGTGGAGCAAGGAGGGGTTTTTTAGAGATGAACGTCGTGATCGATGGAAGGAAACAAATATATATATAGGCAGAGACTCTAGCGTTTCCGCTGGAAGGACTTAAGGAATGGGGGTAAGGGAATCATGATCGACGATTCGGAGAGGAAGGCAGAAAGGGGAAGAATCGATTAGCGGGAAAAGAGAGATAGAAGGCGAATGAAAATTGATGAAGAGGAAGGAAAGATTGGGAATTACAATGAGGCGGCGATGGAATCAAGCGGCAAGAATCCCCAAGGTGGATACGGGGCAAGAATCATAGAAGAAAGGGAAAGGCGAGACTACTCGCCGGGAAAGGCGATTTCCCAGGGGAAATAGCGAGACTACTCGCGGGAAAACGCGAAGTCGCGCGCAGTAGGGGAGTCGCCGTTTTGAGTTTGCGATGGTGTGTCCCCCCTTTTTCAAATTTTTTTAATTTTTTATAGTATTATTTTTATTATATATATATAGACAATAATGGAAACAAACACTCAAGAAAGAGAATATCAGGATCCAAAATTAGCAAGATCGAATTGGAAAATCATTCCTAACTCACTACGAATAAATAGAAATTGATCTATAGGAAGTGGTTTAGTAAAAATATCCGCTAGTTGCTCACTCGTAGGTATGAAGGAGATAGACACGGTTTTACTCTGAACTAGCTCTCGAAGAAAATGATATTTAATCTCTATATGTTTTGTCCTAGAGTGTTGAACCGGGTTTTTGGACATATTAATAGCACTCGTATTATCACATAAAATGGGAACGGTAGGAAGTATAATTCCATAGTCCGCTAGTTGAGTCCTTAACCATAGAAGTTGTTGACAACAACTTCCTGCGGCAATATACTCAGCCTCAGCGGTGGAGAGAGCTACGGAGTGTTGTTTCTTACTAAACCAAGAAATTAAGGACCGACCATAAAATTGACAGGTTCCAGAGGTACTTTTTCTATCTGTTCTACTACCGGCAAAGTCTGAATCGCTAAATCCCATAAGCTCAGGGTTTGTTTCCCTAGGATACCATAGACCTAAAGTAGGTGTACCTTTCAGGTAACGGAAGATGCGGTTAACGGCACTAAGGTGACTTTCCTTAGGTTTGGACTGAAACCTAGCACACATACAAACACTAAACATAATATCTGGCCTACTTGCCGTGAGATAGAGAAGCGATCCTATCATCCCACGATATTTACGTTCATCAACATCTATATCACCTTCATCCTTGTCTAATTGGATATTGGTAGCCATTGGGGTCGGACTAGGATTAAGATTACCAAGATCAAACTTGGTCATCATGGACTGAGTATAGTTCGTCTGACTAATGAAAATTCCTCTTGAAGTTTGTTGGATTTGAAGTCCTAGGAAGTAAGTAAGCTCACCCATCATACTCATTTCAAAGTTTTGTTGCATACAGGAGGCAAACTCTACGGACATAGTTTCATTAGTAGCACCAAAAACTATGTCATCAACATAGATTTGGACAACCATAAGATCATTGTTATGTTTTTTGAGAAATAGAGTTGTATCAACAGAACCCCTAACAAACCCTTCACTTTCTAGAAATTGAGTTATACGTTCATACCACGTGCGAGGAGCTTGTTTTAATCCATAGAGAGCCTTTTTAAGTTTGAAAACATGGTTAGGAAACCTATGATCTTCAAAACCAGGACGTTGTTCTACATAGACCTCTTCATGAAGGACTCCATTCAGAAATGCACTTTTGACATCCATTTGATATAATTAGAAATTCATTGAAGAAGCAAAGGCACACAACAGTCTAATTGCCTCAATAAGGGCTACGGAGCAAATGTTTCATCATAGTCTATTCCTTCTTATTGATTATAGCCTTTAGCCACCAATCGAGCCTTATTCCTATTAACTATCCCTTGATCATCTGTTTTATTGCGATAGACCCATTTAAGTCCTAGAATAGTTTTACCTATTGGTCTAGGAACCAAGTCCCATACTTGAGCTCTAGCAAATTGAAGCATTTCTTCTTGCATAGAAAAGTTCAAGTAAAGCTTCCTTAATGTTTTTAGGCTCAATCAAGGATAAATAGACTGTAGCAATAAGTGAAAAGTAAGAAGTCTGACCTTGATATAAGTCCTTACTTGATCTTGTTTTGACCCCATCATTAATGTTCCCAATGACTTGATGCGGAGGATGTGCCTTAGCAATATGAGGTGGTGCACTTGGCTCTTGGGATTTGAATAACCTCTCATGTGGAATCTCCGATTCTTGGGTGACTGAGGTTGTCGTCGTTCTAATTAGTCCCAAATCATCCTTATCATCGTCCTGCTCTCTTTCATGCTCAGAAATATAGTCAGTTTCATCAAAAACAACATATATTGATTCCTCTACCTTCAAGGATCTCTTGTTGAAGACTCTATAAGCTTTACTACGAGTAGAATATCCCAAAAGTACTCCCTCATCTGACTTTGAGTCAAATTTTCCTAGTGTATCCTTAGTATTAAGTATAAAGCATCTACACCCAAATGGTCTAAGATAACTAATATTTGGCCGCTGATCTTTCCAGATTTCATAAGGGGTTTTTTCTATGATGGCCCTAATCAATGTTCTATTCAGAACATAACAGGCGGTAGCTACTGCTCCAGCCCAAAAATACTTTGGAAGCCTAGTCACTAAGCATTGTTCTAGCTAGCTCTATAAGAGCTCTATTTTTTCTTTCCACTACGCCATTTTGTTGAGGCGTCCTAGGGGCTGAAAACTCATGGGAGATTCCTAGTTGATCGCAGAAATTTCCAAAGCTTTCAGAATCAAACTCTCCTCCATGATCACTTCTGATGCTTTTAATACTAAGAGATTTCTCATTTTGAATATTTTTCACAAGAATCTTGAATTTCTCAAGAGCTTCATCTTTGTGAGTCAAAAAGATTACCCATGTATATATAGAAAAATCATCTACTATGACAAAGGCATAATACTTTCCACCAAAGCTCATCACATTAGTAGGCCCAAACAGATCTAAATGTAGGAGCTCTAAAGGTTTAGATGTAGTGAAGTGAGATATACTCTTGAAGGATGCTCGAGTTTGTTTTCCTAGTATACATGCATCACAAAAGAAGTCATTTGATTCTTTTAATTGAGGAAGACCATCTACTAGACCCAATTTAGCTAATTTAGCCAATCTCTTTATGCTAACATGTCCTAGTCTTCGATGGCATTGAAATTGCTTGTTCTTACCTAAAGAGAGAAAGCAGGTTTCATTGAATGAAGCCTTTTTACTAAGATCAATGACATAGACATTATTTTTCCTAACTCCTAGGAATAATAGTTTATTGTCTTTGATCCTCTCAATAAGGCATGTCTCACGTTGAAACACAACTCTATTAGTTGTACCACATAATTGACTAATAGATAACAGGTTGTGCTTAAGACTATCAACAAATAACACTTGAGTGAAGGTAGGGTCTGGAGGCTCTCCAATCGTACCAACTCCAAGTATCATACCTTTACCATTATCACCAAAGGTTACTTTACCTCCCTTTTTAAGAGTCAACTCTGAAAAGAGACTCTTGTTTCCCGTCATATGGTGAGAGCATCCGCTATCTAGATACCATTCATTTGATCATGCTCTCTTAATGACCTGCAAGATATTTAGATTGTTGATTTTGGTACCCAGACTTGCTTGGGTACCTTTTTCATGGGATACGATTGATATGAGCTATAAAGGTTATTGTAGTAGCATTTTCTCCTAATGTGTCCTTGTTTATGACACCAATAGCATACAATTCTTGAATTACATTCTTGTTTAGTGTGTCCTTTTCTAGTACATTTACTACACCTCACATTTTTCATGCATTCTTTACTATGGTGACTCTTTCCACAATTCATGCACCTAATTTTGTCATAATCTCCACTATGAGCATTACACTCAACACACACACACAATTGATTTATTATGAGGTTTTTGCACCTTTTCTTTAGACTTCTTTTCCTTGTCTTCTAATCGCTCTATCTTGGTATTTGCTTCAAGAAGTTTAGTCCTAGAGTCTATTATCATTTTTTCCAGTTCATTATTTCTAACTCTCATATCTTCTAGTTCTTCAAGAGGTCTATTATTCTTGAGTTTACCCTTTGGTTTCTTCAGAACTTGATTTTCGTCACGTAATATTGCAATATCCTCTTTTAATTCCTTAATTTAATTCTTGCTTAGTTTCAAATCCTCTTTTACCTTGTAGTATCTATCTTTTAGTTTTTCAAAATGATTTTGCATTTATTCATATGCTTCAACTATACTACTGCGAAGATTTGAGCCACAATCACTATCATAAGTTGGAAAGGATGAACATACCTCATCTTCATGTGATCTTGACGAAGAGGATCCATCATCACGATTGGCAAACGCCATATAGCCTTGTATTTCACTTTCATTATCTTCACTTTCATCTTCTGATCCACTCCAAGCCACTGCATAAGCCTTTTCTCTACTTCGTCCTTTGTTAGGACATTCAGCCCTTACATGACCACTCTTTCCACATTTGTAGCATTTTGGTAATCTTGATCTTCACACTCACTTTCCACTTTAATTTTCTTCTTTTGATTATCAAAAGGTTTTACCTTACCATTTCTATTATTCTCACGAAAATAGAAAGAACTACCCCTACCCTGTTTTCTTTCTAACTTTAAAAACTTTTTGAATTTTTTTAAAATGAGAGCAAATCCTTGATCGAAATCATCTCCTGATCCTTCATCATTTGTGACTTTCTTTTCGCAAGCCTTGAATGCTAAACTTTTATTTTTCTTGTCATTATTCTCATCACCTTGAGCTTTTAAGGCAATTTCATGACTAATTAGAGATCCTATCAAATTTTCAATACTGAGAGTAGATAGATTTTTAGCCTCTTCTATGGCAGTTTTCTTAGGAATCCATTCTTTGGGTAGACACCAAAGAATTTTCTTGACCAGTTCAGCATTATCATAAATTTTTCCTAACTCACTGAGTCTACTTACTATTAAGTTAAACCGAACATACATATCAGAGATGGACTCACTTGGGTGCATTTTGAACATTTGATATTCATGCACCAATTGATATATCCTTGATTCTTTTACCTCAGTTGTCCCTTCATGTGATACTTCCAAGGTTTTCCAGATCTGATGTGCCGTCTTACACCTGTTCACCTTATTGAATTCATCTGGACATATTGCACAATATAAGACATTTGTTGCTTTAGCATCTAACTCCATCTTCTTTAGATCATCGTTAGACCATGTGTTGGGATCATCTTTGATATCACCCACACCATTCTCAACCACATTCCAAACGTCAAAACCCATCCCTTTGAAGAAAACAATCATACGTGTTTTCCAAAAGGAATAATTGTATCCATCAAACCATGGTGGTCTAACATATGAAAGACCCTCCATTTGAGTAGAATTAGAACCATGATTTGTAGATGACCCACTAGCCATGCTTGGTATATCGGATCTCAGTTTCCTCGCAGATCTTTCGGTCTTTTGAGGGAGCCAGGCTTTGATACCACTTGTTAGACCAAGCGAAGTCAATAATGAATACTTTTGACGTGGTCAGTGCACAAATTAATTCTGATTACAATAGTGAGAGATTAGCACTAGCTTGATTGAGCAATCCAAAAGGACTTGCCAAGAATCTCTCTTGAAGTGATTAATTAGTTGGCACTGATAAAGAGAACAAGGTTAGAGAAGGTATAGAGAGTGGGATGAGTCGGGACACGCGATTTTAACGTGGTTCGGCCAATATGGCTTTACATCCACGTCCCGGAGATAGTTACCACTATCTCACGAGAGACTCTAACTTTTATTAAAATAAAAGACTCTTTAACCTATGAAATTGAAACAACCTTGACACTTCGTGTCAAGAACCAAATAGGTGCAACTCCACACCTATTCAACCCTTAGCCAAATCCGGGATTTTTCCATAAGTAGCACTGTTTAAAAAACAAATTCCAAAAATAGCACACAACTCTGAAAATTTCCAAAAATAGCACCATTTCTGAAAAACCGCCACCCGTATCAGCGGTTTAGGTAAAAACCGCCACCCGGGGGCGCGTTTTTCGATGAAAACCGCACTGGCAGGGGGCGATTTACAGACCGCACCCCCACCATGCGGTTTTGTTGCAGACCGCACCCCCACCATGCGGTCTGCTTTTTTTTTTTTTTTTGAAAAATCCTAACCTAGGTGGAAACTTCAAACGAACGTATCTTTGTGTTCGGATATCCGATCGTCGCGAATTTTTTTTGATTCCGCATAACTTTTTGAGATCTTGCAAGTCAAAGATTGCCAAAGGTGGTTAGGTCCCGCCTTCGTCCCAAAAAATGTCGTTTGCTACCCCGAACGAGCTTTTTTCCGATTTTGTCAAACTTTGGACAACCATAACTTTGTGCTCCAAAATCCAAACAACATTAATTTTTTTTATTTTGCTTAATTTTTTAAGGACTACAATTTTTACTAGGAATGAATTTTCAAAACATGAATTATTTTTGGATATAATGGATTTTGGGATTAGCTTACCTTCCCTTCTCACCAATCCACGTACATATTGAAATTATGTTTATGATAAAAGTTGTATTCCTTAAAAATTTATGCGAAATAAAAAAATTCATGTCGTTTGGATTTTGGAGCACAAAGTTATGGTTGTCCAAAGTTTGACGAAATCGGAAAAAAGCTCGTTCGGGGTAGCAAACGACATTTTTTGGGACGAAGGCGGGACCAAACCACCTTCGGTAGTTTTTGACTTGCAAGATCTCAAAAAGTTATGCGGAATCAAAAAAAAATTCGCGACGATCGGATACCCAAACACAAAGATACGTTCATTTGAAGTTTCCACCTAGGTTAGGATTTTTCATAAAAAAAAAACTGACCGCATGGTGGGGGTGCGATCTGTAAAACCGCCCCATGCCAGTGCGGTTTTCATCGAAAATTGCGCCCCCGGGTGGCGGTTTTCAACTAAACCGCTGGTACGGGTGGCGGTTTTGCAGAAAGGGTGTTACTTTTGTAATTTTTCGGAGTTGGGTGCTATTTTTAGAATTTTTTTTTTAAACAGTGCTACTTTTGAAAAAATCCCGCCAAATCCAAGCTAAGCTACCCACTCAATCACTCAAGCCAACACTCTTATTTTGACTTGATTGAAGAGTAATCCACCTATTGCAACTCCCAAGCAAGAATCACCTCTTGCTCTTGCACTAGTCCCAATTACAAATACCCTTTCTACCCTAAAACCCGACCTAGCTTGAATATCTCAACCCCCGAGATATCAAGCTATTCACACCACGAAATATGATCACACAATTTCGCTATTACAAGAGAGAAGAGAACTTTGCAAAAGGTGTCCTGGTCTACAAATGACTCTACTATTTATAGTGGATGTGAGCCTTCATTTCCTTTCATTTGTAGTCCTTTATGTGGCAAGTATCTCCTTGATTTGATACCATTTTTGCTTGATATGGTAACTCCTTTGAGGGCAAGCAATCACTTTGAATTGTTTCCTTTTTCCTCATCATTGATTGTGATATTTCTGCAGAGATTGTTAGTTCACAATAATAGCATATATTTAAAACAAAATATCCTATGATATTCAATTTGCTAAATCAAGCTTGTTGACTCAACACCACACAAATCTTAATCCATGCTACAAACCTTTCAGCAGTCTCTCATAGTAATCATCAGTTTGAGGTTCAACTTCAGGATCTGGTCTCCCCAACAAGTGACCATAGAACCTAACAGCAATCTGAGCCATTTGATCCACATCTTGAGTTTTCAGACCATCCTCATCTTTAAGAACTCGAATTCTACTTCTTTTCTGTTTAGATCGAACCGAGCGATGAAAATAATCAGAGTTTGTGTCACCTGTCTTTAGCCAAGTCTCCCTTGATTTTTGCCTCAAGAAACTTTCTTCAGCTGATAACAAAACATTTAGCTCCCTCATTACAACCCCCTCAGCCTCAAAGTTTTCAGGGGAGGGATCAACCAGTGCTTTCTGCTGGACCAAGTCCAACTCCATTTCCTTCTCTTTGACCCTTCCTCTAATATCTGAGTATTCCTCCTTATTCAACTTTCTCAAGAGGTTTTTTTGATTTTTCAACTTCTTGCAGACTCTTACTAATGGGTGACCAGTGACCATACTACTCCAGGCCTCCTCAAGAAGACTATTAAATTTGGGGTGTTGTGGCTAGAAGTTAAAGAACTTGAAGGCTTAGGGAGAGATTTCAAAACTTCCTCAGTTTCAACATACATAGGACAATGATCATAAACCCCAGGAGATTGAAAATGCACTTTACTGTCCTTCATATGCTCCAACCATTCAAATGATATAAATGAAAGAAAATTATGTTTTCTAGAAAAAGAATAATATATGATAAGCACAATTTTGAATTTTCAAATCGGAGCTTCTGCTTTTAAGTTACGAAAAACTTAAGTTTTTTAAAAACCAAAACTTTAGAGGTGTTTGGATTGGCTTCAACTTTTGAAACATAAAACTTCTAAAATTCGGGCCAAACATAATTGTACTCTTTTGTTTTTTTTTTTTTTTGGGTTTGAGGTAATCGTGGTTCTCCTTTATGAATTTTTTGGACTGATTGTAGGTTTAAGAAGGTTCAATAGACATTGATCGGGTCAAATTAGGTTGGGTACCTATGGATTTGGGTCAGTTGTCTTTCTCAAACAAAATGAAAAAACTAAATGAAAAAACTAAAGCTAAAACTCGCTACCGACTCAAAACTCGTGAACACCAGGTTCAACTCGCTTTGGCCTGGTTGGATCGAGTTTTGGAAAAATTCACACCTGACATAACACGCCAATTACAAAAACATATAAAACTTGCTCCCGTTGTAAACCTGTAAAATTGTGTTTAATTTGCTTTGGTCGGGTCAAATTAGGTTGTATGCCCATGCATTGGGGCTCAATTGTCATTCTCAACCAAAAGGGAAAAGATAAAAAGTATTAAAGCAGATAAAACTCGCTCATGACCCCAACAAAAAGGAAAAAGTGGGAAAAAGCACTAAAGCGAACGAAACTCGGTACTGATACAAAACTTACGAACATTGATTAGATATGGTATGAATTGTCGGTAGCGACATTGGGTTCAATTATGATCATGCTCAACAAAAAGAAAAAAGAAAAAGAAAAAACACTAAAGAGGATGAAACTCGGTCCCGATACAAAACTCATGGTAGGGGCCTTCGGAAACGATGGTGGGGAACAATTTAGGATTCTGCTTACAGTATTTCGAGATGGTCTGCAGAATGGTGGGCAAATGCGATGATTTGTGTTCAAGTTAGGATACCCATGTGATTGGGTTCAATTGTGAATATGCTCAACAAAAAGGAAAAAAAGAAAGAAAAAAAAACACTAAAGAGGATGAAACTCGGTCCTGATACAAAACTCGTGGTAGCGGTCTTGGGAAACAGTGGTGAGGAACAACTTAGGATTCCACCGACAATATTTCGAAATGGGCTGCAAAATGGTGGGCAAAATCGATAATTTGTGCAAAAAGCCATAGCGAATAATAACTAAACACAAAGGCGATGATTTGTGTAAAAAATCTTAGACGAAAACCTAGTGAACAATAACAAAACACAAAGGCGATGATTTGTGCAAAAAACCATATACGAAAACCTAACGAACAATAACTAAACACAAATGTTGTAGATGAAGAGTGAAGTAAAAGAAGGATTTGAAACTTCCCTACTTGCACTTAAAGAAGTGTGAGAGCCACTAATTAACTCTCAAGTTTTTATATATGAATGAATATATGAATATATATATATATATGAATGAATCTTCACTCAATACCTTCAAACAAGACAATTTAACCCAGGAGACTATTATACCATAAGTATACGCACATCGCATTTGATAATTTTGATTTTGGAGTTAATTCAATGGATTACGACAAGGACTTTGATTTTCTCGGGGGAAATGCTTTCCTTTTCCTGCTCAAACAAGGATTGTAGTCGTAGCATTTCCTTTTCCCCAATAGAACGCGCAAAAGGGTGCCCAACAAAAATCCTAATCCTTTTCGGACTAGGAAAGACCAACACGCCCAGGCCAAGGATATTCGTGTTCATCGTCAAACTTCCTGTCAGCGATAGCCTGCAAAGCCAATTCCTTGCAGGAAAAAGAAACAGCCAACTTGCCAGAGCCTATAAATTCAGACGACCCTGTTACGACAGAACCAATTCCAACAAACCTGCTCTCTGTATTAATTCCTCACAGCAGCAAGCCAACCGAAGACAGAGAAATCAGCAAACCATGGCTCTACCACGCAAAGCAGAACCATGGCTGGTACAGTTCCACGGCGAGAGAAACCAGAGGTCACAAACCTTCTACAGCATGTCCCAGAGACGTCGCCACGTCGAGAGCATCCCCGAGATACGGTCCCATCGCATCGCCGCCACTTCTCATGGCTGGTTGCTACTAATTTGGGATTGCAGAGAATATGACCACGATTGCTTCCTGCTGAACCCTGCCACCATGGAGAAGATTCAGCTGCCCGATTGGCCCGACCTCGACTCGACCTACGAATACTGCTTCCTTTCTTCTCCTCCCACCGTGCCTGATTGTGTCGTTTTGTTCACCCTGAGTACAGATGAGGAAACCACCTTTCTGTACTGCAAACCGGGTGATGAGGATTGGAAGAGACAACAACTCCACATTCGTTGCAGTTGTGAAGTCGAAGGAGAGTTAGAAGCAGAACCCCTCCAATTTGCAGCAATGACCACCATCAGAGGCGAGATTTATGCAATTGCAAATTGCTGTGATACCCTCTTCAAGGTCCAGATCAATAGAATTGACGATGATGGTGGTGGCTCCTGCTCCCTTAGTGTAGTCGATGTGAACGTTACCAAACCGGATGCTCTGTTTCATCATTACATCAGGGCCGATGTAGATTCCAGAATTTAGTCCTCCTCTGGCGAGCTTATCATGGTTGAGGCAATTTATGGCAATGGTGACTCAATTGACGAGGAGGATCCTGATAGGTACACTAGTATCATGACCATTGAGCTGTATACCGTGAATTTCGAGAGAAGGGTTTGGGAAAAGGTGGACGCTTTGCCTGAAAGTTGTGCCATCTTCATCGGCGCCAGTGGAGGTACGATCTTGTGGTATGAAATCCCGGGAGAAGATCTGGATGCAGGGCTTGTTCGGGGGAATACCATTTACTTTGCACAGAAGAATGACAGGTACCTTTATTCGTATGACGTTCAAGAGAGGAGCATGAATGTTTCGTTACCTTGCCCCGACGTGAATTCGGGTCATCCTGAACAACAATGGATCCTAACTCATGGATGGCTTTCTTCACCAACTGAATTTACCCGGCCAGAAGTCGTAGCTTCTGAAGTTGAGGCTGCTCCTGTTAGCCAGGGGATTACATTGATCGACAGTAATAATGTTGGAGATGGATGGTTTGGAGTTCCAATTGACAATCTACTTGGAGCTGATTGTCGTTGCTTCCATCTCGACTGCGAAAAATGTCAATTTCATGATCAATTGTCGAATCATCGACTCCCCTACCTCGTACACATAGGACAGGATGGTGAACTGGTCAATTTCTACAACCCACTAACCAATGCCACCAGCATCTCGCCTCTGAAAGGTATGAATTTGACAGGCGCGGTGATTCGTTGCTCCAAACATGGTTGGCTGCTCATGTCACAGGGAAGTTGGGGTGAACAAGTGTTCTTCTTCAACCCTTTCACCGACGAGCGGATCGATCTACCCGAATTGGACAGCTACGAGTTCGAGGGGATCGCTTTCTCTTCTCCTCCAACATCGTCGGATTGCGTGGTTCTTGGCTACTCAGTCGGGAAACAAGATTTGAACCTTGCATACGTATGCAGAGGAGAGAGCAGATGGACAGAGTCTGTTGTGGAAAGAAATGGAACTCAATTCATGAGATCTTACGCTAACCCAGTTTATCACCAGGGTTTGTTCTATCTTATAGGAGGGACCAGAAGCTTATGCACATTCGATCCTGTGGAAAGGGACGCCAAACTTCTGGAGTTGGCTGGTAATGATAAATCTACTGTTTCAATACAAGGGAGCTATCTGTTGGAATGCAATGGCAAGCTTCTGTCGGTGTACACGGATCGCGTGGGGGAATTCCTACGAATTTACGAGCTGAATCGAGAAGCCGCAACTTGGGAAGGACTGGATGATACTATGTTGTTCTTGAGCTCTGCATCTTCGTTATCTACTACAAGTGCAGGGGCGAGGATTTCTGGCTTGGGAAACAAGGTGTTCTTGGATAGGTTTCGCGAGAAGGATAGCGTGTTTTACTCTCTCGCAACGAGAAAGTTTCATAGCCTTTGGAGCCGATACGAGAACAACGATTGGTGCGACACCAAAGAATATATGAATTGCGCTTGGATGGAACCGAACTTTGGAACGCACACGGAGGAGGAGCTTGTCTGGTTTAATCCCGTGGAAGAAGAAGAAGAAGAAGAAGAAGAAGAAAAAGAAGAAGAAGAAAAAGAGGAGGAGCAGGAGCTTGCCTCCTTTCATCCGGCCATCGTGGAGGAATGAGCACTTGTGAACCCTTTATCATTCACTTTACAGTTTCCTGCTATCTTTTTTGTTTGTCATGTCAGTCGAGTCGATTACACGAGTTGAACTTGAATGTCATATGTAAGCCCTTATAATGGATTTGTTTTCTTTATATATCGTGTTTTTCATGATGAGTTCGACTATTTATTGATGCTCTCTGGCTATCCTATGACAAAACAAAAATAGTTTTAAGTCTACGTTGACGTCCTCAATAGTCAACCCAACAACAAGAAGTCAACAAGAATGCTTTTATTTTGATCGAATCTGCTTTACAAAGGAAGTTGTAGAGAAAAATGTACAAAATTTTACAAAACAGCTGCTGCCACAGTTTGGGCCTGGGCCTGGTCCTGGGCCTCGCTAAGCAGGAACTTGAACTGGACGTCGGTGCTCTTAAGCATAACAGCGAGAGACAGATCCAGGCCGCGCTCCACAACCTCCACGTGTCTGGGCTTGATTCGATTCTCCAAGCTAAACGCAAAGTACTGCGGGAACTCCTTCACCTCCTCCGCCCCGTCTTTCCCCATCTGCCCAACCAAGTACTCGAACTTGGGCTTCAAATTGTTCTCGATACTGAACGTGAAAATCGTCGGACACCGGAGCAGCACCGCCACCGCCTCCTCCGCCGTCATCCCCAGGCTCTCAATGTACTTCAATTTCGGGACCAGGGTATTCTCCACGCTGGAGACCAGCAGCACGGGGTCATGGTAGGCGAGCGATTCCAGATCGTGGAACCCTAATCCTTTGAGGTAATCGAGGCAGGGGCGGAGCTGATCGGCGACGCTGCTGGTCAATAGGCGGGGGCATTTGTTGATTACTCGTCGGAATTGGTTGTCGGGGACGCCGAGGTCTTTGTTGAGGAAGGAGAAGACAGGGGAGATTGCGGTGGGGATGTGGGAGGTGAGGATCTGAGGGCACATCCCGAAGATGCGGGGGAAGTCCTTGTGGTGGATGCCCTTGGAGTGGAGGAAGGAGACGACGGCGTGGATGGAGTCGAGGGAGGCGGTGTGGAGGGTTGGGTTTTGGGAGAGGACTTTGCCGGAGTCGACGCCCATGATTTCGAGGCAGAGGACTTTCTCTTTGATTTGGGAGGAGACGTTGTTGTGGAGGAGCGGGGCGTAGAGTGGGTGTTTGTGGAGGATGCTCTTGTTTTGGGGCTTTGCTGAGAGCTGCGCGCTGCTTGGTAGTGGGTTGTTGAGCTGCTGCTGGAGTGAATCGGGAGGAGATGGTGGTGTCGATGAGATGCAGAGTGATGAGCGGAATGCTGCCGTGGCGACGCCGGTGGATGACATGGTGGCCGGTGATGATGCGAGCTGTGTGGTGAATGGTGGGTTTGCTTTTTGGTTTCTTCGGATAGTATAATTCAGATACTTGCTTCTTCTTCTGTGCAGTGTGTGATCTGAAAATGGGGTTATCTTGGATTGGGGAAGGTGACACGTAGGCGGAAGGATTGAAGGTGATTGGCTGGTGGTGGATTACCTGTGTCGTCCGGTTTGCTTGGATTGGGTGACGAGTGATGACGGATTGAAGAAAGGCCGCTATTCGTTTTGTTTTCGATTTTATCACATCAGCGATAGAGCATCCGAAGCCCAAATAGGCAAATACTACTACTGTTCTTGAGCTCAATTTTTTTACAAAAGATAATCAATTGGATCAAAAGATATTACACCCTAGATATCAGCCAGGCTTGGAAATCAAAATAACGATTTGTAGCTGTGTACAAAACAAGGGCCCAATGATCTCTTTCAAAATAGTCCCAATCTGGACATCATTCGCATCCCTCCTAGTAACTTTGTCAATGATATTCAGAGCGTCACCTTGGAAACAAGCATCCTGAAAGCCCAACTCCAGACGCCATGCCACTGCTTCCCGAAGAGCCAGCACCTCAGCCACCAAAGGGTGAGATTCGAAAACTGCACACCATGAGCCAGCAGAATATTCCTAGCGAGATCTTTAAGCACGATCTCTCTCGCCGAATGAGACCCAGGCTTGGTTGCCCCATCCCACATACAGGTAACCGACTGCACCATAGTGGTCGTACCCGGAGGAGGTTGAGAAGGATACAAACCCTCAGCCTGGTCCACCGAGAGTCTCACCCATTCTTGGTATTGCTGATAATATTGCCGCAGCAGAGCTGGTATCCCAAATTTTTTTCCTTCAAAAACCACCCAATTACGTGATCGCCAAATATGCCAAAGGACAGCAACCACTGCCATGAACAGATGGGGCTGGTTAATAATGGACATCAGCTTTTTCAAGAACAGGGGGAAGGTGTGGCGTGACAATCCTTGACCAAGATGCTCCAACCCTGCCTGATCCCAAAGGGCCCTGGCTACCCGGCAATCGAAGAACAAATGCTCCATTGTCTCCTTCTCTGCCCAACAGACAGGACAACGAGGCTGAACTACAACGCCTTTCTCGATCAACGCTTCACTAGTCGGAAGGATGCGATGGAACACTTGTCAAAGGAAAACTTTCAGCTTAGGAGGGATATTGCAAGCAAACTTTCAGTTCTTGAGCTCAATCTCAATGTATGTTTTAGAGGATATTGCAAGCAAATAATGGGCCGGGACATTATAGTGAAGATAAATTGGTAGGAAGATTATCCATAATAACTGATAGTAAAAATTGAAAAGATAGTATCACTATTGTAATATTCAATTTCAATCCATAAAAAAATGACGTTGTTTTAGTAAAATTAGATAACAAAAAGAAAGAAATTTGTCGAATGTTGATGTAATTCAAGTGTAAACGATTGAGTGTTGATGTTAAATAATGCATTTAAATATAATAAATCTTTATTATTTGTAAAGTAATACTTTATTTAAATACGGATGAAAAATATGTATAGATTGTCTTAAGATTAATTATAAAATCTACAAATCATCTGGCGTTAATTGTTCTTAATTGTCACAGAAACTATTAGTAGTGAACAACAAACCAACTCAGAGATGTAAAAAACCTGCAAAACCTTCAAACTCATAAAACATAACCCCCGAAAGCCAAGCCATTGACAGTAATTAAGCAGAAAACAAGCCGGTCCAAAGATACATATAACATACTCCAAGCTTACCAAATCCATATATGTACACACACAGCAACTCAAGTCACCAATCCCGCATTCGACGATGACTGCGATAGAAGCTTCATCGCAAATTCCCTGGGCTTGCACAGCAAATGAAGCGGGCTACTTCTAGGCATGGTGACGCCTAAAGTCTCCGTCATATCAATCTCATCTCCTCCAACCCTCTCCCAATCAAACAACTGCACCAAACTCCCAAGCGCCAGCCCAATCTCCCGATTCGCCAGCACGGCACCAGGGCACCGCCTCCTCCCGCCGCCAAACGGAATCAGCTTCCACCCACCGCCGCCACCACCGCCAGCTTGCTGCTCATCACCACCACCACTCTCCGCCGCCGTGGCAAACCTCTCCGGGACGAACTCCGTGGGGTTCTCCCAGACCTCCGGGTCGCGGTGTATGGCCCACGCGTTGATCAGCAGTATGGTTCCCTTGGGGACGTCGTATCCGGCGACGGTGCAGTCCGCCGAGGATTCGCGGAGGGTGAGGAGCGGGACCGCCGGGTAGAGACGGAGCGTCTCGCTGATGACGTGTTGGAGGTAGTGAAGCCTCGGTACGTCTTGCTCGTTGAGGAGTCGGTCGCGGCCGACGTTGGCGTCGATTTCGGCTCGGAGTTTGGCCATGGATTGTGGGTGGTTGAGAAGCAGAGCCATTGCCCATTCCAGTGTCGTGGCGGATGTCTCTGTTCCAGCCGTTAGCAATACCTGCATGCGGCGGCATACGCGAAATTTATATATATGTATGAACAACTGGAAAATTACCCTAAATAGTAAATACTACCTTTGCTGTACGAAATTTGTTATGAGAGAATCCAAATATCATAATACAAGGGGAGCGATTCTTGTATATTAGAGTCCACTTAGCCCAATTAGTACAAAATCTTTTCGGGAGGACACCCAAAAACTAAAACCATGCGGGCATGGCCTAAGACGGACAATATCGTACTAATGAGAAACCCAGTTATGACAAGTGGTATCAGAGTTTGGTTCGGGTCCAGGACGGTGGACATCAGTTTGGTGGACCCTCATTTGGTGGCCTCGGAATTTGAGATCTGCGTTTGTCTGGCGGGTCGCATCTGTTTGGTGGATTCAGGAGAGATCCACATTTGGGTTTGGCGAATCAAAGAGAGTTCAGCATCTTGAGGAGAGGACACGAAGTTCGTGGTCCTTGTCTTGAGGGGAAGATTGTTATGAGACAATCCAAGTACCACATCGGTAATACAAGGGAAGGGACCCTTGTATATTAGAGTCCACCTATGCCAATTAGTACGAGACTTTTTGGGGAGGACACCCAAAAAGTAAAACCGTACGGGCTTGGCCCAAAGCGGACAATATCGTACTAATGAGAAGCCCAGTTATGACAAAATTTCATTTCCACAATACCGAACTTAGAAAAGGATTTTCCAATATTACTAAAGCTTGGTGTGGTTCGCTCCATTAATGTCAAGTGAATTAGGCATTAGATCGCAGGAGACAAGAGCGATCTACATCGAACGAACCCAGATAGCATCAAACCAACAATCCATATTGCACAAGACAGAAGCGAACCAACCACGAACAACTGGGATCGTAATAATTGTACAATCCAACCTTGGATCTACACCTACGGTAGGTCAAAAATTGTAACTATAGTAACCCGAGCACAAAGTTACTATAGTTAGAATTTTTTTACCTACATTAGCTGTAGATCGCTGGTTTGTCCATCGATTTTTGGGGCTAGATTGACGGGGTAGGGAGCGAGCCAATGTGGTTCGCTTCTATGTGTCGCGATCCACCCTTTTGAGTTCTGGTTCGCTTAAGTCTTTGGGAATCCACACCGGTTTACTCTATACTATGTAGTTCGTTTGACATTAGAGCGAACCACTCCAAATTAGGGACAATAATTTCGACCTGACCCATTTTACCGACCTATTTGACATGTTTGGGGCGGGCATGGGTAGTGTCCTCAACTAACCTGCTCTGACCCGCCCCATTTTTTATCGGTTCTTGTATAAATCACATGTAATTTTACTAAAATTATTACTTCGAATTATACTAAAATTACTATGAATTTTACTTTTATTAACTAATATTTTAGCCATTCTAAAGTTCTAAATATGTGAGAAACTCAATTTCATGAATAATTTAACTACATTAATCAAGTTATAGTTTGTTTATTGAATTTCTTAATGAAAAAAGAATATTTTTCTGAGTTTTACATTTAAACTGCATACCTATATGGGTCGACCTGCCTCGACCTACGCCCCGTGATAAATTATCCGATCTGCACCGAACCTGCCACGGGGTGGGTATGTGTATGAAGATACTCGTCCGACCTGCCCCATTGCATTCTACTCCAAATTAATGGCGGAGCTAGAATTTTGAACGAATGGACTGACTTGAATTGTCGTAATTGGGGAAGAAGGGCTAATGCCTTACCGATTATTCTAATTACTAAACCTATACAATATTTATATGTAATTTTACCTATATTTCAAAATTGATAGGGTTACGGTCACTACAACCTACCTCCATCACTTCTCCAAACTTTAATATTTTGGAAAATCAATTTGTAAGTATAGTATTGTGGAAAGGGTAAATACAATTTAATATCCAAACCTTTCATTTTAAACAATATAATAGCCAAACCTTTTCGAAAACAATCTAATATCCAAATCGTCAACTTTCCGTTCGTTTGACTGTTAGTTGACACCTCAAAAAAGCTTTGTTTAGGGGAAATTGTCACAATATAACTTGGTTTCTTGTTTTGGCATTGGAGATGATTGGATATTTAGATATTCTATACCATCATGGTGGAGTCATGGACTTCTCGAGTTTGGAACTACGATATGTTGGTGGTTTTTCAGAGAAGATATCGATGGATATTGATGAAGTGTCGTACTTCGAACTTTTTTGAAGTGTCAACTAACGGTCAAACAGACAGAAAGTTGACGATTTGGATATTAGATTGTTTTCGAAAAGATTTGGCTATTATATTGTTTAAAATAAAAGGTTTGGATATTAAATTGTATTTACCCTTGTGGAAATTTGTTATCGTAAGCCTAGTATTTAGGAATTTTTTTCTAAAACAACGGATATTTATGTAACATGCTGTCTCCAGAGTTATAACCAAAACAGTTAGTATGATTACCAGCAAGATCCCTTTGATTATCTCATCCGTAAAGACCTGGGGCTGCCTTTGTTGCAAGGCCAAGATCTCATCCATCACCACGCGGAGGAGGAGGATCTTGCCGTGGGCGGCGGAGATGGACTGGAGGGTTCGGTGGATGGGTTGTTTGTTGTTGAAGAGGAGGTGGTGGAGGTGGCCGACGACGGGGAGGGACGACGGCGGCCATGGAGGCGGGTTGAGGGGCTTCGACGTCGACGGCCGGGGTGATAAGAGCTTCATTACGAGGAGGGCGATGATGAGGATGGTGGAGTATACTACGAGGAGGATGTACGTTTGTTCCATTGTTGGTAGAGTTAAGTTGGGTTGAGTTAGGTTGGATTTTCGTATTACGTAGAGCGATTTATACTTACGAATTATAGAAGGGGGAGTTATGTCGTTTAGTGCCCAAATATTGTGACCAAAGTTCAGGTTAGGGGAAAATTTTCATGCCGATGTTCGTAAAGAAGACTAACAAGATTTTCATCGCCACACATAGTGGTATCTCGCGGCGGCCAAAGGTGGAAACATGCATGTGTCGGTATTAGGCTGCGGCGGCCAAACAAATTAAAGGATGACGATCGACCAAGCTCGTACATGAGCATATGGGCGTAGTACCCGTGGATCGAAAGGGTGGGCATTCATCGTGGTCATGAAGATAGTGAAGTATACTGCAAGGAGAATGTAGGTTTGTTCCATCGTTACGTCGAGTTGGGCTGGGTAGGGTTGGTGTTGATGTGACTTGAATCGGACTATCAGCCGCTACGATTGGTAGTCGGGGGTTTCACTCCCTTGGCCCACTATATACGGGTTTAATGTTATTTGGGTTCGGGTTCTGGATCTGGTATGTAACTAGAGATGGCAATCAAACCCATGGTTGCGGGTATCCGACCGCCCCCGACCCAGTCAACGCGGGGAATCTCCGCTTTGACCGGGTATGGGGCGGGTATGAGTAAAACCTGCAAAAAAATTTGATGGTATGGGGCGGGTTTGGTTTTAGCCTCCCCCGCCCCATACCCATACCCATACCCGCCCCACCAAGAGAACTTCTTCATATATAAAAAAATATGTGCATCAATTTATAATCTATCAATGATGATGAGGATAACTTGAGAAAATAAATAGTAGAAATGCAATTGAGTGACTATCTTAATCAAAATATAACTCATCTCTCAATTCTCATTTCACTCTTTCACTTTCCCCTTTAAACAAGATTATGTTAGTTAATTATTACTTAGTAGATGTATCAGAGTTAAAACATAATAATTTGAAAAATATTATACTCTATATTATGTATTAGTGGATATTTTAGGATCGTATTCTTTGAACCATATCAAAAAAATAATTGTGTTTTGTTGACTTCATGATATAATATGTTCGTTTAGAATTATAATTAAAACTTTTCTGGTAAGCTTTAGGTATAATAATATTGGATGTACGGGTATGGGTATTACCCATGGGTACCCGAAACTCACGGGTATGGGGATGGGTTTTCAAAATATTTCCCTGCATGGGTATGAGGCGGGTATGGGTTTGGGTATTTGAAGATGGTGATGGGGATGGTTTAGACAAACCCGCCCCATTGCCATCCCTATTTGTAACCGTTTCCTTTGCCAGAATGGATTAGGTTTAGACCCATATGGAGAAGTATAAATACTTCTTATATTCCTCTGTAATCTATAATATCCTCGATATAGTAAAATTTTCAAAAACTAAATTCCATGCAGTCTTCAGTTAGTTAAAACTTAAAAGAGTTAGTATGGTTTACCAGCAAAATCCCTTTAATTATCTCATCCGTGAAGACCTCGGGCTGCCTTTGTTGCAAGGCCAAGATCTCATCCATCACCACGACCTTCTTATTCTTCTCACCATGACGATTCCATTTGCGGTGGCCGTCCACAAGACCCTGAAAGAACCCATCCACTTTCCCCATCAACCCCGCCATCTTCCTCTCTATCCCAAACACGTCCACCCACCTCCTCAACACCGGGAAAAAATCCGCCGGATTAAACACGCCGGACAACTCAATCCCTGGCCTCACCGACTCCTCGAACTCCCCCATCGCCGCCTCCCCGTAAAACCACTCCCCCACCGTCATCGTCGCCGTCTCGTTGAACATCAGCTCGACAATCCTCGCCTTCATCTCCACCACCTTTCCCACATCCCCTTCTCCGCCGCCGCAGCACTCCGCTATCCGGAAGAGCCAGGAGCGGACCTCAGCCTCCCTGACGGCGGCGAATTTGGCGACGGCGGGGGAGGAGAAGAGCTCGAGGGTCATGAACCGGCGGAGGCTGCGCCATAGGTCGCCGTACGGGGCGGCAAGGATGGTGGTGTGGCGGTAGTGGAAGTGCTTGGTGCTGGCCATCTCGAGCGGCCGGCTGGAGAAGGCGATGTCGTTTCTGGTGAAGCATTCTTCCACGGCGGACGGGGAGGAGAGGAGGAGGATCCTGCGGGAGCCGAGGCGGAGGAGGAGGATCTTGCCGTGGGCGGCGGAGATGGACTGGAGGGTTCGGTGGATGGGTTGTTTGTTGTTGTTGAGGAGGAGGTGGTGGAGGTGGCCGACGACGGGGAGGGACGACGGCGGCGACGGAGGCGGGTTGAGGGGTTTCGAAGTCGACGGCCGGGGTGATAAGAGCTTCATTACGAGGAGGGTGATGATGAGGATGGTGGAGTATACTACGAGGAGGATGTACGTTTGTTCCATCGTTACGTCGAGTTGGGCTGGGTTGGGTTTTCTCTTTGTAGTACGTAGAGAGATCTATACTTACTAATTATAGAAGGGGAAGTTATGTCTTTTAGTGCCCAAATATTGTGACCAAAGTTTAGGTTACGGAAAAAAATTTCATGCCGATGTTCGTCAAGAAGATTAACAAAATTTTCATCGCCACATTTGTGGTATCTCGCGGCGGCCAAAGGTGGAAAGATGCATGTGTCGGTATTAGGCTGCGGCGGCGGCCAAACAAATTAAAGCAAAACTAGGGTTGGCAGGAAAAATTTACTGAATTCGGTATCCATCCGATCTAACAGATAAATAGAGGTAAAATTCGTATTGATCGGATTTCGGGAAGGTTAGGACAGAATCCGAACGTGTTGCTATCGGACACGTGTAAAGTATGGATATTTTAATATCCGCCTCGAACCCACTCAATAACCCAATACCTAGATACCCTCTTGACCCGCCGAATCTTGATCACTACTCGAATCTCGTTCTCACTTTCAACCCTGTCTCGTCATTTCCCAACTCCAAGCTTCTGAATTCCCATTCCTGACCCGTTCCTCCAATCCTCTTGACTCCTCGTCTTCTTGGAGCCATCGAATCAAACTCCACTAGCCGTTAAATGAATTCTTCTTCTCAAATCCAAAGCGTTTTTATCTTTGATGGAAAAGTGATAAATAATCTCTCAATTCTTTTTAGTTTCTTTTCAAGGTCTACTACTCTGCTTTATTAGCATGTTGTTGGAGTTGTGTAAAATTTTTGGAGTTTTATGCTTAAGTATATAACATATCCGTAGGTATACGGATATACGTCTGATATCCATTGGTATGAGTATGGTTAGGGATATGATTTATGTCCTTTCATATGGTACTCACCCGATACCCACTCGAAAGGATGGGCATTCCACCGTTGTCCCATAATGTGGGAAATTTTTATATTGGGTAATGAAAGAGTTCAGTTGAATTTGTGCAAACTTCAAACTTATAGAAATTGCCTTTGGTTAAAAAAGTTATAATAAATAAATGATATTAGATACATTATTAAATATCTCTCAACATCTGAAATCAATGAATTACAAAATCTAACATATTCTTCACAAACGGTTTAGTGTACCAGCCCCACTACCCTCCCCTAGAGTTCATCACGTTAAATATTTTGTATTATTATGTGTTTGCAACTTTGCGCAAGCGAATAACAAAAAGGGAAAGAAAAAAAAAAGTGGGTCAACCTCAACCTAGATAAAGACATGCAGTCGGCTTCGGATCTGTGCAAGATACTTTCAAAGAACAAGAAAAATTCTCAGAGTGACCGGAAATTTGACAACATTTTTTTTAATCTAACTTGTCTTTTGCTGATTGAGGTATATTGTGGCACACCTCCACAACGACATATAATGCTGGCATGATTATATTGTGATTGACGTTAGCGATATAGTGGTTAGTGGTTATTTTTTAGATATATCACGAAAGTGGTAATCAATCTCGCACCAAAAAAAAAAAAAAAAAAGTGGTAATCAATCTATCAGACTAATTTACAATACCGACTCGTAACAAAAATGTGCTACAATGTCAATCATTTACCCACTTGTAGACCTTAGTTAAATTTAACAAAAATGACACGCTATTCATTTTACCATCAAATACAGTAGTTGATTATGATATACTTGTTGGAAGGAAAATGTTTCTTGGCACGTTAGGTGACAAAACACCTGATTCTAAAAAATTTACGTATTTTTGTGTTCATTCACGTCATTTGGTGCTTATTCACTTAGTACTATGGTTATTCACGTAAGAGTGTAGGTTATTCACGTAAATGAAAAACCATCAAATACAGTAGTTGATTATGATATACTTGTTGGAAGGAAAATGTTTCTTGGCACGTTAGGTGACAAAACACCTGATTCTAAAAAATTTACGTATTTTTGTGTTCATTCACGTCATTTGGTGCTTATTCACTTAGTACTATGGTTATTCACGTAAGAGTGTAGGTTATTCACGTAAATGAAAAACCATCAAATACAGTAGTTGATTATGATATACTTGTTGGAAGGAAAATGTTTCTTGGCACGTTAGGTGACAAAACACCTGATTCTAAAAAATTTACGTATTTTTGTGTTCATTCACGTCATTTGGTGCTTATTCACTTAGTACTATGGTTATTCACGTAAGAGTATAGGTTATTCACGTAAATGAAAAATCAGACTTTTCCTCCTAACAATTTGTATTGGCTATATTTTATGGAATTAAATTTGGATTCTCAATTAATATACAAAAATGTGTTGCACCAATCATAATCTATATAATGACATCCATTTTTATATATTTGAAAGCTTAAAATTTTATTTTACAACGACGTGAATAAATAATAATATGCGTGAATAAACATCAGTTTCGTGACCTAACAATATTAGTTGCGTGAATAATCAACACTCTTACTTGAATAACCTAAATAAAACGTGAATAATACAAATATGGCGTAAATAATTGTGCAGTGAATTAGGTGATTTGTCAAACTTCACTCAGGAACGGTTGATAATCGACAACCGTCTTGACGTAAAAGAACGAACGTTACAAAGGTCGGTTGGCAATGATGCACGCCACGCAATCAACCGCAATTACACAATGGATAAGAAAAAGGTTCCCATGAAACAGTGGCTAGGCTATCCACCAACGAACTATTATTATTAAGACTAGCTGAACAAACGTCTTCGATATATAACTTAGAAAGACAGCATATACTTAAAACAAGCCATCACCCATTCACCCCGGTCCTCGTTGATCTCGATCGGCTGAGGGGAGGCGATGAGCAATAATAAGAATAGGATTCATTCTTCTTTCAAACAGACTGGGACTACTGAAAGACAGATGACGTAAAGAAAGAACGAAAACTAAAGTTCGAGTTATTATGCTGCTGTAAGACCGGCGTCCTTGCTTAAACCCCAGCATACATATAACGTTGGCAAGATTGTGAACCATTGCCATACTAGAATAGAACAACCACCATATCACACCCTTCTCATCATGGAATCCACAGATCGGTTTTCATTTTATCGATTTCTGGGAACGTAGTTTCCAGTCCTGCTGCACATTGAAAGATTAGCAGATCAACACCATTGCATTCTCATAATCGCGCTAGATAACCTTCACGGTGTCCGAGCCGGAGATCCAGAACTCAATAGAAGCTTTTTTACCTTTCTTGGATGACACATCTCATTGCTGACCATGGCTTCTGCTCATGGAAGGTCGCCGAATAAGCTTTTGCCCAGGAGTTTGATGATCATCCTGTGAGAACCCAAAGTTACTTTAATTACAAGCACCATAGTATGTAGAAAGCTACACCTTAACCAGGGAACCAAGAGGGAGAAAAAGGGGCATCACGCTTCAATCTTGCAAGATGTTTTTGTTTTCTTTTCATTTGGCTTTAAAAGTAGTAAATTTCAATCAACACCAAGGTTGTCAACCCGCGGGTCGACCCACTTTGACCCTGACCCGGTGAGAAAAACGGGCCATACGCACCCGCCGGGCCGACCGCTACAAGGTACCGGGCTGGAGGTCAAATTGTGTAATTTTTTTCTTTGGTTTGCGAAATGCGCCTATTTTCCGATTTTTCTTTTCGCCTAACTCAATCTTTGGAATCCTAAGTTGAACATTTGAATATTTATGTTGGTGGTGTCTTCAGTGCACTCACTTTTTTGGGTGCATTCAGTGCACTCGCTTCATAACCGTTATTTTAAACATGCGATTTATGTCAAAATGATGTCAATCATCACTTATGATGTGATGAACAATAACGCACATGAATTTGCACAAAAACCATTAAAGATTTACTTTAATTTGAAGGATTTATAGTTTAGAGATTTAGGGTTAGGGTTAGGGTTTATAATTTGGGATTTAGGGATAGAACTCAAAATTGGAGGTCTAGAGCATAGGGTTATCCGCTAATTAGTTGTTATCATATGTTATATCATCATATTACACTAATTCTACAAATTAAAATTCAAAATCCGACACCTTAAGACTAGTTTTTGAGTTGGGTGCATTGAACGCACTCATTTTTGTGAGTGCACCGAAGTAGTCACCTATTTATGTTATATAAGTGTGTGTGAATTTTCACTATATGTTGGATCTAAGTACGATATGTTATTTTGGTGTAATATTATATGTTATTAGTCATATTGGTGTAATATTATATGTTATTAGTCATATGCTAGATAAGATTTTATATAATTTATGAGGATAAGTACAATATAATGATTTTTTCTATATTTCCAGGCCAAACCGGGCTAAAACGGTTGACCCATTAACCCTTGACCCACTAACTCAACCGGGTCCGGGTCAACCCTCGGGTTGACAACCTTGATCAACACCCATCTTCAATTAGATCAAGGTTGCGGAGTGCGAGTGTAAATTGTTCAAAGGCGACTAAGCAGGAACTTGTGGCTAAAGGGGGAAAAGGGTGCAAAAGTGGATAGGGAGTGTGCATTGGAATTTTGAATCCAGAGAAGTAACTACGGATAGAAAACATGGAAGGAAGTGCATTTCATTTTCTTTTTTAAAAGCAGCTACAGGATGAAAGGTACGTGTTTGATAGTTGATTAAAAGTTATGTCGACTATGGAGTAGGATTAAAAACAGATATTTTCATTTTCACAAACTAATTACAGTAGTAACTATTGGAAAAACAGTAGTCGGATTTAGGGAAATCCAACAGCATCATGAAGTTCTTTTCTTCTAACTGGCAAGAGAAAGCTGACCTTGTACAGAGATGCAGCTGATTCAGACTGTACGGGTTGAATGGCGAAATTAGCCAAAGATCCTACTGCATCCAGCGCATCCAAAGTCAGCTGCCACCCACAAAGGGCATCAGTATCAACTACATTGCTGCTTCCAGGACCACAGCTACTGCTGCCAGCAGCAGCGACATTTCCATTCACCCATGGACAGAACTCATTGTGATGAATAATTGGATCAAACTCCATAGGCTCCTCATAGTTGCTTTCACCTTTTGGAGGTTCTGCAAATCAAGCAAGTAGTCAAATATAAACAAGACTACCGCCCAAAACAAATTAAAGGAGACACAGCATGAAGGAGTGAAGGTTCAAAACATCAGAGGGCAACTAGTTCCAACAAGATATATTCATCATCTTGATCAATAAGAAATCCTGGTCATGGTAGATATACTAACGGATGGAGGACAACTAGGAAGGACGTGAATAGAACTAACCTATCCCATTGGCAACTGCATAATTTGACTCTATGCAAGTACCATTGTTTGTTGATGAGGATTTCCCAGCTTTTTTGCCCTTATTAGCAGTTGTTTCACAGCCAGAGTCAATGACGGCATTACAAGAAAGAGAAGGATGGGCATTTTCTCCTGTTGCTACTCTCTTACTGCTCCTGCTTCCCTTTTCTCCGCCACTTCCAACAGAGTCTGCCTTAGTTGAACCATCTACTTTCGATCCGCTATCAGCTCTCTCAACAGATCGAGACAGCATCTCCTGGCTATCACCCCCATGAGGATCTTCCCTGTTTATCTCATCAGGAACAATCTCGTCCATCAAACCTGGATCAGGAACCGATTCACCAGTCTGACCTTGGTTGTCAACATCTTCAACTCTAGGTTCCATGTCGCCAACCACACTATCTGCTCTATGCACGGAGAAATCAGCCCCATGAATTTCAGCTTCGTGACTAGCACACATACCAACACTACCCCCACTAATCCCAAAACTAAACCCATCCCTAGCCTGAGCTGTGATTGTTCCAGCATTGAAAATCTCCTCACCGTCATTTGTGCTACTGACAACCATTTCCCCTGGGGCCACAACTGGCCGGAAGCCAATGCTTGGCTGGGCCTGATTGCTATTATTCAGTTCTGAAGTCTCATTCATATCAAGATTCCCATATGTACTCGATGAAGGCAAATGAACATCATCAACATCCCCAGGATAATTTTCAACACTTTCCATCGAGTCATCATCCCCACCATGACCAACGGTATCCATGGCAATGACTGATGATGCACGTGTTGAATCCCTAGTAGATGGACCTGCAACCTGGTGGTCAGTATTTCGACGAAAAGAAGAACCAAATCTGTTTCCATCCATATTAATCTCAAGACCAACTGAATGGCTAGGACCAGCACCAGAGGAGTATCTTGGATATGAACTGTGTGAATCGAAAAACTCTGTATCACGAACTCGTTTTGAAGGCCCAGCAGAAAACTGCCTCCCATCAGTAACTTCATCACCATCACGGTCAATGACAGTTCCTTCAACACTGTCAGCAGGATAAATCAAGTGTCGCCTATCATCTGAGCTACCAACTATGTCCAAGCTCCGCTTCCTAGAACTAGGTCCTCGGGACTCGTACGAAGCCGCACGGTCGCCAACCTCACTCCCAGCTGGTTGACCAATCATTAGATCTCTGCCCATATCCACATCATCCAGGTTATCGTCGTCCATCAACTTGTCCAAAGGAGTAAAAGATAAACCACCAGCCATTGTGAGATTCAAATCGACGTCTGCATTCATTGGCAGCTTTCCCTCATTTGTAGTTGCTACTTCATCACGGTCTTCAGCCTGTTCTTTTTCTGCATCATCAGCTGCAACCCAACCACTAATTCCACTAGCAGCACTCACTCCACGTGTTAAGGTCAATTTTTTGCTTCCATCAGGAAGATCATTTGGAGCGAAACGTGTAGGTCGAGAGACGGTTAAGAAATCGAGTATTCTCACAGTAGCACCACATAAGCTACAGTCCAATAAAGGTGACCTGGAATCACATTTTGACTCAACAGCAACCATTTTCTTCTTCCCGTTGTCTTTTTTGGCTGAAGCAGTATGTGCCTGGTTGCTCCATCCACGTTCACGCGAAGGATGAACTTGTGGCAGAGCAGGCCCAAAAGAATATCCATTTCGAGCTGATTGAGCAGAATGCTCTTCACAGTCTTGAACATTCGGAAGCCATCTTGGTTCCCACCCACAAAGACTGATGAGCCTCTGGGCCTAGAAAAGTAGAAAAAACGAACAACGAAAGAGGTTTGGCATCAGCTCAAAACTGATTGTGCAACCCATAGCGATTGGTAACAAGCAATATGCATAGATTACTCTTACAATATAATATGGACAGAGGGCTCCATCTCCAGGTTCTTGCAAGCCCTCTGACTTTAGGTCTCCTCCTTCAAAAGTAGGATTTTGAGACTGAGACAGAAAGCGATCTACAAGTGGACCTCGAGAAACGCGCATCAGCTCAATGGCAGATGAAGCAACAATAGGAAGTAACTGAAATTGCAGAAGTCCATCACATCTGTCCTTATATCCACCAATCAAAGCAGACTGTGGAGTGGGAGGGAACTGCACTAAGCTTTCAGGGCAGCTATGACCTCGCCAAGGACAGTTAGCTTCGTGGCCAGCATCCAACTGCTTAGCAAAGTCTTCTCCAGCATCTTCAACTTCAGTTCGAAGAACGACAGGAATAGTTGAAAAGAAGAAAGCACATGTCAACGTTCACAAGGCTAATGTAACTTAGACAACAGTAAAACAACATATGAGCCAAAAATAAACATCAATGATGCAATAGTACTTTCCACCAGATAGAGTGCTGGGAGCAACTTGACGTTCTAATCGTACCCCAAAATGAGAGTTAGCTGTTGTTTTCCCCTGCATTAGTGACCATATTCACTTTCTCAAGATTAGTCAAACTATACCCAACAAGATCTTCTTTGCCTTGCCTTGCCCTTGCCTACTGACAACTGGACACATTCACTTTTTTTTTTTATCGAACACATATTCACCTTTAGAGACAAGGCAATGGCACATTCAGGTAAAACCAAGCATCCCCGTTATAGTATTCCAATATAGTTATTTTCTGAAATGTGGATGTTTTTTTTATGCGGAACAAAAAGGATAAGCCAATATCTATTCTACCCATCCTTGCACTGCCTCACACAACATCTTGCTCCATCTAGTTAGGCTGGATTCAAAAATGGGCAACCCGACTATGGACTTGACTCTTCAGAAAAAATCTATATATAGTAGTATTCAAATGCCAGCTAAAAGAACTCCTCGAGTCTTGAGCTCATCAGACAAATATGAACAGGAAGGAAGCATGCTACTAGATAACAAACCTTCAGTGACAGTCCATGAAGATAACAGCATAAAACTCAGACATGCACCACAGGATTCACAAACAATTTTGTCAGCATCAACATTCATCCAACCTCTTTGAGCACACGCCAATGAACTGGTAACCTGCAATCCATTACAAAATAGAGACAACTTTCAGACTAGAAAAACATTTTCATCCTTTGTTTAGACAAGGCATGAAAATTAGAAAACTACAACTCCACAAGGTTTCAAAGCCGAATTCAGGGACCATGACTACTATGCTGGCAAAACCCTGATATCTAACTGACTGTGCATTGCTCATTTGCACAAATTCAGTTTGCAAACCGAGAATACCCTTATTTTTTTATCCTCGATTGTTCTTTCACAGTTTTGTGTTTCTTGGAATTCGATTAAATTTCTCCCCGTATTCTGGATATGGGTTTCCTTAGTAGGTAACTGTTATTGTATTCTCTTGTATTAGGAGATAATACAATGCTGGTATGATTCTTCAAAGAAAACAAGAGGATGCAACATCGACCCATGAATACTACAAGCAACTTGGTACAGTACCTTAGGTTTTCCAGACCAATTTATTGGTTTAAATGTAGCTAAGCGCCTTAATAAATCGCCTCTCTCCCATGGCCTACATGCAAGTCTTGCTGAACCAAGAGTAGAAGTCCCAGGTTGTTTAGAACGGATGACAGACGGAGAAGCCATGCTGGAATCAAGAGCATTGTTGGACTTCTCTTTTTTGCCACCATTGACAGGTCCGGCACGTGAAGACGCACCAGCGGAACTATAAGGCACATACACCATTCAGAAATTTTGGGGAGATAAAACGAGCATGGTGACACATAGATAAAACACGAGTAAAAAAGGTACAATAATTATTCACCCAACACTTGGACTCAGATGCAATAATCATAACCTTCTCACCAAGCAAACAGGGGAAAGTATTTGAAACATAAAAAATAAAGTTCCTACACTGTCATGCATTGAAAAAGTTATCAGGCAAGGAGAAACTACAGCACTCCTGATTCAGACCTTTACACTTGAAATTCATTTAGGTTTCATCATTTGATTTTTCAGGGAATATTAAGTCCATTCAAGTTAGCTTAAAGTGTAACATAGTATATACACAAACAGTAACATAGTTAATGGGCCAGCCAGTCACCTTAACCTAATGGCACAATCTTGAAAGATAGAATAACTAACTTCACAAAAAAGAGTATACTAAGTGCAAAAACTTACAAATCCTAATCATCATTTTATCAAACAAGGAAACAAAACCAAAACACAGGAATAAGCAAATGGTGCTCCTTTTCTTCCGCAACAAGCACACTAGTAAAGAAGACTAAAGAATCTATTTGCCACCCGACTTATCATCCAAGAGTGAGTGCCGACCAACCCTGAGGAAATACATGCGATTTAAATGAAAGTGTTAACAGAATTAATTTCTCTAGAACATTGAGTCATAGTACTGCAATCGTTTTCACCCTAGTCCCCAGACTTGAGATTCCTATTTAATCTTCTGCATGTAAGAATTAAAACAACGTCATCAGCTACAGTCATTCTCATTCATCAAAAAGAAGGGTGAACAAAGTAGGAAGCTATTGTATTCAATTGCATATTTGCATTTCCTTTTATCTTAGTCAAATCTTCCACCGAAACCATCAGTCGCCATATAGTTGAAGTATGACAATCACCTACCCACCAAAATACCGAGCTCCAAGGAAAGAGCCCAAACACCTAACAAACAGCCCTCGTTACGGGCAAAGCTCAAAGAATTGCAGATGTTTCCCGCCCTTCATCATTTTAACGGTGACAAAGAGCAAACGCCCCGAAATTGAAACCTAAAATTGACCAAAGCTAGTAGATTTGAAACCCTAATTTCCACCTCGATCCGCAGAAACGCAGAATTAGCAAGGCAACAGAAATCCTAAGAGAGCAAGAGCAGGAGTAGCGAAGTGTGGTTTCGGGTACCTGGCCGCTGCAGAAGTGGGATCCTTGGTCCCGCCGGAGCTGATAGCTTCTTCCCTCATTGCGCTGGCGCTTGTGGGAGGCAAAATTTTTGGTTTCGACGCTTTCGAAAAAAGAAAAAAAAGGAGCGAGAGATGTGAGGGAGTTGGTTGGTTTTATAGCGAGTGAGAAATCAGAGTGTATTTGCGTGGCGCGTAACGTCCGAGTCAAAGCTTTTTAGCCGACCTTGTCCTTTTTCGGATTGGTGACGTCCGTTCGATTTGAACTGGGAAGTGGATCATATTGTTTGCCGGCCTCCTCGCCGCCGGGCGATACATTGGCCCATACCCACCGATTAGGAAAATGGTATTTGCTAACGTAGAATGTAGATTCCATGGCTGGGCTGGGCTGGGCTGGGCTGGATTCGACACGTTTCGACAATGACTCGATAAATATCGGTCTAGGTCGTAAGCAATTTGAATATATGTCATAAAAATTTATCATATTTATCGGTATTTTGATTGAAGTTGATAATCTTTTAAATATGAAAAAAAGTATCTCTTTCTAGTTTCTACAAACATGACAAACCTATCACACAATTCAAACCACAAGTCCGCAATGCTTGCGATGAAGGTAGAATACCATGTAGTGCATGCAAAGAAATAAGCTTTGGAGGCACATAAAGGACTCAAGTATCATGCTAGAGACAGCATTCCAAAGTCACCATTGTACAATCTTAGCTTATGTTGGTCATTACCTCTAAGAGTGTCCAGTTAAAAGGTGAGGAGTTGGTCAAATTGAAAGTGGTAAGAACATTACAAAGCGAGAATCATTCGGATATTTTAATCTCTTTTCATCAGTTTATGTTGATTCCTCTACGTCTTGGGCGTGCCATAATCTCATTCTTGCATTTAGTTATAAAACATAGGGCTTTGATGGTTAGTATCACTTAGCAAACTTATTAATGTTACCAATGACAATCTAGCTTGGCAACAAGCACAACCAAAATTATGGAGGTTACCAAGAACGATGATCCATAGAAGTATAGTGGCAGTCCTCGACCTCTAAAAAACATATTCTTCATAGATGTGACTCGCACGAAAAAGACTCTCAATTGAGTATGATTTGTTTGAACATTCGTGTGAACATGGTAACGCATTATATGACTAACTAGATCTTCTTTCTACTTCAACTAACTTTTAACTTACAGACTAGTAACCGTAGAAGGAATTTTTTTTAACTTGCAGAGAATACAATTTTGTTATTCTCTGATCTAGAATATGGCTCACCAGCTTCCCATTTTCACAGACAAAACAAACCGCACTATTTACTGTTTTCCCATCTGCAATCCCGGTTGGTGAGTTTTGATCCTACTCACTCGAACAAAACAAAGCAGAGAAACTCGCCACAGTGGCAGCTTCACATTCACAGGTCCAAGTTTACAAGCACAGACTTCATATTATAGTTTCATAATATGCCGTCTTAACAGCCTATTCTTAGTAGCTGCTTCTACTGCAACACACCCACAACTATAATATATACGCACTCAACATATTATTTTTTGTTGCTCCATTATATGCATCAAACTTTCTAGTCCTTTGTAAAGGCTAAACCAAAGGTACTAGCAGTAGACAGATATCCCAATCCCATTGCAGCTCCCAGGACGAAGCTGAGGTCAACAGACATTTATTATCAAGTAAACCTGCTGGACAATGGAAAAGCTGCATGTTAGAAACAGCACATAACAAACTTTCTGCTGACAAATATCTGGAAGGCACAACTCCTACATGTCTATGGCCTCCAAGGATAGTTTTTGTCAAATGGGTTTCACTTGCTCCCCCAAATATGGCGATCTCGTATATGTTAAGGTGATTCGACAACAGTTCGATATGGCCACTACTAGAAAGAAGCACAGATGTGCCTCGTTCATGCAGTTTTGTTGCTCTTTATTTATTTATTATTTTTTTTTTTTTTTGGAATGACTCTTGCAGTTGTAAGGAAAGTACTTTTCCATTTCCTCTCACCCACATACCTGTTTCAACTTGTGCTTTCAATCTGTATGTTTCCTTCCTCCTTTTCTTCATCCACTGTTTTCCAAACGATATCCTTCAATCCAGTCGACAGGTTATTGTAAAACTGCATCACAAACAATAACAAACAGTCATCAAGCCGTCGATAAGGGCATTGATATATGGTACCGATGGATAAGGGACCGGACTGCAACATGTCTTTCGCTTATCAGAATAAGGGCCATAGACCCGATCTAAATATTAAGGCATTTGTGAAGAGAAGCTGACAATTGCTTATTGAGATGCCAACTTATTGTCCAACAAAGTAAACACAATAAAAAAAACCATACCTTGTGGAATTCCAGGGTGTCACCACCAGACTTGCGAACCTCAACCATGTAAAGAGAAGGAGCAACCTCAAAGATCTGAAACGAAAGATATGGATAGATGAATACCTCCCGTTCAACTGAAGTTTACGGAAAAAAATGTAGCAATCAAATGATTCAACTTACTTCAGTTGCAACTGACAGGTGACCTTTACGCCCAGTCTTCTCTCCTTGAAGCTTCATCTAGGTTACAGAAGAGGAGCACATAAAACAAAATGGACAACCATTTCTTTTGAAAAAACTGAGAAAATATCAAACCTTGAAGTTGTTCTTCTTCACGTCAAAACCCAAAGGTGTTGCTGCTGCTTCAATTTGTGTCATTATCTCATTAGCAGAACTTTTTGATGCAAATCTAGTTTCACGTTTAACAAGTCCCTGATTTCAAAATGGAAAACATAAGTTTGATATGCATTCCACGCTATCAACTAACAACCTAAAAGGGGCCTAAAAGACATACAGCGCATATGCTACACAATAATTGCCAAACACCAAGATCAACTCAAAGCTGAACAAAACTACCAAGGATAGATGATTTACTAAACTGTCATTTCTCAAGCATGCGGCTACTAGTAATGAACATATTTATCTGGGAAACCAGAAACATTTACATAGAAAAGAACATGAAGACAACAAATGGATGTTGTTTAAACGTAAACTCAAAGGATTTATTGCTTTATGACTATAAATATGGTCTAAAAATATGCAGTGCCTATAAAAACATACCATCTGTTTCTCGAACAGACTACTGAGATTGAGACCCTGAGATGTAGAGATCAATTCAAAAGCATTCATGGTCACAGGGGCCACAGGACCAACAGGTCCAACTTCCCTCCTCTCCACAACAAGATTCCGAGTGTCCTGTCCATTTACAGAAATTATCATTTTGAACTTTGCAAAATGTGCATTAAGAACCATTCATGCATGGTGCAGGATAAGGAACAAGAACCTTACCGCTGAATCATTGAAGATGGAGTCCACATCATCAAGACTAACATCAGCTTGTTCAAAAACAGGTGGCTTGTACCCTTTCTTAAACCACTCATTTTCAATAACCTCAGCAATAGTGATTCGCTGTTTCATTATCATAAGTAGATGGTGTGAATTCACCAAGTCTGGACCAAATAATATTAGGGGAGCCAAAAGGTTTAAAAGATGAAAAACGTGCTATAAAGAAACTAAAGATGCTGTACCGTAGCTGGATTAGGATCCAATATCCTTTTGATTAGTTTTTTTCCACTGGTGGAGAACCACGGAGGGCAAGAGAAGTCCGCTTTAAAAATCTGCAACCACAGATATTCTCAGGTAAAACATTGACAAAGAAAGATTGCTTACAAATTTGTAACAGTTACTAAGACCTTGAACTGAACATGAATTTACAGCGAACCAGTCTGAGCTACATAGACCTGTGTTACAGAAAAGCATGCCATATATACCCATTCATAAAAAAATTTACATAAAATCACTCGTATTACCGAGGAAAACAGCCAGATACAAAAGAGTTCACATGGCCGAAAGCAGCTAAGATACCAAATCGGACTCAACTAAAGAAGTGAACAATAAAAGGGCTTTACAATAAAAATACACATTCATAATTTGGTGCTGAAAGGAAAAGAAAACAAACCTTTTTGTACAGTTGCATGAGGTTAGAATCTTCAAAAGGCAAGTAACCAGCCATCAAGACAAAAAGAATCACACCACAAGACCATAAATCCGCCTTGGCTCCATCATAACCTTTATTGTTGATTACCTGGAGAAGTGCAAGATAAGAAACCAAGAACAGAGGACTCATGAATTATTAAGAAATGAATTTTAAATGCAAAGAAACTGTGTACCTCTGGAGCAACATAATTGGGCGTTCCACATGTAGTGTGGAGTAACCCATCTTCCTAGAGGACAGAAGAAATCATCCAGTTCAGAAGATTGTGCAACTTCTTGCAAGAATAGGAATGAATGAGCAAATTTGTGACAACTTAACCATGAAATCATCATACTTACTCGAACTTGCTGAGGCAATGCACTCAATCCAAAGTCTGAGACTTTAAGGACTCCAGAAGCATCTAGAAGCAGATTCTCAGGCTGATAACAGTATATGGGATAACACATCCATCAAGGAAATATTTATCAAGAAAACATTCAATGCATAAAAAGTATTAACGACTCTCATACCTTTAGATCTCGATGATATACACCCCTACTGTGGCAATAATCGACTGCATTTATAAGCTGCTGAAAATACTTCCTTGCTTCGTCTTCTTTCAGCCTCCCTCTACTTGCCTGATTTAAGTAGCAAAATAAGAACAAAATGTATTGAATCCTCATGCTCAAGCACGTAATTAAAGTCAAAGCAAGGTTAAGACTTTAGATTATAGGCCGTACAATTTTGTCGAAAAGTTCACCACCAGTCACGAATTCCATGACGATGTAAATTTTTGTCTTGCTTGCCATCACCTGAAACAGAAGAGCAGCAGCATATTACCAAATATAGATGAAGGAAGAGCCAGCCCAAATGAACAAAGATATCAAACAACTACGCGCCAGGTATGATTCCCTTTTTAAGCATAATAGCGTGAGAAAGATTACTAGACTAAGAGTCCAGAAATACAATCTACTAGCAATACCAATCGACCCACCAATGAAAAGACCTATAGTACAACACCAGAACAAGGGAATAGGGCTCTAATTTCTAACCTCGTACATACGGATGACATTTGGGTGTCGAATAAGCTTCATGGTTGCTATTTCTCGCTTGATCTGCAAAGAAAAGATAAGAGTGGCAAAACAAGGCAACCAGACAGCCGCAGCACCATATTTAAGAACCACCAATTACACAGGCTCAACAAGTGCAATTCAGAAAACATACATCATACTTAGACACAGTAGCGATGATAAATAAACAAAAAGCGACTTCGTAAAGTTACTTCATCATGGAAATCATTGGAGCTAAAATGACCCGAATTGAAGTCCATTGGAAGTCTTTTTCATGGCAGTTGCCCAAGAAGGCACCAATCGACCGCAAGGCCCAAGAAGGGGGTGGTTGAAACCGACAATTTCCCGGGAAAAGTTGACCTTTTCTCAAATGTAAAGTGCAAACAGAAAGATCTAAGCTTCCATTCCATTTCTTCTATTCATCATCATGGCCTCTCATGGGGCTCCACAGAACACACAATCTCGACAACCCAATTCACATAAATGACATGTGACAAACTATATCGATCATTCAGCAAAATGATATCATTGACACCAAAACTGTCAGGATTACAATCAAACAAACAGAAAGGGGAAACACGAAAAATTGGAGGGCGAACCTGAGCGATCATCTTGTGTTTAAGGACTTTCTCCTTGTCGAGAATCTTAATGGCTACGTTCTCACCATTCTCAACATTCCTGGCAAACTTCACCTTCGCAAAGGTTCCTTCCCCAAGCGTCCTTCCGAGCTCGTACCTCCCTACGCGAGTTCTGCTCCCGCTTCCACCATGTCCGTGCCCGTGTCCATGCCCTCTAGTCGCCATATTAACCCCACAAAATCCCTCGCCCTCCGCCTTCTCCTGGCCTCTCTCTGTCGGCTATCGGCAATCAAGCAGACAGAATTTCCAATCTCCTCAAGACCCACTTTCCCCAATTATTATTATTATTAACAGAATTAAATTCGAACCCCAATTGAATCTGGCTGCCCTAGAGCTGGTGCGGTTATGCGATCAAGACCTCTTCTTTTTACACGGCTGCCATACCTGAGACTTGGCAACACTCATCTTGACCGGAACAAGAAACCCACGAAGAGAGAGGAAAAAGGGTCCAAAACGAAAGAGGGGGGGGGGGGGGGGGGGGGGGGGGGGGGGGGAAGGTTAAAGAACGAAGGAAATGGTTTCTGATTGAGCAGAGGAATAGATGGTGGAGACGGGTATGGAGATGGAAATGAAAAGAGAAGAGGAGGCGGGGAATAGGGAAGATAATAAAGGCGACGGAGGATGCATCAGAAAGGGAAAAACCATGAAATTGAAAAGGGAGATGAATCAACGGAGGGTGCTGATTTTGCCCTGATTCTGAATTTTCAACTCTGATTTGTACGATCACGTGGAGATCAAAGTTGCCGAGGCAAAGAGAGAATATTCAGATCTTAGTATACGATGGAGAGAGAGAGACCAAACTCCAAAACTGGAAGACGATCAATGGGCATTAATTTAGGGGAGAGGGAAATTTTGGGAGATCTCGAGAAGCAATTGTGAGGTTTGGACCGGGGAAGGTGATGGCTGGCCTACGAGGATGGAATTGGATGGACTTTTGTTTGTTTGTTTGGTAATCACTAATCAGAGCTCAGAGAGGGAGCAGTAATGTCGTTTAACTCTTCTACCAAAAAAAAAAAAAGAGAGGGAGCAGTAAGTCTTGGGGATTAGTGTTAATTTGGCGGGACAGGGGAAGAATAATGTAATAATATAATCCAACAAACAACCGAACAAAATAATTCTCACAAAAAAAACGTCTTAATAATTATCGAGATATTCTATTAATATATTCTTCACTTTCTTCTTCGCCATTTTTTCCCCGGAGCTTCAAGTTCAAAGTTCAACTTTCGACCAGTGGTGGTCATCATGAGCGAATGATAGACAATTGTGCCATGCTCTCTCACTGTTCATTGGTCAACCCCAGGATTCCGTCATCATCATTCATCAGTCATCACTATTCACCAGTGATGGCAATGAGGCGGGAGGGTATCTCAATTTCCACGTTCCGCCCCACGCTACTAGGAGTCGGGGCAGGTAAAACCCGTGCGGGTATGGAGCGGGGCGGGTTGACCCATTTTTACATGTCATTTGAAAAAAAAAACACACAAATTTTACTTTTACGATAAAACAAAGGGAAGAACACTTTGTGAATGAAAATTTGTGATAATAGAATGGGTAATTGAGTCTAACAAGTTGAAAGATCGACTCCAATTAGTTGAAGAAAAGTCAAAATAGGAGAAATATGTATAAATAATGTAAGAAATTGAGATAAAATGGATCTAGAACGGGGCGGGGCAGGGTAGGGTAGGGTAGGGCGGGTCGAAAGTAGATACTCATGTCCCGCCCCATGCTACTGCGGTTCGGGTAATACCCGCCCCATCGCGAGTCAGGTCGGGTAATACCCGCGGGGTGGGTTCAAATTGCCATCACTAGTCATCACCCTCCTTCCTCCTCCCCTCTTTCGAAGAGTATTATGCTTTTTCTATGCTAGGTTTTGTGGGATAGTTACAATGCATGTATTGTCCATAATGTATTGTTTTTTTAATTTTGTGTACAAACAGTATATGCATTGTTTGCTTGATTTAATACAAACTATAACTCGAAATGAGTGATAGTTAAATCTCAAGATTTTTGTGAGATTGTTGAGATTTTTTGGTGGAGATTGTTGGTTTATTTTTTCTTCCAACTATGTCCCTACCTTTTTATGTATGTTACTTTTTTATATTAAAAGCAAAAGGGTAAAAGTGGCATTTCGCCCCAAAAGTAATATAACTTGTTTAAATACTACAATAACTATCAAAAAAATCAAACGATGTAAACTAGCATACATTAATTTTCTTATATACATGCATATTAATATACATGCATTGAGGACAATGCATCAATTTAACTATCACTAAAACCAAACTACCCCAAGAGCCTAAGATGACTCAGTGGAAAATTATATAATAGGAGATTATAGGATAAGACTAGGGATGATATCTAGTTAACCGGTTAGTATTGTAACCATTCAATTAACCGATAACAGTCTAACAGATGGTTATTGGTTATACGATCAATCAATTATAAGATTGTCAAACAAGTTTATATAGTGCGACGATTTAGTAAGTGTTATGGATTGATCGGTGGTACATATGGTTTGTGCCAATTCATGTCTATATAATAAAATATGTAATATCATTAACATAAACGAATTTAAGCATATATAAAACATATTTGAAGACCATTTACTTCCTGTCTATGTTCAAATTTAAATAATATATGACGTTTCATATCAAATAACATATACTCATTTTTAAATACAACATTTGACATCAACACTCAAACTTTTATATCCAACAAATAACATCAACATTTAGCTTTTAAATTCACGAAATAAATCAAAAATTAATTTTTTTATTAATCAAATTCATTAAAACGACGTTATTTTGTTTATAAGATGAAAAAAGTCATGTCGGTGGTATTCACGTCTATTTCATTACCGACACCGGTTCAACCAGATTCAACTGGCCAACATTTCACTGGCATGACAACCATAATTATATACGTTTCTATCCCCACAATGGCCACGCCCCTCCCAAACAACTTCTCGAATTTCAAACAACAATCTCCTCTCCAACAAGACCCTTTTCGTCTTTCTGCAGTTCCCTCCATGCATTGTGAACCCTAAAATCAAAAGTGGCAAAGAGCATCATCGATTTTTGTGATTGAAATGTAAGCATCAAGGTTGGACTAGAAAGATCATATGGCTTCTCTTAAAGGAGATTTTACCAAGATTGCGCCCCGATTATTTTCATCAATGACTTCCCTTAACCAGTTCACACTTATTACTCATCTCCTTCGTCTCCTCGCTTTATTCTCTCCGAGAAGCAAAAATCCAATCCCAAAACATCAATCCTAACGCTCTCCAAAGACCGCGCCACCAACCAAATACTAACTCTCCAAAGACCTCCACATTGAACCCCTCTTACCACCAGAATCTTCACCATCTACCTCGCCGGGCAAATCCCATGGCTCGACTGTTACACAAAGATAAGTTTCTGCCATCCACTCAATGCCTCGCTATGTTCGAATCTACCACATGCTTTATCACCTTTTCTATTCTTCGTCTTCGTATACAACAACTCCTTGTCTTTATAATTTGAACTCGTCTTCGTTGTCTTCCATTAGATTGACCTTCATCTAAAAATCCAATACAATTTGATCTCAATCTTTGAAAAGGTAGGGGTGCAAAGGCAAAATCGAGCACATCTTTTATGGTGTTTCTTGAACTATTTGGTTTGGCTTTCCTAGCCAACACTTCAACTTATGCATGTCTTTGTATACTGTCTGAACTCATAGACAGGACATGCTCCTTATCTTCTTAACAACATTCTTTGTTGGATTTTTTTAGTGGTGTTAATGGAAATGAAAGGGGAAAGTTCCAAGAGAGTCTCTTGAAGTATCAGGTTGGTAAGATGTGGGAAGGCACGGTCTTGAAATCGATCGATTTGATATAATCGTGGTTAATCGGTTAAATTGGTTTGTGTACCAAATGGACCAAACCAAACCGAGTTGAACCAAATCGATGTGGCGGTTGGAATATCCAAACCGGTCCAACTACCATGGGCGAACCGATGCAATGGTTCATTATTTTAAAAATGAACCAATGTGTTGGTTGGGGTGTAACCACCCATACGAAGAGTTGCCTCCCTTCGTACGCACCCCTTCATTCTCTATAAATAGCACCTAACCCCTCTGGTTTACATGGTTTTTTCCGGTACCAAAACTCTGCTAAAATCCAAAACTAGTTTTTTGCATTCTTTTCAAAGAGAAAATCGAGTCAAGTGTGGTTCTCGCCAGGTCGCTGTTTGATGGGTTCCGGGGTTTGAGGTACCGCTTCGCCGGAAAAGGTACGTCCTTTCTATCATGGGAGGAATCATTCCATAACCTTGGGTACTAGAGGGGAATAGGATTATTTAAGGAGAGATAGTGAATTCTATCAGCTAGGACACTTGCATGTGTCTTTGCATGTTTTCTTAATCTTATGTGTTTGCTTGTGTTGCAAGAAAATAGTATACGTGAACAATATCCCCAACAATCTTCACTAACATTGGGGGCTGATTAATTATAACAACTCAGGGAAATATTAGAGATTTTCTGTTATCCATTTGTAATAATGATTTTCTATATATGTTCTTATTACAATGACTAATCATAAAATTTGAAGTATGGGACATGTGATATTATAGAGGTTTAAATTGAGCACTTCTACATTGGTACTTTAAAGTACAACTTAAAGTTGTACTATAACGTTAAATGTACAAATTGAAGTTGTACCATAAGAGAATTTGAACTTTATGGTATTGTACAACTTCAAGTTGAACATAACATAAAGATACAACTTTAGTTTGTACCATAAAGAGATTATACAAAAAAAAAGTATAAATACGCCACTAAGTTGTACCATAATCTTAAAACTACAACTTCAAATTGTACTATAAAAATAAAAAGGGTAAATACAATTTAATATCCAAACTTTTCATTTTAAACAATATAATAGCCAAACCTTTTCGAAAACAATTTAATATCCAAATCGTCAACTTTCCTGTTTGACCATTAGTTGACACTTCATCAAGTTCGAAGTACGACACTTCATCAATATCCATCGATATCTTCTCTGAAAAACCACCAACATATCATAGTTCCAAACCCGAGAAGTCCATGACTCCACCATGATGGTATAGAATATCTAAATATTCAGTCATCTGCAATGCCAAAACAAGAAAACAAAGTTGTATTGTGACAATTTCCCCTAAACAAAGCTTTTTTGAAGTGTCAACTAACGATCAAACGGACGGAAAGTTGATGATTTGGATATTAGATTGTTTTCGAAAAAATTTGACTATTATATTGTTTAAAATTAAAGGTTTGGATATTAAATTGTATTTACCCAATAAAAACTAAAACACTAATGATTGCAAGCATTGTAAAGTTCCTCGTTTAAATTATGTATAAACATCTAGTCAGCAATCAAAATCACCAGCACTGGATAGTTCTATTGGCTGTTTCTCTGACACTATCATCTTAATAATTTCAATTTTAATAAAGAGCTCTTATCTTATGGAGTAGTGTACACGCAGTTGCGATACATTCAGCAGCAAGTTTTGATATTCGGATGCTTTTAAAATGATAGGATAATATTTCAAATTCGTATAGAATAGCTTAAGTCGCTGTCCTGATTTTCATATAAAATGATGGATGCACTTAGTGAATACGAGGTTAGTTTGAGGGCCTATGATAAACTAGCATAGTGCTCTAATACTTCAACACTTAGAAACCTTGAAACCCAACCATCCTTGATTAAAAAAATCAAGCATCAACATCTCTTATTATTGGTGGATCCATACATGAACAAATTTTGCCTCCAAAAATTTGTAGATGCAATAAATCAATATAATCTCGTTCCTTCTAGTTAATTTTAAAATTCAAGTTAAAAATGACTGTGGTAATCAGGGTGGTAACGAATGATATTGATAGTAGTATAATAATTTTCTTGATATATATTAGAAATTGATATTATTTTTTAGATCCCAACTCCATTTGTGCAAAAAAAAAATGAAATCCAAAATAAAATAAAAAAGATAAAAACCAATTAAAAAATAAAAAAGTCTTTTTGTTGTTGTTAAAGATATCCCAAGAGGGAATACAACAAATACAACATAATAAGGGGACCTTTACAGGTCAAAATTACAAAATAGAATTAAGGAAGAGCCGTTGGTCGGCCAACTGACGATTCAACGTTGAGAGAACTTGTTTCGCCACGAGATGGGCAACCCTATTATACTTACACGAGACGAAGTGGAATGATGAACATTGCATGGAGGTTTGACGAATCTGAACTTCAGATAGAAGGCTACCTGCAGTGACGTGAGACAAATCTGCAAAGTGAAACCCGAATAGGCTTGGCAACCTTGACCGACCGTCATATACCCACCCGAAACCCGCCCAAATGGTGAACATTTTACCCAGCCGTCGTGGGTAAAGGGAAGATTCGGGCATACCCAAAATTTGTGAGTAACGGGCAACAGGTGGTGATGGGTCTCGTGGTATCCGCCCCGTTCCTCAAAATGACGTCGTTTTGGAACCTAGCTTATAAACTAAATAAAGGTTCGCCCTTGGGAACCCTAATCCATTTTTTCCCTGCCAGCCGTTCTTCTTCTCGCCACTCTCCCCTTC